GAATGGGAGGATGGTTGGGTAGGGGAGGGGAGGAGGAGTGTGGCGGCGAGGGGGATGACGATTGTGAGGACGACGGAGGTGAATGTTTCGAGGTGAGGGGGGTGGTGAGGGTGAGGGAGTTTCGGTTGTTTGTTTTTTGGGGGTTGGTGGGGCTGTAATACATGGGATTGTATATATATAGGTAACGACGTTGGTTGTATGGCTGCTGGTCGGCTTTGTCTGAAGGAATCGGATCGCTTGTACTGAGATGTCTAGCCATGTACTTCCAGCTTCTCGCAGTGTAGGAGACGGGTAGTCTCGAATCTTGATTTGGCATATGTCTATGACCTTCTATACGCTCTAACATGGTATCCACATCTAACTCGTCACATTCCATGCAACCAAGGCCAAAACTCTTTTATTTGGTAGTCTGCACGGGGTTTAGGCCGGCAGCACCATTCTTGTATGCCTCGTATCCTTCCTTGGCGGCTTCTTGCACCGTCGTCTTGCCGTCGACAATCTCGCGACACTTGGTCAGGATGTTGGACCAGTCCTCAAACACGGTGAAGGGGACATCCTCCCTGGCGCAATAATTGATCAAATCATGGCCCTTTTTCGCAAACAGTAGATCCGTCTCTCGTGCCGCGGAGAGATCGCTCACACCATCTCCCGCATAAAACATGGTCGGTCGGACATCGGCAGACAGCGACGAGTACTTGCGCAGCTCAATCGACTTGTCATGGCCAAAGCCACTCTCGGGATGCCGGAAGATAATCTCCCATCCGCCTTCCTCGTTGATCTTCTTGCCTGGCCGTGGACCAACATAGTTGCCGAGCACTTGCATCCTGCTTGCCTCGGGCCCGACCAACTTCTCCAGCAGGGCCTTGATAATGGGCTCCATGCCGCTGCTCAGCACAACCACGGGGATGTTGTTGGCACAGCTCCATTCGAAAAAGGCCTTGAAGCCTGGATCGAGCTTGATGTTGTCAACCAGGTATTGCATGCATTGGTCGTAGGGCCGGGTCACGCTGTCCATCATGTCGCGGAAGGAGTCGCGAAAGGAGATTTTGTCGTCGAGGCAGGCGAGGTTCATGGCGCGACGGCGGGGCTGACCGTAGCCGATTGTGTCGGTGAGGAAGTCATTGGAGTCTTGGAGAGTGATGGTTCCGTCAAAGTCGGTGAAGAAGATGTACTGTTGTGGAGATGGTTAGTTGTGTTTGTGTTGGTGAATGTTTTCTCTTAGAAAAGTTACATTCCGAAGGCATTCCGAAGCTGAAATTGGTATTTCATTGGGTGGGTTACCTTTGGGTTCGTGGCCATGGCTGGTAGATCAGCCATGTTAATTTGCGATCCCATCTTTGACTGGAATGACTGGCAGTATATAAAGAGTGGAAAGTGGATTGCAAAGATGTTCAAGAGGAAGCCAGCCCAGAGAGATGTGTTGGAGCAGGGAGGGGCACTGACTAAGAGTACGCTAAGAGCAGACCCTTGTCGCAAACAATACAATACGGTATTCTATACCTAGACGAGGAAGGAACCGACGGCTGCTAGTTGCGTCATTCGGGGATCCCGCGCTGGCCCGAGCTCAACCCCACGCCGGGCCTTGGCAGTGTCCGAGCTCGAATGCCAGCCCGCGTTTCCGTGCGGGCGGACGCCCGGCAGGCTTGTTGGTTGCATCTTGGACCATCAACTCGTCCATTTTCCGTGTTTCCCTCTTTCCCTCGCCATTGGGTGAGTTGGATGGGCCATTGTCAGAACCGCTCGGTAAAGGATGAGGCCGCTGCTTCATCATGCTTCACGCTTGCTTGCGCCATTGCTAGTGCCCACGACGCGAGCTGGGGCAGGATTTGCGCCAGCAATATGCTCGACATGTCAGTACCGGAGGGGTGATGGCTTCCAATTGAACGGCAGGAGCATACCCGAACCATGCTCGCGACGGCCATTTTCCACCTCGAGGAGATGGAGGGAGGATAGAAAGGAGGGCGATCCGTCACAGCCCATTTCAATGCCACCACCGTCGCCAGAATCGCAAAACACGGGAGACAGTAGGCCTGCATTCACAGACAGCCCGTCGTTGCAAGAGAGACAAGAGCGACTTCAGAGGGAATTCGACGAGATACAGAGACAGGCCGAGGAGCAAAAGGTGCGGGAGAAGGCACAGAAGTTGCGGGAAGAGGAGGAGGCGCGCCGGCAGGCAGAGGAGAGGGCACAAGAACAGCGGCGTCTGCAACAACAGGAACAGGCTCGAGCAGCCCAAGTCCAAGCCACGGAAACAACACTCAAGAAAGAGGAGGTCGACGACAACATTGCTCGTGTACCGGATGAACAGCTCCCATCCCATCGCGAACGCCAACGATGGAGTCTCTCCAAGCGCCTCTCAGACGCCATGGACAATCTCCTGCCCAAGCTTGCCCTGGTCACGCAAAAGGTCAACACATATACCGGTACAGACTACTCTGGCGTCGAAGCCCTGCGTCGAGAGATTCAGGAACAAGGTAGGGTTTTGACTTCGAACCACTTCACGAGCCCATGCACCTAACAAACCCGCAGAAAAACTGGTCAAAGCCCGCCGCCTGGCCATTGACGAGAAGAAGCAAGCCCTCGACACCGCCCTCGCCCACCAAGCCGCATCCCAGAAAGAAGTCGTCGCGCTCCTCGAGCGCAAACACTCATGGTCCTCGAGCGATCTCGAACGCTACATGTCCCTCATCCGCTCCGAACACATCAACGACCAAGCCGTGCGCGAGGGCAAAGAAGCCGTCGCCAATGCGGAAAACGCGCTTGAGGAAGCCCGGGCACAGCTCGAGAAGCGGGAACGTGCACAGTACCACGAAGAGCAAATCTGGAGTGACACGATTCGCAGAAACAGCACTTGGGTCACCTTTGGTCTCATGGGCGTCAATATCTTCCTCTTGCTCTTGAGCCTGGCTGTACTCGAGCCCTGGAGACGCAGGCGCATGGTGCGTGAGATCAAGACGGCGTTGGAAGCCCAAATCTTGGCCATGGAGAACACACCGGCTTCCACAACGCTCACTCCGGCGGCTGCTGCGGCGGCAGAGGCGGCGGCGGCGCAGCATGTCATACCGGTAGGTGGACTCTTTGACGTTGGCGCTGAACCGACCACTGAATTCTTCGAGGCCTCGGAACCCATTGGCGATGAAACCCTCGCTCAAATACCACCACAGACTTCCGCCACTTCATCGTCAACAACTACACCACCCACCCCCACCGTCGTCGTACAAGACCCGCCCACGCTCGTCGATCCGGCACTCGAGTCGGACACTCCCGATCCTGCTTCTACGCCTCCTACGCCGCAAGATTCCCTTCCCGTGGCCACAGACTTCGAAGACGCGCCATCTTCTCCCCGCTCCACCCTTCAACAATGGCAGCATCACGTCCGCGCCGCGGCCCTGGATGTAGTCAGCGATCGTGTGATTTCCATACGCAGGATTGATTACACGGCTGCTGTGTTGCAGGGGGCTGCCGCAGGTGCAGTGATTACTGCCGCGTTGGTTGCGCTGTGGAGGGGGGGTTGAGAGCGAGGTGAGTTTGTACATGGGTATATTGGTGTAGATTATGGGGATGTAAATGGGGAAGTTGGGTGAATCGAGCTCGCGTCTTTGTGCATGGGACTTTGTGGATGTAGTATATACTAGTTATCAAGGATCGAGGATTCCTTGGTTTCACGCTTATGAGAAGGATTTGTGTGTATTGTGCATGAATGCAAGATGGCTTGTAGAGTTTATAGAAGGGGAAAGGGAGGAGGTGGGGGTATGACTTTGTTGCATAGGTTGGTGTTGTCTAGAATTTTAGTAGCAGAGCATGAAAGGAACACACTCTTGCTTCCAACACCACCACAACACCACCCCAGCAACAGTTGAATTTCGAACCCCGAGCATATCTCGCAGCTTCCCTTTCCTTCCCATTACTCAACTATACACATCCGACATCCTCCCAGTCCAACCTGAGCCGAGCCTGAAACTCACCCCCTCACTCACCCACCCAATCGACCCACACACCCAAACTCAGGAATCATACCCAATATCTCCTCGAGCTCTAATCGCTCTCCTCGCTCCAGCTGGCCCGACCTGCTCAGCAACGCGTTAGCAAGTTGGCGCGTTAGACAGTGGCACGCTGTACAGTCCGGGACGCAAGGGCGGATACGTGGAGCTGTGAGTGTGCTTGTGGGTATGGGTTTTGACAGGGAAAATGGGGTTATGGTGGACTTACGGGTGTGGGGGGAGTAGGCGGCGGTGATGTTGGAGGTCAACTTGGACTTGGGCTTGGACTTGAAGTCTGGGTGCAAGGTGTTGTCGAGGGCTTCATGTGTGGCGAGGCCGTTGTTGTCGTCTGCATCGCTGGCTGGGGTTTCGCACTTGATGAGTTTTGGCTTGCCGTTGCTGTCGCCCTTGGGCTTGGGCTTGGGCTTCGGCTTCACGGTGACAGAGTTGCTCTTCTTGCGCTTGGGCAGCTCTTCTTCAGGAGCGTCTTCGTCTTCGGACTCATTCTTAGTGGGCGGAATCTCAACTCCCTCGTCATCAGTGGCGGGCGTCATCTTCTTAGACGAGGACGCGCGCTTGCGCTTCGGGGTTGGGGTCGCGGGGACTTGGTCTTCATCGTCGTTACCACTGTCTGGAGAAAGATTTCGCTTGTTGTTCTTGGGCGTAGCGCGAGACGTCTTGTTCACAGTCGAGGTTGACTTGCCAGGAGAATCATTGGCGGGAATCGGGGGGTTGTGCTCAAAGGCCTGCTTCATGCGGGAGTAGCGCTTGCTGGCTGCGCCAGGGGTGGTGCCGCATTTATGAGCGATGTCGGGCCAGTTGGGCTGCTAGAGGTTGGGGGAGTGGTTAGTTTGGGATTACGATGGATGTTGTAGTGAAGTGAAGTGAAGTGAAGTGAGGTGAGGTAAGATGAAGAATGTGGCTGTACAGGTGAAAATAACACTCACGTGTTCACGCTTATCGTGTTTGACGCAGAGCCAGAGGAACGGGTAGTTGGACGCCGCAGGTGTTTCGCCCTTGTCCATGGATTGCTTGAGGCGATACCAACGCTTCGAGACGGCGCCAGACTTGAGGTCCATGGCGGTGGCTACAGCGGCCCAGTTGATCTTTGATAAGTTAGTTTGATGTATACTGTGTGAGTTATGAAGACAGGGGAGCTGAGAGTGCGATGAGATGGGGGTTAGGGTGAGACGTACGTTGGGCGCTCCACCGTGGGTCAGTATCAAGTACAAGAAATGAATATTCTCGGAGTCGGTCGGCATGTTGACGACGAGAAGCTGATGCAAGTCAGTTGTGATCTTCTCTGCTTGTGCGAGTAATATGCTCACATGCTGTTGCTATACGTGTGATCTTATTCGCGGGTATCTGAAGTTTAGACTCGAGACATTGGAGTGTAGGTGAGGAGGGACAGTCAGGTCGGGTCCGTCTCTCTTTTATAAGCCCCCAAGGCGTAGCAACAACAAGAGTGCGACAGCAAAAGACGCACTAACATGTTTAGCGCCGAATTCTGCAGTTGAATAGGAAGGAGCGGTGTTTTTGGTCAGGACAAGTCAAAGTGAATGTGCCACTAAGCTGCGGGAGATGAACGTGATAGAGAGCCCAGACATGCAAGACCTCTAATTGAACAGGAATTAGAATGCTGTGTAAAGTTTGGGTAGGTTAAAGGACAAGTGAATAAGTGAATAAGTAGGCATGGAAGGAAATGCTCGAATTGGTGCGCATGTAGATGATTATGCCAAGCTATGGCAGGACAAACAGCTGCGTCCAATCAAAGCCTGTCTATCCCAAAACAACAAACGACGCACCTCAGAACTGCACTCCCATCCTCTCCCATATGTGCTCACCCCAAATCCTACGAACCAACACCCAATCCAACCTCTGTGTCTTTAATCCCTCTTCCCACCAATTCCGAAAAGTCCAATCCCACCTCCCTCAACATGGCCGCATGCTCATGCGCCAGTTGCATACACTGATTCCACACATTACCATTCTCGTCCACACTACTCAGCTGCCTCTTCAACAAGACGTTGAACTGATCAATGTGTTCCTTTGCCCACTTTACGCACGCAGACATGAGTGGCTGTGGGAAACACCTCTGGTACATGTCAACAGTGTTCTTGATGACGGTGAAGTAGATGTAGGAGATTTGGAAGATGTAGTCTGGGAGGTTGCCCTCGAAGATGCATTGACTAGTCGAAGTACGTTAGTGCAAGAAGAAAAGAGAAAATGGAAAGTGTCAACGTACCGAGAGCGGGTAGCAATTAAATCACCACGAGCAGCGAGATAGGCTTCCCGGGCTCGATCTTCAAATCCAAGTTGTATAACCCACGAGACATGTTGTCGTACTGAGGTAAACCAATTATTATGCTCGACCATGTGCTTGATGAGAACATTTGCGAGCTTGGCAGCTCGTTCATCGACTTTGAACGTGACTATTGTTTTGGCCATTTCGTTGCCTCTGATGTCCTTGGCCAGTGCCTTGAGTCGATCTACCTTGCCCACGGCTTCTTCAAAGTGCTGCAGCGCAATCTCAATGTCTAGGTCGTCCAGCTGGCTTTCCACCCACCGGATCGTGCGCTGCTGGCCGTCAATGTCCACAAAAGTGCTGATTTGATCATGGTTTACGCTGTCAGAGAGGTTCTCCAAGAGCTCCGTTTGTCGTAAAAGGGCCGGATCTCTTGCAAGGAGATGGCTGTAAGAGTCTTGCGTCCGGTCCTTTTCTTGCACCTCCGCTTCCTGGTTCTTGCGGAGGTCGTCTTTGGCTTTGCGGAAAGTTGAGATGAAGGCTGTCTTGTCCCCGCCATCCTCTTTCTTGGTGTCGTAAGTGAATGACTCGGAACCAGCTCGGATGATAATACGCTCTTCCGGTGTCCTCGTGACTTGAATGTCCAACAACGGGAAACATCGTTGGGCAACGTACTCTACAGCCGTCCGATTGCCATCACGCTGACTGGCAACATCATTCCGGGCCTTCTTCTCCGCAGCAATCAGCAGGTGGTCGTTGAGTAGGAGTAACCTGACCCTGCGTCTAGCCTTGAGGGTGGCCGAGTCCAGCTCAAACCATCTGGTAGACTTCCACACGATGAACCGGCCTGGTATGGGAGGTAGATATTTCTGTGAGCCTTCTACATCCCTGTATAATTGCTGGAGTTGACCGGCGCGTAGTTGATTCAGATCGCCGATAGAAGAGCGGTTCGCTCTCCGTTTGCTCGCCGCGTCCTTGCTGGCACCTGTGGCAGAAGCCGTCTGCTCGAGGGTAGTCGTCAAATCAGACATGAGTTGGCGCAGGGTGCGCATCTCGCCCTTGAGCTTCTCCGCCTCCTTGCTGATCTTGATAAACTGGGTTCTATTCTGATAGACGTTGGTCTGCAGGTCCATGGAGGTGCGGTGCTTCGTCTTGATCAGGTCGTCTTGATAGCGACGAATCTCTTCTTCGGTGGCATCTGCGAGCATGGAAGAAACATCTTGAGACTGGTGTTAGCTCTGTCGTTGCCATAGTGCTCCCCTACGAGTGAGAGCTCCAGATCAGCTCACATTGCTCTGCCCGGAGATTGGGATCCCGCAGCACTTTCATGTCCACGCGCAACAGTCGTTCCTCGGCGGTTCCAGCCGGCGCTCTTCCGTCCCTGCTGCGCTCTCTGTACTGATTCGGTATCCGGGGCATGTCTGGCATGGGAGCGCCGTTGCCATAGTCTCTGGGCGCGGTGGTGATCTTCTGCGAGTACCTCCTCTTGACCATGTCGGCCGTCTTGTCCGCCCGCTGTGGCCTCGGTTGCTGGGCATCCTGCCTCGTCCTCGATCTGCTCGATTCATCCGAAGGCCGACTCGCGTTGGACAGTGCAGCAGCAGCTCCAGCTGGCATGGGCGCACTGATCTGTCGTGGCGCGCTGATGGTCGGTGGGGCATGGGCATGCTTCTTGGGCTTGTCGCTGCGCTTCCTGCGCAACGAGATGCCCTTGGACTTTTCCTTGTCCGACATGCTCTTGGAGATTCGCTCTTCTTTGCTAACTAATTCGGGGAGAACGGGAATGTGGGAGAGGAGAGAGGGGTGAGGGGTGAGGGGTGAGGGGGGGTTTGAGTATCGGGAGTGAACAGGTCGCAGTAATCAGTGAAGAGTGGTCTGTAGTTGGTACCTAAGCTGTCCATAGGCATAAGAGCAGCTACGGGACGTCCCGACTTGATAGGTTACGTCGACTACTACCGTACCATTAGGTCGAGCTCGGACCCGCCAACTTTGACGTGCCTTTGCGCGCGCCTTTGCCCCGACATCGAAAAAGTTGCTCGCCGCCATCTCCCAAAACATCGCCCATAACCCAAATCGCCCATCAGCCAGCCCCGTCTGCTGTCCTGCTTGAACCTTCCTCTCCCTTTTCTCTCCCCGCTGAATCCATTACCTGATCCCCACCCTCCTCCTACCTCGGCCCTTCTCCCCCAGTCACACAATGTCTTCGTCGTCGTCCAACTCGTCATTAAAGCCCGGCACTATCGCGGCCATCGTCGCAGGCACCGCCGCCACCGGCTTCCTCGCATACGCCGTCTACTTTGATCACAAGCGGCGGAACGACCCCGAGTTCCGCAAACAGCTCAAGCGCGAGTCGAAGCGGACACAGCGGGCGGCAAAGGAGGAGGCTGAGCACCAGGGCGCAGAGCAGAAGAAGGCCATTCGCGAGGCGGTCGAGCGCGCCAATGAAGAAGGCTTCCCCAATGATCCGGAGGAGGTCGAGGCCTATTTCATGCAGGAAGTAGCAAAGGGTGAGGGCATGGTACAAAAAGGTATGTCCTGTCCTAGCATCGGTGGATGGAGCAGGCTGTGGTGGCAGACAAGGTACTAACCGTCTTTTCGCACAAGCAGGCGAAGACAATGTCGAGGCAGCTCTATGCTTCTACCGCGCTCTCAAAGTATACCCCAACCCAAGGGAACTCATCAACATCTACGACAAAACCGTGCCCAAGGTAGGCTATTCTTCTTCCCCGCTCTCGAATCTCTCTGCTAACAAACAACCCCTCTCCCCGCTCCAGCCCGTCCTCGACATCCTCGCCGAAATGATCGCAGTAGACACGTCGATTCCCGTAGGCGGCAGTAAAACGCCCTCAGATTCAGACTCTGTAGGCGATCTCGAATAGACCAGCACAAAACAAAAACACACAGAAATCGCCCTTAGTTGCGTTGCGTTGCGCATTCTGATGCCCCGTATACACCTCCCCCAGCTGCTCCCATCATCGAAATCAAAACACACACACACACACACACACAAACACAGACACACACCATAGAAGCAAACAAAAACAAACACACAACCCACAAACGATGATGATGACGGCCTTGTACCATAACCCTTGTAACCTGTATTATATCACCAAAATTCACCAGTGTGGTGTCTGAATTAGGGGTCTTTTATGCATGATGCATGCATGCATGCAATGCAAGTCCCCCGGGCGTTCCGGTTCGGGTCGTTGAAATGTCGTGTCATCTCTCCCAGGCGGCATTAGTAGGATGATGGAGGGAAGTTTTGGCAAATGCTGCATAATACTTCGCTTTCTGGAGAGGCTTCTCTTTTTCTCTCTCCCTCTCTGATGAGGCGAAAATACCCCACTCTTGTTTCTGTCTGGTGGGTGGATGGAATTTAATGCAGATGCAGATGCAGATGCAGATGCAGAGATATACATTTACTTATATCCTGGTCCATGTCAATTGCTATAATGATGACGATGATCGATGACGTATGCTGAAGAAGGAGGAAAATTAAAGTGCTTTGGATGGTTGAATTGTCAACTCAGTGGGCAATATTTCATCGCCCCGAGAAAAATAATAGAGCAAGGCATGCCTGGCTACGGTACAAGGCAGTAGTTCAAGGTGCAGTATTAGTTCGTCATCTGATTGGTGATTGGTTGGTCGAGCATGTTAAAGCGTACGTGTATGCCAAGTGTGCATATCAGCACTTCTTGTGTCTGGCTATGGTCATGGTCATGGCTGTGCCTATATCGTTTCTCTACACCCTCCCAAACGCCTCGCTTGAAATGACGGTTCGTCAATCAATCCGCTTTCGGTTTCGCTTTCCCTGCCCTCGTCCTTCATCTTCTCTGTCTCTGCTCTCTGCACTCTCTCCCTTTCGCTTCAACCCAAAACCCAAAATATACACAACACGCCTCAACGGCGCAAGAGAACTAGAATGTCGATGTAATGATGCCATGTCCAAACTGTCTTTCAGCAAGAGCACGAGCTGTCTGTCGGTGGCTGGCTAGGGTTAATGTTCACATCAATCACTATTAGAACTTGTTAGCATGATAATCCCTCTTCCCAATCCGTCCTCAAAACCAAACAAAGAAGAAACATACTTTGACTCTGTCCCTGTTGCCCCTCGCCTTCCATGCCTGGCAACGCCTGCGCAATCCTCTTGAACAGCGCCTTTACATTATGCCCCACCTTTGCGCTCGTCTCAATGAACATGAGATTGTTTTTCTTGGCCTCCTCTTCGCCCTGCGCCGTCGTGACTTCCCGCTTGTCGTTAAGATCCGTCTTGTTGCCAACAAGCACAATGATGACGTCGTTGCTGCGCTCGCTGCGCACGTCGTCGACCCATTTGCGTGTGTTTTCAAACGTCTTCTTGTTGGTGATGTCATACACTACGACGGCCACGCTTGAGTCGCGGATGTACGAAGGGATCAGGGAGCGGAATCGTTCTTGGCCGGCTGTGTCCCAGAGTTGGAGGCGGACGGTGCGGTCTTCGAGGTACATTGTCTGGTGGAGGATATGTTAGATTGCTTTACTTGGTGCAGCAGAGAAGTTGCCGGTATCGTTGTGGTTGTGCTGTGATGGGAGGGTGGCAAGAAAGCACACCTTTGACAAGAAGTCTATGCCGATGGTGGCTTGGTATGTATTGTCGAATGAGTCGTACATGAAGCGTGTGATGAGGGAGGTTTTGCCCACTGGTGTAGGCTAGTTAGTTACACTGTTTCCTCTCTAATATCACCATCGCCCATGCAAGGCTGAACAAGGGAAAGCTCACCACTCTGCTCGCCCAAGAAGACCAACCTATACACATCAGCATCCAAGATCTCCTGCCCTCCCTGCATGCCAGAATCTCACTCACTTGAACTTCTTGAGCGGATTCGAGTACCCTGATTGCGCCATTGTTGCTGCCAAAGAGTCGTGAAAGGGACCGGGAATTCAAAGGTTGGTTGGATCTACAAGAATAGTATCAAAGCGTCGGTCTCGTTTGTGATTGCGTATCGTGCCGTGTCGTGTCGTGCCGTGCCGTGTCGTGTCGTGTCCTATCGAAGCGGGGCTAGGGGATGGATGAATAGAAGTTTGGGGGGAGGTTGCTTTGTTTCCTTGGAGGAATCCCAATGGACCCCCTAGTACCTGGACGACTTCTGCCACCGACCGCCGCCCGACACTACCGAGCGGCCACAGGGCGGGTGGACTATTCTGGGATTAGCCGCCCATTAGTCCGATTCGGGCTAGTCGCCGATTCGAAAAGTTCGCGGCCTTTGGCTGAGAAGGAAACCCCCACAACCTTTTGGGGCATTTACAACACCAACTCCAACACCAATACTAACAATAAATAACGAGAATTACACGAAGAGCGAGCATGGCCGACACGGAATCAGCCCCAGCGCAGTACAAGCAACCCAGCCGTAAAGGCAAGAAGGCGTGGCGCAAAAATGTAGATGTCACAGAGATTCAGAGTGGACTGGAAGATGTGCGGGACCAGATCATCACTGGGTAAGTTTGGAAAATAAACATATATTCTGTACCTTACATGGTCATACTAACATAATTGCAGTGGTGTCATTGCAGAAAAGCCATCTGACCAACTCTTCGCCGTCGACACAATAGGCTCGGCCGACATCCAAAAGGCCACCGCCCGTCGCCACAAGCCACTCAAAGTTGACCAGATCCTCGCCCAACGCTCCGCCGTCCCCGCCGTCCCTTCGCGGAAACGTCTCTCCGAAATAGCCGATGACGGCAAACGCAAGAAGTCCAAGGTCTCAGGTAAAGAATTCGATCGGCTGCGTGCTATCGCCTATGGCGGCGATCAGACCAAAAAGGACATTGTACAGACGGGCAACACCGCCGACTACGATCCATGGGCCGTGCAGGAGGTCAAGAAAGACCCACGTTTCACCTTTCTCAAGGAGAAGAAGGCCAAAGTCGCGCCCGTCACCCTAAAGCATGCGCCCATCTCCCAAGCCAAGTCTGGCAAGCCCATTCCCTCTGTCCGCAAACCCGCTGGCGGCAAATCCTACAACCCCAAATTCGAAGACTGGCAAAACGAACTCATGCGCGAATCCGACAAGGCTGTCGAAGCCGAGAAGAAGCGTCTGCAGGAAGCCCGCGAAGAAGCCGAACGCATGGAGCGTGCGGCTGTAGAGTCCGAGGATGATTCGGGCGAAGAAAGTGTATGGGAAAGCGAGTGGGAAGGCTTCAGTGGCGACGAAGAGGAGAAGTTGAAGGTGAAGCGACCGGAGAGGAAGAGTCTGTCACAGCGGAATAAGATCAAGAGGAGAAAGGAGGCGGAGCGGAAAGCAATCCACGAAAAGAAGATGAAGGCCAAGGAACAACAAGTACAGGAGATCAAGAAACTCGCGAAGAGTGTCGAGGCCAAAGAGAAGGCGCGCGACGCTGTGCGCAAGGCCCTCGAGGACAAGGTCAACGAAGTCGTATCCGAAGACGAGGGTGGTGAAATCGAGCTCCGCAAAAAGCAATTTGGAAAGGCTCCGTACGACACCTCTTAACCCCAGCTCTGGAACCACACCATGCTAACAGTAAACCACAGCATCCCCGAAGCCCCGCTCGAAGTCGTCCTCCCAGACGAACTCCGCGACTCCCTCCGCCTCCTCAAACCAGAAGGCAATCTCCTCAAAGACCGCTTCTACACCATGATGCTGCAGGGCAAAGTCGAAGCTAGACGCCAGATTCCTTATGCTAAGCAGAGAAAGTACACGGTTTCTGAAAAGTGGAGTTATAAGGATTGGCAGTTACCCAAGGCTACCTAATTGGCGCCTTTGGGAACTGGGAAGGGGAAGGAAGGAGGCAGGCAGGTAATGAAGTGAAAAACGAAGGAAAGGGAAGGGACGTTCTACTAGTTTGTAACCCTTGGGATAAGCAGGATACTTCCCATATGAGAGAGATTGGTGGCAGTGGGGCAAGTGGGATATTACCCATACTACTAGAAAATGCGTCCAAGACGGGCTTGCATTGTTTTAAAAGTGTGCACAATGCTATTCCCTCTCGACACATCATCCAAACAAAAATACCCCTGAGCAAAAGAACAGCACTGTCATAACAATCCACTCCGACATGTTCGGCCATCCCTCCCAACCAACAAATTCATCGCCGACGCCTGCGCCTGTAGAGAGGTAAATTTGAGCGAGTGGCTTCAGTGAAATAAGTCTTCAAGTCTGTACTTCCCATATTCAAGGACTGTGTGCAATGAATCCCGTCAATTTCAGCTGTTTGCAGCATGAATCACTCTCCCGACTCAAACAATGATAATAAACGATGCAACGACCTCAGCAAAGCGTGATATTCTCGAACTTGCGCTCCAGCTCGGCCCATTTTCGTAGGAAGACGATTCCGAGGGAGATTCTGTAGGCAAAAGGTTCAGCTTCTCCGAGGAGTAATACATTGACTGTAGGTGGTGGTCTGAGCAGTGTCCCATCGCAGTCCTCATAGGTGATATTTAGGGACCTGTATATGTCGGCTGGTATATGCGTACGATGCTTAAGCGATTCGGGGAAACAATTTGGAATATTATAGTGATCTCCACATCCAACTGAAATCGCCAGCAACTTGAAGATTTGGCCGTGCAATTGAAATTCTTTGGATGTGAGATCGATTGTTCGTGGTTTGGTGAGGATACCGATGCACTTGCCGTTGAGAGTTTTGATCTCCCATTGAGGGTGACAGCCTTGCGCGTGAGTGGCGTGCCTTGAAATTTGCACAAGACTCGTCTGGCCTCGAGTGCTGAGCAACGTTTGTGGGATTTGGGATATACCTGCAGGAGCTTGACAGGTCGGTAGGGTGTCAAAAGCATCGTGACAGAATTCAGAATACGAAGGCCACTTTGACTTTGCAAATTCGTTGTATTCATCAAAGGTCATGTGTTGTAATTTCTGGATGGGCTCGTGGGCCAAAGTTTCTGAAAGACATCCTTCTGCCACAGCTAAGGCTATGTTTAAACATGGTGTGCTCATCCTGAGAGAACTTTCATCTGAATGGAATGAAGGAAATCCATCAGGGTAATCATTCCAGGGAAAGGTAATATGGCCAGTCAATTGGAAGCTATTTTCACAACTGCCGGTCTCGTTTGGACGCTTTTCGTCGTGTCCGCTCATGTTCACTGTCCATCTTACTAATGACCCGAATATATGGTGGAAGCCGATAGCACCCGATATAGATGACCATGACCAACTAGGAAGGCAGATCTCTGAGGATGTTCGTAGTTCCATTTTTTTCGTAGCAGTCCAGAGCAATGCTGCATCAATATCATGAAGAGGCAAACCGCAGGTGAAGTTCTCAGAATAGTTGCGGACGCCGTAAATTGCTGTAGCAATGCCCGCAAAAGCGTTGTATACGTCCGATGAGCAAGAAAAATTGCGCATATTGTAGGATGAACAAATGTCGCGGTATGACTGAAATTGGGGTGATGTATCTGTGGACTTTTGGGCCAGGCTCCATTCTTGACTATGAATATCTGGATCATTTCCGTTCAACATGGCTTCCTCGCTCGTGATTCCTTCTGGACACCCCCAGAAGCTCTGGGTTGGAGTCAGAAATAATTGCCTTCTACTAAGCAAGTGTTCCTGATACGTCCAGGCTCGTGTTCCCCAGACTGAATCCTTCATTGAGTCATCGAGGTCAGGCAGACAGGTGCGAATCTGCAGGCCACACATCCGATATTCCCTGATCGACAATTGACGCGCCTCGCTGACTCCAGGGATGCGCACGTTCATATTGTCGCCACAGAGTGTAATAATTGTGTAGGCTGCATTGGAGTAGATGTTTTGCATCCCTGCAATTTGGTCTTTTTTATCTTCAACATCATCCTGGACGATGCCTTGTCTCCAAATCTTAGTCAGTATGGGTGCGTGAAGTGCAACATGGAATGCCCAAGGGCTCACATACGTAAACGATCGGCCCAGAGATAGCGCTCGCCCATGTGCAGACATACTTGTATTGCATCCTCGATGGTAGCTGGCATGTGCTTCATTGAGAGACCACCTCTTTCTTCATATTCCCGAACTGTTGATAAGGTGGACATGAGCTTGGTTTTATCTGTACACAGACCCCAAACATAACTTAAAGTTACGTAGCGACACCTAAGCTGCGATAGTTGAACAAGCTTTCGTTCTTGGACATCAATACAGCGGAATGCAGCTGGGAGTTTGACAGCATTCGACTGCCCTGTTGAACCCAGTTCATGTTTGTCCCAGCATTCCTCAATAGTGGACCTCAAATGTGCCCAGTTGATCAGTTTCGAAACGTGAACATGAGAGTCTTGTCTCGACGAGACCGCTTCTGTTGGGCACCAGATTTTGAGTCGTCTGAAACAGGAGTAACGAGGGGGAACTTCCATATAAGCATACAGCCCAAGCAAATCTTGTCTATCTGTTGCAGGATACACGGAAGACTTAAGTCGCAATCCGGTAGCGAAGGTTCTGCTGCTTGAATCCTCCGGCCAATGGCTTACGTCTTGTTGCAAGAGGTCATGCAATGCGCAACCTTGCACGGACTTGATGTCATCCCATGTTCCGAAATTGATGCTCTCTGATACTGACTTGCAGTATATCAAATGCCCGAGCCGTAGATGCTGACAGAAGCCACAGAGAGACTCATGTCTCTCCACAGACGACTCTATCATCGAGCATTGTTCGCATCGGGCATGGAATAAGGTATAATTGTCGATTTCTAATTCACAGGCATGTGCGATCGGAGAATTCTCGTAGAATGACAGATGGACAAGGCTCCATCAGTATCCAGTCTGTACGTCTGTTGATCCGTGTCTTTTCAGTTCCAGAAGATGTCGGTCGATCGATGGATGTTTTGGATGGACATGAGTGCGCCATTATCAGACATCACCTCGTACAAGTTCTGCCGACGCTGCAATGACGCATCAGCTCAGCGATGAAGCATTCCAGGTTACTCTCCATGAGGTCTTGAGGGGTTGTTGCCAGTGTGTCAGCATTTCAGTATCTCAGTATCACTCATCGAGTGGCTCTTCCATCACGGCACTGTGACGTAGATAAGTGCAGTCAGCACTCGGAACGGAAGTCATCTTATCGATAAGCCCCATGTCACAATTTCGAGCAGTCGCAATTCACATCTCCAACCCAGACATACATACAATGGCATTCCGGAAACGAAACATTGCGCTTTCGCGCGCACCGCCAGGCGATGATGTGCCAAGTATACCTACAGTTGCGTCGATAGCATCGCCAGCGCCAGCATCTCCCGGCGTGCGCCCCTCACCCATCGATGGTCGCCCCACCACCTCCACTGGCACGCCTTCACTTGATGGCATATTGGCAGGTCATGCAGGCTTGCCACTAGGCAATTCGATCATGATAGAAGAGAGTGGCACGACCGACTATGCAGGTGCTCTGCTAAGATTCTACGCGGCGGAGGGTGTGGTGCAGGGACACAAGGTACATGTAGTGGGCATGGGCGAGGTATGGGGCAGAGAGCTTCCAGGTATCTCAGAGGGCAAAGAGGATAAAAGGAGAGAGGGTAAGGAGAGGGCGGAGAAGATGAAGATTGCGTGGAGATATGAGGGGTTGGGACAGTTTGAAAGTGCTCGAGGTGCGTCGTTGTACATAAACTTCATCCCATGCAATTCTTCGAGAGTTTGCATCTGACGCTATGTATTCAGGGTCTCCAACTACAGTCAAGACAGCTAGCCAATCTGAAGATGCGTTGGAACAAGTTTCGGTGTTTTGCCATACCTTCGATCTTGCCAAAAGACTTACGCTCCCGGTCGGCAGCGCAATCAATTATATCCCGATACCTCGACCCACATCAGCCACCTCTTCGCCTTTCCCATCGATACTGCAGAATCTGCAGAGACAACTTGCCTCAACACCATTGCATATGGTGCATAGACTCGTGATACCGTCGCTCCTCTCGCCCGCCTTATATCCACCGTTTGCAGCGCATCCCAACTTCATACTCCAATTCCTACACGGCCTCCGAGCTTTGCTCCGGCAATATCCCACACGCCTTACTGCAATCTTCACCCTCCCATTGTCGCTCTATCCAAGGTCGTCAGGGGTTGTTCGCTGGATGGAGATCCTTTCTGATGGTATTCTCGAGCTATCGCCGTTCCCCTACTCGCACAGGCAAGCTCTTGCGCAATCAGCGGGTACGACAAAAGACGAAGAGAGACCACAAGGCATGCTCGATGTGCACAAACTGCCAGTGTTCCATGAAAAAGGCGGCGGCGGAGGGGCAGACGACCTGGGGGAAGAGATGGCGTTCACGTTGAGTAGACGAAAGTTTGTGATTGCCAAATTCAGCCTGCCCCCAATGGAAGGTGATACGGAGGCGCAGGAGCAGGCGGTCAGGGAGGCAGCCGGTACGAGCTCGATGCCGAAGAAGGAGGATCTGGAGTTTTAGGTCGGCGGAACGTGTTTGGCGACCAATAGACGATACCCTTTGTAGCAGTAGACCTAGTGAAACTTGCATCCATTCCATGGGCCATGGCTATGCTGTCAAGATGCATGTATCCTGCCCGCCGTTTCACTCGTCCTCACTATCATCCCCAAGCATGTCTTCCATTTCAATTTGCTCCCATCCCGCGCTGCTTGCGCCTGAGCCAAAACCACGCGTATAATTGCGTCCAAAAGATGCTTGTCTGGGATTAAAGGTCATGCCAGCAAAGCGAGCGCGAAATCCATCGCCCATGCACGATGATGCGGCAAGAAAAGCGAGAAAAAACAGAAAAGGAACCAAGAGCAAGAGACTCAGCAGTAATAGGACGTGCATTGCGATTTCGTTGGATGACGAGCTGAGTTAGGAAGTGTGGACGAGCTGAAGAAGTCTCGTACTATTGCTACCTAGGTGGTTATGACATAGGTAGCGCCGGTGTTTGGATGCGCTAACACCGATCCCCTGGGCGTCACTCATCTCCACAAGAAGCGCAGCTCAACAAAACGCTCGAATGCGACTTCAAGCGCAAATCGAAAATGAACAAGATTACAAGAGCCCCAATTAGCGCATTCTTGCTGCTATCATGCGCACTGAGCGTGTCTGCACACGGCGGTGCGACAGAGCATCCACAGGTCGAGGTTGCGCCAGATGCAGACTGGGCGACGCGACATATGGCTGGTATAAACACCCTACAAAGCGCCATATACCCTTGGTAGAGTGCCAGGTAGACTGATACTGCTATACAGAGGAGCATCACCTTTCCGGCTTCGACGCAACGACCTTCTTCAATTTGCACGACTACGAGAGCACGGGGCTCTGGACGGCCAAGGATATCCGCCGCACTTACGGCCTCGAAGACGTCTCCTCGGCCTCCATCTCCGAGGGCAAGAAAGGAGCCGTTGTCCAGACCATCCTTGACATGTTCGACATCGACAAGGACGGCGCCATCTCGCTCTCCGAATTCCTTCGCAAAGACCAGGAGGGCACAAAGTTGCCCGATTTTGGTATGGGGCCTGGACATCATGGCGACGACGAGTATGAGTATGAAATCCATCATTTTGAAAAGTATCACAGCGGGGATGATGTCAAAGAGGAGGATTTGAACCATCCTGAGGACATTGCCCATTTCAAGATGCACGAGGAGAAAGAGGCAGCGCAGGAAGAGTGGGAACGGTTGGAGATGAGGGGCGTCGTGGAGAAGAACATTCCTGCAAAGTATAGGAGGAATTAAAGATGTATACGACATTATACATTCTGAATATATGCGGCACGATGGCGTTTGGTGTTGGTGGGTGTGGGCGTGGGCGTAGTGGGCCCTGCCAGGAGTCAAAGGATCAGACGTATACCCATGGTACAGTGATTCTATGGGCTTGGAGGTCTGATCTATATTATGTGTACCGGTATGTTATCGAGTTAACGTGGAGTCACAGAACATGTAATATGTAGTCAGTAAATACTATACAGAACGCAAACGCTTGACCGTGGGTAAGCAAGGCAAGGGTTACCTAGCGATCGCCCCCACACAGAGCAAACAGAGGACATGAAACTATACCCAATCTGGTCACAAAGGGCTAACTACCTAGCTCAGCTTCAGTTGATATTGTCTCCCGTGTCCACCACTGGCAAGACTGGGCAGGCCGTCCTTTTTAAAGTACCTAACATGACTCCTCGTGAGGCAGCAGCGTTCAATCCCGCCATGGCATATATAAAGCCATTACTCGTACCCATATGTCCAAACTCGCCTCACCAACCTGGCTGAATTCACCATGTGGGCTAAGCTAGTCAACGCAGCATCTTTCAACTATTTCGCCCATGATCTTTTACGTCTCCCGCGCGAGCTCCGCTGATTTGATCTACTCTGAATTCTTCTCAAGATGGTTCGTTTTCGATATGGACGACACCAACATCCTGCCCGACATCAGTGACCCGCAACTCCGCCAAGAACTACTCGAAGCCTTCTTCTCCCACGCTTCCTGTTAAATCATACACACCAACTACCTTCCTCTTCTCAATGAAGTCAGCCAATAAGAGGGCGGATGGACCTATCAACAGACCAGCACAATCTGGGGCGCCTACGCAGCCTACAAACCCTTCATCCGACACCTCACGGTTAAAGCCATGGAATTCGAACTTGAGGAAACAGAGCTCCTTCGCCTCGGGTGGGAATGCAGCATTTCCCGCACCGAAGTACGCAAAGAGTGGGCTGAACTTCTCGAGCCCCCCCGGCTAGAGCATCTGAGTAGGTATAGTACTGAACAAAATATCACCCACGCAATTCCACTGGGCAAACTTCTCCCCCATTCTGTACGAGCTGCGCGCCGTGCTCCCGAGATTACGCATTGTTTTTATCGTAGATTATAATATCCTGCTGCGTAAAACATGGGATGCTGAGGAACATGATGATGGTATACATTACTATGCCCCGCATCAGATCAAGAGAGATGTCCATATGACGGAGCTGGTGGCACCGCCAAGCCAGACGGACAGGGAGTATGTAGATAGGTATTGCACGAGGAAGTTGGAGGTCAAGGTTCGGGACGCTATTGTGGGCTCGTTGAGTGAGGGGCTTTATGAAAGGGAGAAGTTGATTCCTCATCATGTTGCAAAGGAGCCGGCGTTGGCGAGGGTGCTGATGGAGGAGCACTACCAGGTATACAAAACATGGAACGAGATGCAAAGGAGTAGGTCAGGGGTAAGAGATAAGTAAACAAGTAGGTGAAACGTACGGCCTATCTTTGCGATCATAGATGAAGATGGTTATGAACTACTAGGTCTTTGCTTAAGTCCAAGAAACCTCACACGTGGCTGGGTTTCAATCAGCTGTCAAAGCAGTCTTTCTTAGGAGGCTCGACTAGTACGTCTGCTCAATCATAATTCAGCTACAGCACGGCTTGCAGATTTGGTCAATTTCCATTGCATTATCTAGTTTCCTATGGAACAATACCGTAGGTATAGACATTGTCATGCTTTCAGAAAACCACCCACGCCCAAGCATGCAGGTGTGTCAAGATCAATACCGGCCTCCACATGATCACTCCGTATCTAAAGGAAAAATGTTCCTCACTTTGACCCCGATATCAATTCTGCCAGAGAACTGATTAGATCGCAAGACCAAACCTGCTTGACCTCTTCGTTTTCGCCCCGTTCAGCGCCGTCTTAACCTTGTTATGATACTTGTCATTTCCCCAAGCCTGACTAGCATCCCACAACATAACACCTCCCATCTTCTCACTCTCCTTCGCCTTCTCAAGATAAGCACCAAGATTTGCTGGCTCCACATAACCACTCGACGCCGCAGTCTTACCCGCCGGCAGTCCGACAAAAAACGTCGAATTCTTGCTCTTAGCCCAATCGCTCCAGGCCGAGAAGTTGGGTACCGAGCCCGTGTTGCATTGCGGGTTGTTGTAGAATTGCACAAAGACCATGTCGAAATGGACATTTTCTAAAATTTCTTTTTGCGCCAGGGGGATCGGATCTAAGGGACATTGGGGAGCGGCTGTGAGGTAGAAAGGTTTGTCGTGACTTGCGGTGCCTTGCATTTGGGCGCGCAGGGCGTTCGCAAAGGCGGCGCCATTAGGCATCGAGTGCTCAAAGTCCAGGTCGAAGCCATCGACAGAGGCGCTGCCAAAGGGCCGGGCAATTCCACTCTTCCCCTGGTTGGGGCCGAACATCTGCCATATCTTTTCTGCGGCATGCACGGCGGCTGGAGCGTCGGGGAAGCCAGGATCGGCGCTGATGGCGCCGCCGATTGATAAGAGGATGGTTTTCTTCTTGGACTGGCAGGTTTTGATGTCGGCTTCTATTTCTGGGCAAATGAGTGGTTGCTTTGACTCGTCGCATTTTCCCTGCTGGTTTGCAAAGTTGAGTTCAGGCTCGCCTTTTCCAGAGTTGATGGACACTACGAATGAGAGGATTATGATATCGATGTTGGTGTCTTCACAGTATGTCGAGAGTCGGTTTTGAGACGTGGGCTGAGCCGCAGAGTTTTGACCCCAGTATACAGCTAGGTTGGTCTTTACTGCAGGGTTGTAGTCTGCGAGAGCAAAGCTCGACATGCATAATATCGTGTGAGCGATTGAAAGTAGTTTCATGATTGGATAAATTATAATAATGCTTCAGTTGAAGGCAGTGTGTGATTGTGATTGTAATAGTTGTTCTGCTGAGTTTTTCTTCGTTGTAGGATATGGTGCAGAGTTCAAGCATGCGAAGGGTAGGTGATTTATAGAGGAAATGTGGTCTGACTCCCAGATATTGATTGCATGACGATGTAATGACCGAAAGTTTTGAGTCAGTGTTTGATGACAGTAATGCTAATGACACCTTAGCATCATCTACTTCGTAGCAGATCCGAATATTCTCCTATTCCAGATTGTCGACATGCTTTGAGTCCCATATGGAGAGTGAGCTTTTGGGGACAGCTGGTACGCAGTATTTGGTTGATATAGAAAATCGGTTGTCCACTCTTACTAATACAATCGTAGAATTCATCACCGACTGTCGTTCTTCGTATGATGCTGATGTTACTAAAGAGTGTGACTTGCCTAACCTTGCGCGTCACTGCAGTAATCAACATGACTCTTTGGCAGACGGAGTGACGCTGACAATTGTGGCCCAGATTTGACTCATCAATTGTGTCGGTTGTTGTACTAGTACGAAATTTACACGTCAGTAGCCAACAGGTGGTGACTCTACGGCCCAGCATAGGTATTGCTCTGGCCCTTTCTCTCTCTCTGAGTTATCCGTTGATGAACACAAGTAAAACTTGCAATTCCGGGTAGCTGGCTCTATGGCTCCAATTCATCAATAGTTATAAGGACCAATATTTCTTGCAATGTTGCAAGGTTGTTAGGTTTTAGGAAACATTGGACGGTGTTGGAGGGCTACATGGATTAAGACGAAAGATGCCTTGATTATAGTTGGCAACAATCAAGCTAATCAAGACTCTAGGTTAAGGCTTGATTAGTGGGCGTTTAGGTAGACGTTGGCTTAATTAATATATATTTTAGGCTTCCAATATAAGGCTAAATTAATAAAGCTTTATAGTCCTAATACTTTAAATTACAATTATTCTTAGTATTAAAGTTTATTACCTAACATAGTACAATAATTAGTCATAGTGTTAGGGGGTTGGCAATTTCGCGAACACGGCCATCACGCGCGCAGCCTCAGTAGACCGCATTAGCAGCAACAAATTACTTACAGCATCAACAGATGACATCGTCTCTGAACCGCGTCTGTCACGTCCTTGAGTACACTTCTGTCCACCCTTTTCTACAATCGCACCCCTCGCTACCTTCCTCAAGCTTCGCGACTGCGACTATATTCCCGAACGTGGTCTTGCCGACGATATCCCGTTCTTGAGACTTCCACATAAGAATCATACCGGTACCCACTAGCGGCGGACAGCGTGCAATCTGTTGACTTAGGACCGCCACTACCTTTCCAATGCGCAACCAAAAGATGACCAGTATTAGATTCCCAACTGGGTTTAACATAACAAACTACCTCAGCTCTGGACTTACGAGCATGGTCTACTTAGACTCGTCCTCCGGTACCGTCGTGAAATATCCTCACCAAGTAGAGGAAGAGCCCGCTATTGAGGTTGAGAGACAGATCTACGAGCGAATCCAGCAACACGGCGGGCACAAAGGTCTGCTGAGATTATATGGTACGGTCGAATCCGGCATCCGGCTGGAATATGCGAGCAAGAATGGACTCCGCGAATACATCCAAGCTCATGAGATCACCAACAAGCAACGCCTTCAATGGGCGCAAGAAATTACCAGTGCGCTTACCTTTGTGCATTCGATAAGTGTCATTCATGCAGATCTAACCTGCGGCAATGTTTGCTTGGACGGCAATCTACAAGCCAAGCTCCTCGACTTTAGTGGCTCCTCCCTGGATGGCTCCGAGCCATTTGTTGTCGTGACTGCCAGCCATAAATATCCCGGAAACGACCTTAAATCAATTCGGGCAGATCTGTTTGCACTTGGCTCTACCCTGTACGAAATCTGGACTGGCAAACCTCCGTACTTTGAGCTGGGGCTCAAAGAGATAGAAATCACCGAATTGTTGATACAGTCCAAATTTCCTGAGACGAAAAGCCTAGGGCCAATAGGCGACATCATCATGGGGTGCTGGCAAGGCAGGTTTACAAGTGCAGATGAGGTTCTGAAAGGTGTGCCCGTAGTTTATTTGCTTAAAGGTCATGTACTAACGCCGTTCAGTCATCATGTCCTGTCGTAGAACCTATCCCTTCGCTCCTCCCATCCTCGAAACGACGGTTGGAGTTTCCGTCCTTGGTTTGCTCGTGTTCCTTGCCCACAGATTAGCAAGGCGATAAAACAACAGGACAATGGGGATCTACATTAAGCGCAGAGTGGGCATTTCCCGCGCTTTTTAGAACTGCCAAACGTTATCGTTTGCCCAGTCACCCCTTTGGCCGGTGTGATGTTGTTGCAAGGGCCGGCCTCAGCACTGCCGTCTTTGCAGTAGTCGTATAATTATCCAGGAAAGGTGTGGTTCTGCTTGCACTCAGAGTATGAGTAGGGATTGTCGACGTAGGTACACATCATGCTGGAGTGAAGCTGCGTCTATGTTAGCTGGACTAAGCCATCTTATACTTAAGAGCTTCAGCTGCAACTGCATGCCTCTAGTGATCAGCTGGCATAGGACATGCATCGAATCGCTAGATCTTGGGAGGTGCATTCTCCACTTGCATTGGTGGCTGCCTAGAAAAGCCCCGCTGAGTGACGCACATCGACAGCTCGTTTGGAGCGACGGCCAGCAAGCATGTCGGGCGAAGGGAACGAACGATGGCACAATTATGATTTGTTAGGCAAGCTGAGTTCACTTTATCATTGTTACAGTACGAGCCGTACAACAGTAAGACTGAATTTGAAGATATAGAGGCGTGTAGAAGCAGTTGCAAATGCTTCAGTGGAGAATCATGTTCCGCTACACTGGGTGTTCCGCTACACTGGGTGTTCCGCTACATGTGGATGTACGCATATATCGTATAATAAGCGTATAACGTTATATATATATCAGTAGTCATTACACGATATTAACATGGTCGTGGAGACAATATCATGCGTGGTATGGTGTATTCACCGTGTTGGTCTACCTCTATGAGCGCCTTCCAGAAAATGCAGGTAAACGTATACTGCGTACGAGCAGTCACTGGGCTACAAGAGAACCTGGATCCGATCGCAGAGCAGCCGGTGTGGCTGAATATATGCTACATCCTACCTACTACCAAGTACGTGACTCATAATAAGTAAGTGTGAATATGCTGACAGAGACTAGGAAACAGGTTACTTAGCCGCGAAGCACATACCTTGCGAGGACGCAATCCTGCTCGATCTGTTACTGGAAATTACTGCTGGCGACTTCAAGCCACATCAACGCAAAATTTCCGGTGGACCAGGCATTCGGCTCGAGATCTTACAAGCTCTTGAGTCGATGCAAAGGTAGAACGAGTCTGCGTTAACAGTTATGCCAAGTAGGTGTCATGAGTGGAAGAGTCAAGCAATGCTAACTCACTGCAGAAAAGCGACGCATGACCATTCAGCAACGTTTGTCCGCGAAGAAGCTCAAAACTGAACCTTCGCTTGAAGACTTATTCGGACTTGTCGGATTTCACTAGCGTGCCAAATGCTGAACCTAATACCGGTATACTGAGGGCGTGTCTGAATCTCACGTTGGTTCGCAAGTGGTGCAGACCAAAGCCTGCTGAGGGGGTTGAACATTTTGATCCATATTCTCACAGATACAGAATATTAAGCCGATGGATTGGTAGTGATCTTGGTATTGTTTTTCGCATCTCTTTTGGAAGTTCGAAGCCCGCAGTGGGCATGCTCAAGGGCATGCGCAATGAGACCGCGATGGGCGATTTAAAAACTTGATATGAGACCAATTAATGGGTCCGAAAAAATAGATTTAAGCCTGTTTGAAAGAGAGAATCAGGAATATGTGACGAAGTTGACCGGATAGCGGTATGCACGCTGGGAAGTCGTCATGAGAGTGGCTGGCACTAACGCTCAACAAGGCTAGCGTGGTTCTCCACTAGTGTCTTCCCTCCATTGATCATTGGTAGTTAGTTCATCCTCTTCCAAGTACAACTCATAGAGTCAAAGACTCTTATGACCAGTTCACAGTTATGGCTGATGAGGAAGATATCGAAGCACCCATAATACCGGACCTCTACAAACCGCCCGCTCTCCTTCCTATTGCGCAACTTCGAGATCAACTTCTTTACACTATCGAAACCTATCCTGTGACAATCGTCGTTGCCGCGACAGGTTGCGGAAAAACGACGCAGATACCCAAATTCCTCTATGAGTCAGGATGGTGCAACAACGGCAGACAGATTGCTGTTACACAGCCGAGGAGAATCGCAGTCACAAGTGTCGCCGCAAGAGTTGCAGAAGAGTTATCAACACCGCTTGGGCAGAAAGTCGGCTATTCGATCAGATTCGAAGATGTCACGAGTGCTAATACCCAGATCAAGTTTGTGACTGATGGACTACTGCTACGAGAGATGCTCGTTGATCCGCTATTGAAAAGGTATTCGGTTGTAATGGTGGACGAGGCACATGAGCGGAGTTTGAGCTCGGACATCTTGATTAGTCTACTGAAGAAGGTGCTGAGAAAGCGAGAAGATTTACGCGTTGTAGTCTCAAGTGCAACATTGGAGGCGGAGAAATTTCTCGACTTTTTCAACCCTGATGAAGATGAGAAGGTACATGGAAAGAGCAGGGCCGATTATGGGAGGATCGTGGGAATAGAAGGGCGGACGTACCCCGTGGAGATTCTGTACAAGAACCAACCAACCAACAATTATGTCGAAGAAGCTGTGGAGACTGTTATGAAGATTCATAAATTTGAAGAAGAGGGGGATATTCTTGTCTTTCTAACGGGTCGTGAGGAAATAGACGATGCGACGGAACTACTTACCGACCGGATTGTCGAGTTGCCTCCCACATCCAAAAGGCTCCTATTATTACCGTTATATGCGGGGCTGCCGACAGAGCAGCAGACATTTGTCTTCCAAAAGGCGCCACCAGATGCACGCAAAGTCATCCTCAGCACCAATATTGCTGAAGCTAGTGTAACAATCGATGGCGTCGTTTACGTAGTAGACACAGGCTACGTAAAACTCCGCAACTACGACGCGCAGCTGGGAATAGAAAATCTCAACGTCGTTCCCGTTAGCAAAGCTTCCGCGACCCAGCGCGCTGGCCGGGCAGGTCGCACACGTCCAGGAAAATGTTTCAGGCTCTACACCGAAGAAGCCTTTGACTCCCTGGAGGAAGCCACATTCCCTGAACTCTCCCGCTCCAACCTCGCGCCTGTGATTCTCCAACTGCTAAACCTCGGCATCACCAACATCATCCGCTTTGACTACCTTTCTGCTCCGCCCTCTGCCCTCGTAACCCGTGCCTTGGACTTGCTCTACTCCCTCGGCGCTCTCGACGCAAATGCTCGTCTCACAAAACCCCTTGGCGCACGCATGGCCGAATTACCTCTCGAGCCTATGCTCTCCAAAGCTCTCTTGCAAGCCGCAAACCCCGAGTTCGGCTGTCTCAGCGAAATGCTCACAATCGCTGCCATGATGACACTGCAAGGTAACGCCTTTGTCAGCCACGACGGCAACAAGAAGCAACTCGAAAATGCACGACGACGCTTCACTGTGGCAGAAGGCGACCATCTCACACTCTACAACGTCTACGAAGCGTTCATCAAAGCCGGAATCCAAAACGTACAATGGTGTCGTGATCATTGTCTAAATCACAAATCCATGGTCAAGGCCGTGAGCGTGCGAAAGCAACTCGCTGCTTACTTGGACCGTTTTGGCGTCAAGGAGAGCGCGCTTACTTCATCATCCGGGATCATAAGAGTCGGTGGTGCGCCGCTCGCTGAACGTGTCCGGAGATGTTTGACGACGGGCTTCTTCGCGCATGCAGCCAGAATGAAGGCTGATGGTAGTTTCATGACCGTAGATGGGAAGACTACGTTATGGGCACATCCTAGTAGCGTGTTTTTTCATAGAAAGGCCGATTGGGTGATTTATACAGAGATCCTGGCAACGAGAGATAAAATATATATCAGGGATTTGTCGAGTGTTGAGATGGATTGGCTGACCGAGTGTGCGCCGGAGTATTACAAGGTTCGGAACGGGCGATGAAAATAGTGTATTGACCGGAGGCTCGAGGTCAAGTGTGGTAGTGAAAGAAGAAGAAGAATCAGGGTATTTGCGCCAATCTACATATCTGAACTACGAGCACGAACGAAACGGATAAGTGGTCTACTTGCATGCTTCCACAAAAAGCTCCCGCATCCCCTTCAAAAAGCCAGCAAGATCGCGAGTCTCATTTAGACGCTCGATGACTCTATCGACCTCTTCGCGCTCCACCTTCGGTCGCATTTCAAGTACCTTGTAATCTCGCTCGCTCGTGTCCAACTCGAACCATGCCTCACGGTCCCACTCCTGTTCATCAACATATGTGTAGACAAACTTAAGTCTGTCCTCCTGCCCCAAGCCCTCGATCCTCAGCCCCAGGTAATTCTCCCAGAAGTCCAATTCCGGCTCATTGTACCGCGATTGGCCATCGAGATAGCGGCGGTGCTTCAGCTGTGCTTCCCGGCGCGCTGAGATAGTCTTTTGGACCTCTGCTATCTGGGCGCGCAGATTGTCACGGTGCGCAAGTCGTTCGTCGCGCTGGAGAGTGAGGGCGCTGATGGCTTCTTGCATTTCGGAAGTCTCCTGTGCCTCTTTTGCGATTGTTTGAGAGTGTTGTTCTGTCTTGAGTTCGAGGATTTCGATGTCGCGCTTCTTCATGCGTTGATCCTCTGTGGTGCTGTTAGTTTTCTTGTTGCTTTTATCCTGCTCCAGGCTTGTAAACTTACCATGGAGTTCTGCGACATTCATGCGAAACTGGTTGCGTTCGTCCAAAACCTGTCGTCTGCCCTTCTCGATAAATGCATCGAAGCGTGCAGTAAATTGGTTCATGCGACTGCGTAGATCATCAAAGCCGAAATTGATTGAGGGCAGTTGGTCGGCCATGGACGGCGCATCGTGCATCGAGGCGCGCATTGTTGTGCTGAGAGAAGGTTCAAAAGTCGTCATTTTGTAGTTCTTTCTTTGCAATAGCAGACCAAATGCCTATCGGTGTGTGAATGTGTGACGTGGTGCGCTATGATATGGTGTTGCATGTGTTGAAGATCTGACATGGTTGCTAGGTAAACAACGAGCCTGCGCTAATGCCGAAAGGGTGTTCTTGAGCTAGTGGGGGTCACGATCACGTGAACATGCGTTCAGGCGCTAGTGGAGTTTTAGACGTGCCCGTTTCTCTGCAGATTCGCGTTTGCACTGCAAGCCGCGCTCTCTGGTCACACTTGATTTCACCTTGACTATTCACTTGAAGCATGTTGCGCTACTGTAGCACTGTGAAAGACCGTATACCACTCGTTGACCCAAATGGCTGAGCCTACGCTTGGAACTCTAAATTATGGTCACCCAGGAGCCGCATTTTACGACCTCGATAACGGCCAATGGTCGTTCACCAGACAGCATGTTGCCCGAAGACTGAAACAGATCCGGCCATGGAAGAACGCCGCATCATTGGAATCCACCTTGGCTGTACCCGCCTCCACCCAATTCCCTGTTGTGATCGCTCAGGCGCATCGCACAAGCACGCAGAAAGTCTTTAGAAGACTTGTACATGAGCGTCCACAACTCGCCCCTTCCTCTAAAATAGTCCCGGAGTTGGCGCTTACATCTGCTGTCATCGAAAAGACTGCGGCAACCTATGATCCCCTTGTTGGCAATCTGTTCTCATTTGGATCAACGACTGCACGAGATCTTCATGATGGCCCAAGACGAATCGCCGCAATGCCTGCAGGGGAAGCCGGCAACATTCTTCGATTGATCACCACTAATTGTGTGGAAAGATTAAGTTGGAACTCGGATAAGGGCGTATGCGTGGAAGGAACGACTTTGAGGTCTGCAAACTATGGATACTGGAACGAAAACGCTGCACCTATACAACAAGTGTGTTTTGCACAATCCGAGGATAAGAACACTCTTCTCGCCGTTCGCCTCCCTACAAAGACTGTTCTTCTTCGAACTACCTATCATCACCGCCCACGGGCCTCAAATCGCTCTCGGTTTTTTCGTTTACCCGCATCCACAATCAAAGCACAGTCAATACTCAGCCTGGACATGAATGAGACTGGGGGTACTCCCCATGTTCATATTGCATTCAACCCGGACTACCAGTATCAATTCGGTATTGTTGATCAGAAATGCACTTGGAGTGTTTGGGATATCGAGCATGGGCGCAAAGGGGATGTATACTCCATGACCCGTCTAGTCAAAGGATCCATATTCCCACCAGACGTCGATGAACCGGCCGGAGAGGACGGATGGGCAAGAATACTTTGGGTCGGCGACATTAACACACTGGTCGTCTGCTGTCGAAGGCAGATGAGTGTCGTTACTAGGAAAGGTGATACTTTCGCATATTTGACGTGTCCGAGTCCATTCGCAAAGCGATCGCTTGACTGGATTTTAGATGTGCAGCAACATCCCAAATTCAAAAGCCGCTTTTTCGTTCTCACATCTACGTCACTCATTCTGATGGCTGTCACAACATCTAGTGAAGCCCTCAACGCCACTGTGGGCCGAGCAGGAGCCTATGTTTTGGCATCTTGGAAGCATTATCGTGGTACAGAAGACTTCACGCTCCATCTCTGCGTGCAGAGGCCCTTAGATGATGGTACTTATCCCTTCGGCTATCGCATGCCAGCTGTTAACATCTCACAGAATTAAAGGTGGTCCTATATTCTCGCCTGAACCATTTGGTCCAAGTCTACAGCTTCACTGACCGCTTATCGAACGCAGCCGCTAGGCTGATGATATCCGACCCTGTCCCCCTGGACCTGGTAGTCGATTCTGCTGGAAACATAGCCCAACTACACATTGAGCCAATGCAATACGGTGAGGTCATGGAGAACAACTTGTCCCCTGGACTATTCCAGTTCCCAATGAAGGGTGATGTCCGGTTTTACCGGATCATAGTAGTTCAAACGGACTTCAGCATCCATGAATTAGTTGTGTGTGCATTTGATCGTACGCTTCAACTTGAATCTACCTTCAAATCTGATGTTCCAGTCTTTACAAAAATCCTTTCGAAACATAGGAGCCGAAACGCAAAGGAGGATATTGAAGAGGGTGACGACTTTATAGTACCTGATGATCTTGAACCTCTAGAAGTCCCAACTACCATGACTCCGTCACAAACCCCGCGCTGGACACAGAACTGGAGTCGCAGCTCTACACGCAGCGGGCTCGATTATGGATTGTTGTACGACGCTCTTAATCGGACAGACGACGTTCAGGGAGTATCGGTGGACATTGCGACAGTGACAAATCGATTTAAACAGGTATTGACGGCTGTTCAGGATGCCACGCGCACTCCAGTCGGTACACTGTAGGTGTTTATCTCAGCCCATTCTGCCATATACAAGCTGACACATACAGGATGGATGCTGTTGGCTCGAAGCTAGATGTCCCGGATGTTGACGAAGCATCATCGATGTTGCAGGAACTGTTGCAGCGACAGACCGGTAACGCCGGTGACGATGCGGCTGTTATACGTCATATCGCCTCTGCACGGATACTCAATCTATGTGAGAATGAAGATCCGACAATTGCAGACATCTATGACAAAATCCTAGAAAACTGGGTGGCGCCACTGCCGCGGGACATACCAGTTCATATAAGAAGAAGAAAAGAACGTCTCGCTAGACTTATAGCTGTGGAAGTCATGTTGGCCAGTCAACGTGTCTATCATGAGAAGCTGCCACCAACAGTGATCGCATCAGAAGGGGGCACCAGTCAAGACGGTGGCGTCACCCTACCCATTCTAACATTGAAGCCTGTGGACAGCTCTCAGTCACTACCGACCCCACCGCACTCTTCCATACCTTCTTCCTCAATGCCGCCCTCATCTCCACCGATGCCTTTCATTCCACCCGCACCTTCAGACACTATCGCACGCCTCAGCAGACACCTCCGGATGCGAGATATTACACCCACATCCACAGTCATCCCGCCCAATGTTCACAGACTACTTGGACATTGGAGTATGGGCATCGATCCTCACACGTATGATTGGTCTGCAATGGAAGATACTTTACGAGAGGAAACTCTTGATGAAACTAGTCAGAAGCAGCGCCAAAAAGACCGGAAGAAGCAAGAGCGTAGAGAGAAGCGACAAGAACGTGAGAATGAGCTGATGAAATCAAAGGCCGGTGGCCAGCCTTTGGCCTTCCCACAGAGCTCACAGGGTCCGACACTTCCGGGTTTTGGAAGTAGCAGCCAGATGCCCAGTCAATCTTACACGCAAGTGACACTTCCTGGTCGCGGATTTAGAGGACCAGGAAATACAGACATTTTGGCGCCTATGAGCCAAGTCGAGCCGGGCCGATTTGGGGGGAGACCGGATCTGAAGAAGAAGAAGAAGAAGAAAGGAAGAGTCAGTGGGTTTTGAGGTAGTCTTGCTCATCGGAGGTTCGTGTATGCATGCTGGCTATGTGGCGCTGGAATTCTCGCCGATGTAGAGTGCCGGTATGGCGTAGCATCATAGGGCTGCCAAGGCGAGAGCTCCATGGAGCTCCTCTTCTCCGAGCGGGGCTGGAGGGGTAGCTTTCCCATACATGATCCATCTTAACTTAGTTGGGTACTGATTGCTCGCCTCATCTTACGCTATACACGTGTACTTTGCCTTGACTTCTTTCAACCTCTGTGAAATCTTCATACTTTGCGCTTGCTACCATTGATCAGCCAACTCGACTAGGTTCACAATGCCAGACGGATTCCCTTCCCTCCAGCCCGCCTTCACGGTGCGCGTCGATATCGATACAGCGATACCAGTAGGCGGTCAATCAGGTACTAATCTCATCATCGTGCCTATGGTCAGCGGAACTGTGAAGAGCGAGCCTGGGTTCGAGCCAGCACTTGATGCCGAGCTGTATGCTCACCCAATTTGAAAGGCATAGATGGACGCATAGACTGACACCTTGAAAGACATGGCGTGGGATACGACTACATTCACAACGACGCATCGAACGAAAATATGCGCCTAGATGTGCGCTCCCAGCTCAAGTAAATCTCTCTCTCTCACCCACTTACTTCTTCTCCATGCTCAATCTTCCTGAGCCTCCATAGATCGACATGATCCAAATCTAACCTCAACTCCAGGAACTCTGATGGCACCATCCTGGCCATGTTCTACAAAGGCACTGTTACTCTCACCCCAGCTGTCCAAGCTCTTCTGGGCAAGGCGCCAGATGCCAAGACGACGGATTATGGGGACAGCTTTGTCACCTTTACATTCGAGACGGGGAGTGAAAAGTACAAGGATCTGCAGAATGGGACGTATGTGGCTTCTGGGCACTTCATCAAGGAGCCGGGTGTCAAGGGTGTGATTGTTGAATACAAGGTTAGTAAGGTGGTTGTCTGAGGGACTAGGAGCAATGAATCTGTAAGTAGATCTGTGTAAGTGAGGAAGCTGCACAGCACTCTAGAATTGAAATAACTGTGTCTTCAGCTGCTCGTTCCTACGGCAGGCTAAATCTTAATTACAGAATTGCTGACCTAGCTCCCTCACTTCTCAGCCTCACTCAGGCGGTACATTCACTCTTGAGAGGTCACGAACAATCGTGTTCACCTTCACTCTCAGTAAATTTCTAGTCGCACTCTAGCGCGCTCCATTGCAGACGAAGGTCTTTTGATCACCTTCAAACACTTCAAGCACTGTATTAATTTCCCCCCAGGTAGCAATTGTGTGTTGAAATCGGTAAGAGATGACAAATTTGGAGATTTTTACAAGCACTGATAATAGGTGATTACAGAACCCAACCTACTGGCGCCCGCTCCCACAATGCCTCGACTCACTCTAGCCAATTTTGTAGAATTTGCGGGTCAACATTTCCCAAGCGAATTCGCTCAGCTCGCCAGGATCAACCAGTATACCTTCAAACAGCACTCGCTCGTAGATACACAGGCCCAGGCTGTCCAAGTTGATTTACTCCACATTGGCCGCTATCACTTCCAGAACACAGAAGCTCCGTTTGCTTGGGCTTATGCGACCGAAAAAGGTATAAGCTACCACTCCTTCGAACAACGGTATCGTACCATTCAGACGGTTTCAAGGTGCAACTATGGCAGGATCTACTATCTAGATGCACCGTTTCGTCAGATCATCTGTCTCGATGACTCACAGTATGATCATACAACCATTCATGGTCATAACCCAGATGTGAATGTCTGGCGGGATATTGCGGAGACGGTTATATACTTCATGTTCCTTTGGACAGGAAGATTGAACTATGTCGAGTGCGTCAATGAAGGGGAAATGCTGGCCAGCTTCAAGATTGCGTGCACAAATTTCCGACAAAACCATAGACCAAAGTCTGTTACTCCACTGCCACCGCTTCAATTACCTGGTCTGGAGAGTCGTTACGATCTTGAGAGTCGCAATATAATGCTAAACGCCCCTCAACATAACAATGTCTCACAAGATTTGTCTCCTGCCATGGCAATGCATGCAAAAGTTGTGGTTGCGAAGCGATCAACTCCGGATTCGAGCAGAGGTATGTCGATTCGTCATCTTACGAACGATTAGTCATAGCTAACCTGACAGGGAAAGATATCAAGCAATACAACAAGCCCGTGAGTTCAGCTAGAATATGCAACAGTACCGACTCGTATTCTCGAGAAATCTCAATCTAACTTACCATGCAGGACAAATCCCGCCATTTTGCAATTTACATGGAGAACCAATACGAAATACAAACCCTCAAGGATCAGCTTCGCACAAAAGATAACAAGTACAGAACTACAAAAATCAAGCTCAAGAAAGAAAAGGGAAAACGACGTACTGCAGAACTTTGCAACCGCGATCGGGACATACAGATCGAGATCACCAAGAGAGAGAACGCCGCGCTCAAAAAGGATCTCATCAGGATCAGTCGTAGCCGTCAGCATTATCTCAACAAGTGTGGGAAGAACACCTCGAAGTCAAAGACGAAGGCAAAGATGGTTAGCCCTCAGCCTTTGCGAGAAGAAGAGGATGATTCAGAGGAAATGGTGTCGAGAAAGAGAATTCGTCGTGGCGTCAAGGATAAATAGTGGAAGTAGAGGGTTAATATCAAGAATGAGCGAAATGAACGTGGTATATCTAAACAAATCATGTTGAATGATTGGATTCTAGAAGACACAATATGCACACATCATTACATGATCAAGTCACAGAAGACGGTGATTTTCATGAAATAGCTTGAATGTAGACGCACCATAACCTGCATCTCCAACGCTGTTTGTAGTCACCGCTACTGAGGCTTCCTTTAGTGCCTGTAGAGATGCCTTCTCTAAAAGTGATAGTAGAATTACTTCAGCCTCTCTGCTCTCACTTTGTATATCACATCGATCTACCTTTACCTTGACCGGCAGCTTTGGCACTACAGACGAGTAGTTTAGCGTGCCTCATTGCGAGTGACACGTTTTTCTCACTTATCTTTCCTCAGTATATAATATCCAGAGATCTTCGCTCTATCCAATCTTTCCTCTCCCCTTACCCACATATCTGGGCCCTACTACGACTGCAAAGACTGCGTACACCAACCTACTCCAAACAATGCACCTGAAAACATTACTGACTATGACACAGGAAGCCAATCAATTGGCCCAAAACCAACAACCAAGCAAACTCTCCTCCCCAGCTCACCATGCCATCCCAACGACTCAGCCTAGCAAGTTTCGAGGACTTCGCAGGAAAAAAACTGTCAGGCCCAATTGCAATCTTCCAAGACTCCAAGCAATATACCTTTGAAAGAAAGAAACCAGTGAACGGCCACCCAGTCCATCCAGCCAAGATGCTCCTCGTCGGCCGCTATCACACGCAGTATGCCGCTTTTCCCAACGTATGGGCCCATACCGTGGGCGCTGGCATCACCTACTACCTCAGTCTGCCAGGCACGTCTCTAGCCAAACTTGCGCCCGACCCCGCGAGGATATACTTCACAGACGAGCCGTTCAGCCGCATGGTCGGTGGCAAGGAGGACGAGGTGTTGTACACGGCACACCATGCTCAGCGCGGATATATTCCTGGTACCAATAAGTGGCGGAGTGTGATTGAGGCGGCCATCACTTTTATCTTCCTCAAGACTGGACATCTGAAATATGCGTATGTTGCTGATGCGAATGGTATGCTGAGTAACTTTAGAATTGCATGCATGTACTTTGCGAGAAACACGTCGACGCGGTGTTCTGGCCGTGGTGTCAAACAGGGGGCGTGTTTGACTACCGATTCCTCAACTAGCAAGTCGTCTGGAAGCGTCAGAGTCAAGGTTGAGCGAGAGGACTCTGGGGATGAGTGGAATGTTGACGAGATTGCGGGGTGTAAGTTGGATCTCCTCGTCTTTTCTACAATATATAAGCTGATAATACACCAGCAGCTCATTACAGCTCCAAAACCCAGTTTGTAAGTCAATACACACAAGCCTACCGGTACACCCCCAACCCACACCAAATCCAAAACTAACATCTCCCACCCAGCACACACGCCGAACCCACCACCCGCCTACCCAAAGCACAAGATCCACCTCCCCGCACACCCCCCAAACCCGCCACCGCACCTCAACCCTACAGCACCAAAAGCACAAACCCCAATTCGAACGGCCCCGCCTCCGCCCGAACCCAAGACAGCGTATCGAGCAGCACAAAGGAAAGTCGGTGTATACGCCCTGCTGCGGACTAGATACAGTAGTGGAGGAGCTGGAGAAGGAGTGCAGGGTGTTGCGGAGAGAGATGGGATCTATGCGGCGTAAGTACAAGGAGGTTGTTAGGATGTTGGAGGGCGGGGGTGGAGAGTCGCTGGGTGGGGAGGAGGATGTGGAGAGTAACGGTGATGAAGATAAGGATACGGACAGCGATGGCGAGGATGAGGATACGGACTGCTATGGCGAGGATGAGGATGCGGACAGCGATGGTGATGATTATCAAGATGTTTGAAATCGTGGTATCAGGCAGAATGACTTGACCGCTGAGAGAAAGGTATTGAGGATACACTAAAAGGCCGGGGTTACGGTCCGAACATCATGTGTATGCGGGGTGTTTGGGTTAGATGATTTTTTCTATATTTCATAGCAAGACGTCAGGGAACATTGGGGAACATTGTTGAACAGAGGCAAGCGTCACATCCACGAGATACATATACACTATGCACTGAGACATCTATACCAGCTAGGAGGAGGTTGTATACACTGATCGTATATGACGTCCATTCAATCCTCACTTCCACTCACAGAGAAACGTGTAAGTTCTGTGCATCACTCCCATCCATAACAGGACATAGATTTTGATTCTCGTACTTGCAGACAAGCACTCTAGAACTGCACTAGCCCCGTCCATGTGTTTAACCGATAAGGCGTTATAATTTTCGACACTGACGTCGCTGAGTCAGTCAGCTCTCGGGAGAAATGGAGTCGAGGGTATATAAAGATGGCGACAAAAGCAACCATGGCCATGACCATAACCATAGCCAAGACGAAAAAAAGAAACCCCGAGGATGCGTGAGGCTGACACAGTGCCCCTTGCCATATCCTATAAACAAGGCTATCGTGCCACCCAGATCTAGAACAAAATGCAAGATGGGCCCATGAAAAGCCTCGTCAGCCACAAGCCCAAGGCACTCCAAAAGAAAACCCTGCACATGATAATTCCCTTACATGATACCCTTCAATCCACGGAACCCTCCCGTCTTCGAAGAACCAGCCTTCTTGGCCTCCTTGTCCTTCTTCTTCCCGATATTCTGCGCTCCGCCTGGCCACGTTGTTAGTTAGGATCCCAGAACAAAAAAAAAGCTAATCAATGCTACATACCTCGACCGTAATACCTAACCTCGGACTTGGGATCCACTTTATCTTTCTTACTCTTGCCCTCGCTGCCGTCGGTGTCGACAGAGAAGCTGCTCTTGCCGCTGGACTGAGGGGCACTGCCCGGCTGTTGGGGATGGAGTCCCCGGTTTGGTGAGGTATCATACGCGGCGTGAAAGTCTGGATGCATTGCGCCTCCGAAGCCAGGGTAGGGCAGAGGCGTAGTTTGAGATCTTTGGGGTCTCTGTTGAGACTGCTGCGAGTCGAAGCGAGGTGGACGGCCTGCGGTAGTTGGTGTAGCAGCTGAGCCAGTGCTGAGCATTACATCTGAAGGGCGCTGATCATGGTGGTAATCACCCTCTTCGCTGATCTCCATGTCTGTGGAGAGTGGAGAGAGGTATCGCGAATTCGAGGCAAAAGTACTGCCTTGTCGCTGACTCGAGCTCCGATGGACCTGCTGCGACCTTCCATATTCAACATGACCAGACTTCTCTTGGGCATACGCCTGCCCTACCTCCACTTGATGTTGGCCTTCAAGATCGTAATACTTCATTTGCAGCTCAGTGTACTGATCTAATAGGCGATAATGAGTCTTCTTGAGTTGCTGCATTTTGGCATTACTTGCCGCGAGCGCAGAGTCAAGCATTTGCTGTACAGACGAAGGAAGCTGTCCTGGCTTGCTAGTGCTCCTTTCGGATACATGTAATCGGGTTTCCAATTCCATGATCCGTCGCTCGTAGGCTTTGATAGATCTCTCTCTTTCTTGCTCTCGGCTGTTGAGCCGCATATTCGCAATTTCGAGATCGTTGCGCAGATCATTTCGCTCCTGCATGAGGGTGTGGAACTCTCTTCTTTGATCTTCACAGGCTGCAATCTTCTCCTGGGCAGCATGAAGCTCATCACGGATGGTGCTGTAGTCTTCAAGCTCGTATTCGAGCGCCGTGCTTCGTTGCTGGGCCTTCAGCTTGTCGGCCTCGGCCCTCTCGACGATGTGCTTGAGTTGCTCATAGTCGGCTTTAGTGCGCTGTAATTCGAAGCGCAAGCTGCCTTCGTCACTATGCCAGGACTTTTCGCTATCCTTGTAAGAGCGTACTTTGGCACTCAAATCTGTCTCCCATTTCTTTGACTGACTTCTGCTTGTCAGGGTCTCTTTCTTCAACTGAGCATAGAGCTCGTTTGCCTTTGCAAGCCTGGCTTTCAAAGTCTTGTTGTTATTGATAAGATTCTGAGTCTCGGCCTCCGCGGTCGCTTCTCTGATGTGCTTTCGTTGTAATTGGCCAATATGAGTCAGGTGTTGCAACTTGAGGTAACGCTCAAAGTTCAGATCGTTCCGTAGCAGCATGATTTCTCTCTGCAGCGATGCTATCGTGTGATTCTGGAACTCGCCAGCTGCTTGAGTGTTCGAACCAGCAACAGAGTGTACAAAGTTGTCCAAGCTCGGCTGTTGCGCGAAAAATCGCTGGGCAGTAGCAATGTGTGCAACGGCTACATCTTGTTTCTTGCTTTCTTTTGTAGCTGGCAGGGTGGGTGAATCCATCATGTCGCGAGCCTTGAGGAGTGGTGATGCCATGGATACCTCTGATTTCACTGATTTAATAGACTTGGATTTCAATGGCATTTCGAGAGTCTCGGGTGCCTCAGCATCGCTTCCATGTGCATAGAACGTGGATTGCGTATCCCGCCAGCTGCCTTCTGATTCATGCACCGCAGAAGCATCTTCTTCCAATGCAAAGCGTGTGGGAATATTCGGTACCGGCGGAAGTGCAGCAGCTGGTGGCGGTCCCGGCTGCTGTAATGTGGGTGACACCGCTACGCAAAGATCCATACACTCGACAACTACATCAGCGGGGTCACTCTTTGACCACCTATTTTCACTCAACTCATCCTCTACAGTCGTAGTGAAACTGTTTGGGTGTAATAGATGAACTTTCCGAAATGGCTCTGTCCTGGTGTGTATCAAGTCTTGGTCCAGGTCGAAATCGCGTGCGCCAGGAAAGTTGAGCGACTTCAAATACTTCCTCGGCTTTCGAAGAAAGCTCATGAAATTCACAGGAAACAAGCCGTAAAGGAAGGTGAAGTAGTGGATCAGAGTTGGCGGAGAGGAGTCCTGGTAATCTGCAGATTGTTGCAACTGCTCCCAAGCCTGCTCAGAGTCATCATAGCTTCCCTCCTCATCGTCACCGTCGCTTTCGGCATACTGATCTCCCGACTCAGCACCTTGGGCAATTCCCAACCTGTCCCAGCACAGTATTCGGCAGTAAATGAGAAACATCTTCTCTAGATGGTGATCCGAAGTCAGCGCACCACAGATGTGTGGGAGGAACATGATGAGAACGACGAGAGCAAGATCGATGACGACTGCGCATGTGTCGATGAGAAGACATTTTTCGATATGCTGAATAAGCTCGGTCTCAAGCACGAGGTAGAGGTGGGGTGGCTGCAGTCGGACGAAGGCACTGAGGAGGTTCAAGGCCTGGATGCGATGTTGCTTCTGAACGAATAGTCTGTCAAGCGCAAGGAGAAGAGCCTGTAGTAGTCAGTGCAATGCCCTGAAAACAAAGTGAATTCCACAAACCTTTGGCATCTTGCGCCCAAAGGCCACTATGAGCGACTCGAGTTCATGCACCGCAAATTCATTCTCAGGGGACAGCGTGTGCTCGAGAGAGAGGGGGCTGTTTGTGCGAGCGAGATAGGCGTCCAGCAGCTTCTTGGTGAAGAGGGCTGACATGTGGGCATGCTCTCCACCGGTGTCGGTATCCACATCGAAGACCAGTATGCTCAGGACAAACTCGCTTGCATCGCTAATCTCCTGCCTCTTGTGTCCTACTCCATCTATTGTGGGCTTGAGTACCAGATCCCACCATGTCGTCAGGCGTGTCTCGCCAGTGATGACTGGTCGCAAGAGGCGCAATGCTGATAGGAATGCGCCGTGCTTTTCCGAGTGACCTGCGACATGGCGAAGGTAGAGGTCGTGGAAGTCTTCGTGGAAGCGCTGGGCATCGTGTTCGTCGATGTCGTCATAGCGCTCGAGAAAGCTCTCGATGGTTGTGAGCAGCTCGTCGGGCAGCGGATAGGGAACCGATGGCGCAGAAAAGGTGGTGTTGAGGGCCTTGAGTGCCTCTCGCATGGACCTAGAGGTCGTAGTTAGATCAACTCTTTTGGCCAACTATCATGAAATGCTAGTGTGTGTGCCACCGACAGAGGGCGTGGGGACAATATAAGGTCTCAGCAAGCTTACCCTGACATGGTGTAGCTAGGAGAGGAGAGCAGAATGCCTTGACAGGCAGACTGGCAACTACCTTAGTTGACTTGTGGTAGCAGGCAAGCAGGCAAGCAGGCAAGCAAAACGTGGGCGGCAATCAGTTCAATAGGATGGCCACTACCTAACGACTGCATTGCCATTCACTGGTGCTCGCCGTGGCATGTCACTTCCAAGCTTATAGAGCCGACACGAGCTGGGCGGTTTGAGCCGCGTTGATCACTGATGGCAGCGGCGCGACTGTCTGCGTGGGGTCGAGTAGGGAACCAGGTAGGTAGTAGGGAAGGGTAAGTAGAGTAGGGAAGGGTAAGTAGAGTATGTTAGGGTAGTTGAGCGTTGAGAAGAAACGAACCCTCCACCCACACCCAATCCAACCTTGGGATTGATCACATACCGCTAACCTACAAGGACTCGACCGTGCTTCTTGTCGCATCTTCTCCCCCCTTCTCTCCTACCCAAGGCGACTTGCCAAAAGAACGCTGGTCTCACATTGCGACAAGACAACGAAAGATGAACTGCATCCCTTCCCTTGGCCGCGGCATGCCCAGTCCAGACCTCGGGAAGCCGAGGGTGGAGAGAAGAAAAGGCCCAAGCGTCAAGCCACCATAAACGGGCAAAGAGGCTCATACCGGTTACGGGCACGTTTGCTTTTGACACCCCTTCACACCTCGCTCCCCTGGCGCACCCCATTTCGCCCGTCGGCGGCTTCAGACAATCGTTTTGGTAACTCGAAACAGCCTATCAGTCCATCCTGGACGCACCTGTGCGCCATGCCAAGAGGGGCGTGTGAGCAGCGACATGCGGTGCTAGGAGCCTAGGAACCACGTCAATCCATCTCCAGGTACCGGCATCGTGGGGGGAGATTTACTGGTATGGCTGGCAATGCCCTCTCGAAACTATCACTTTTTCTCCCGATTACGGTACAGGTGCCTCCAAGAGCAGCCATAGCATCATAAAATGGTACCATGGTAATATCCTCTCATGGCCTGTCCATCAAGCTGCACGATGGACCAAGTCACCAAGTTACCCCACAATCTCCCACACAGGTTGCTACAACCTATGCTAACCCTCATACAATCCCTAACGTCATTCGCCATCCATGACTGTCTTCTTTTCGAAATCCAAATCAGACATTATGGTCCTTTGCTGGGTCGCATCTAGGTATACCAATTACTGAGCATCACCGCATTACGTATCGACTATCTCTCCTATATCTTTATCTTGAGGGCTCGGACCATACGACCACCACCCCTGTAAGTCATAACATTTTGGGACCTATGTACTGTACCCAGAGGCTCGGCTCGCAATTGGTACTTAACCTCCTCAGGCTTCAGAGGTATTGACCAAGGTACACTAATGCTCAAGCCGTCCCATCCGAGTGTTGAGGAGGTACCTATGTACACAGTACTTCATGTACTTTGTTATCTACCCCCACGGCCCGTCTGGCTACCTACATGCCAATCAGTATTTCCTCCTGAAAAGCAATGTATTCAAGAGACGATCAAGGATTCGACTTCAGAGAGTTCCCCAGATATGCAATATGTGCGTAGATACCTAGTTCGCGGTATGCACCGGAGCTTCTCAAGGCAGTACCTTGACCCTGGACGCCAATACCGACAATACGGTTTGTATCGTCAAACCCCTGCCGTGTGCCTGCATAGCACATGCACCCCGAGTACCTAACTTATCAGTCCAACGTATCGCAAGGATGTAGTTACCATGTGTTTCGAGTCACCGCCAACCGCCGGGGTTGGCCATCACTCTCAAAACGCATCGACTGGCTGTTCGCCATCTTGCAACCTTTCACATGATAGCTAGCAAATCACGCTCCGCGGCAGCTGTTCCGAGTATTCTGGACACTGTTGAATCGGGGAACAACCCTTCCATCAAATGAACTTGCAACCTTTCGAGCACTCGCACATACACGGCCAGATGTGTACACAGTAAGATGGCAATATGGACACTGTCGACACTGGGCCGCGTCCATTGGCACCACTGCCCCAGCATAATGCTAAACAAAAAGCTGAGACCAACGACTCCGAAATATATCATCTATACCCGACATCATCATCTCTCCTACCGCTCAGTTGTACCTACCCCTCCTGAAAGATGGGAATCCATACAAACGTCGGCCGTACTTCGTCGTTTTCTGGGTCCGCCGGAAAATCTCCGCCATCTCGATTCTGAATGTGAATCCATTATGGACCGAATGCAAATGCTGGCTTGGACAAGTCCAATACTCGTTAACGTCTCTCGTTCGCATTCCCGTCGCATAACCGCTTCACGATCGAATACGGGCCTTCTGCGTGCATAGTCGGTCGGCGAAGAGCGTCTCAACTGCTCGAAAGAAAGTCTGCCCCTTCCCATTCGACGATGCGGTCAACATTAAGGAGTCTGCGTCCTACTGCTTCCGCGATTGTTCGTCCGAGACTTGTGAGGTTACACGACTGTACAGAGCCGAATCTGGCTTGCGGGTAGGAGAAGGAGAGTTTGGAATTTTGGCATGAAACTTCCATGATTGGAGAATGATATATTCGCCAGTCACTGAAGTTCCTTGCTTGCTTCTGCCAGGATAATACTCGACGATTGTACTGACAAAGGGTTCCGATCGCGCATACCAGAACCCGCTAAAACTACGACATCGAAATTCGTCGGCTTTCCAGACTTCACAAAGACAATCGTAACCCATATAGAATATCACCTATCACATATCCATCAACTTCCTTCCTCATCTAATCCCATCTCCATCACCACCTCTTCAACCAACCCCTTAAACTACTACACTCCCCTCTCTCCCAACCCCGCCTTTCCCCCCTTCACCTCCTCCTGGCCCCCAATCCCCGTCCCCCTCTTCGGCTCAGCCTGATAATCCGGCTGTTTTGCAGGATGATCGTCTCCGGTCTTGTCCTCATCCTTGGAGGCGGACGACTGTCTGTCTGTGTTTTGCGTGTCTGAGCGTACACTGGCATTTGGTGCTGCGGAGGAGTTGGGAGAGGGGTCTGGGAGGTTCGCAGCAGGGCTTTTACTATCCGTTGGGTAGAGGTGTTTGGTCGTGGAGATGAATGTCCGAAGGGGTTGGTTGAAGGTGGTTGTGCGTAGAACGCGGAGGGTGTGGAAGGTTTGGAGGGGTGGCATTGTTTTTGATGGGGTCTGTGGCTTTTCTATTGAACAGCGGAGCGATTGGAGTAGGATGAGATTAGGGAACTTCTGAAGCAATTCAGGATCACAGTTTGCTTTTGTGGGGTTTACAGATATTATGTCACCTCTTGAAAACAAGACGTCTGAGGACTTGGATGCAGGAGTAAAAGTGAGGTCATGATGACTTGTTTCTTTCCATCTACAAACTGACATTGCAAAGCTTCCAATTTTCTTTTTTATTGATTAGTCCACAACTACATAATCCATAGAATCACATCTAACATATCAAGTATCCAAGTCGCATACTCAGCTCCCCCATCAACCATGCCCAGCACACTCCTCATACACCACGAACCCCACTAGTCCACTCACAGCCTAGTCTCCCAATCCCTCCCTAACCCTCCACCGCCAAACCCCCAAAGCAAACAAACCCACATGGGCAAACAAACCAACTAAACGAATAGTAACCACTACTTGCAGCAATCCCCCCTTGAAAAAAAACTCAACCTTCAAAAAAAACCCCAATGTCGAGCCCTAAACGCGCTGAATTCGTCCTCTTTGGCGACTCGCTGACTGAGTGGGGCTTTGACGAGGATACGCGGGGGTTTGGGTGGTATCTTAGGCAACTGTATGCGGGGAAGGTTGATGTGGTTAATGAAGGTGAGTTTGCTGGTTTTCTCTCTTTCTTTTACCTGCTGTTTTGCCTGGGTTTAAGAGTTAACGTTACTTTACACTTTTTGTCACCAGGCCGTGTATGTGTATGTGTGAGAGAGAGATATATAAAGAACTGCGTTTATACAGTAATTTCTTCAGTTGGTTGTTTGCCTCGGATAGTCCTGTTTGGCGCGTCCATGGTGCAGTGGAGTTTTGAGGAGGAGACGCAGGTTTTGGGGTGGGTTTTGGGGGAGAGGTATAGGGGTGAGGTGGAGGTTGTGAATGAAGGTTAGGAAAGATATTTCTTTGGGGGATTGTGCATGTTTGTTTTACTTGAAGATATCTCTTTGCCGTCATTGCATCGACGCGAACAAATTCATTACATCTCCCCAAAACCAAGGCTAACTTTATCAACAGGTCAAGCAGGGTGCGTAAACAAACAAACCCACCATTAGAAAAAAGTCCTCTCCGCTTCCCCCACATGAATTCCCACACCATGCATACAAGAAAAGCCTAACAGACCACCAGCTACACATCCTCCCGTCTGAAATCCGACTTCGACCGCATCATCACACGCGCCACCTCCCCAAACGCGCCACCCACCCTCCTCTTCACCATCTTCCTCGGCGCAAACGACGCCTGCTTCATAGGCGCTAGCGAATACGTCCCCTGGCCCACCTTCGAAGCCAACATACGCATGTTTGTCGAAACCATCCTAACACAAGACGCAATGGCAGACACGAAAATCGTGCTCATTGGGCCGCCGCCCATCAACGGCACGGCGCCTGCCATTGGCGCGGCGCAGACGGCCGAGGACGTCGAGGACGTGAATGAGATGAAGAGGGGGGAGATGCGGTATAAGACGTATATGAGTAAGAAGCGGTATGCCGAGGGCATGGTGCGGATTGCGGATGAGTATGCGGAGACGGGGAGGGTGGTGGGGTTGAATTATTGGTGGGAGATGGTGCGGGCCTTGTATGAGGAGGAAGGGGGCGAGTATGACGAGAAGCTACCGCCTGGCAGCGGCTTGTTGGGGGCGCGTTCGTTTGGAAAGGGTTGGTTTACGGATGGGTTGCATTTGGATGTCAAGGGCTATGCGGTGCTTTCCAGGGCCCTGTTCGAACTGGTCACGAGCAAGTGGCCGGAGCTGGCGCCTGAGCGGCTGTGAGGAAGGATGTGGGCTGCTGGGATAACTTTTGTTTTATTTTGGGGTATCTAGCTAGCGTCGGAATAGCGGATGTTCTGCTTAACCTCTGTTCAAGGTGTTGCCGGATCCCTTTGGATTCGCTTCGACGTACTCGTCCCATGCGCGCTGCTTCATGGTTTCTTCGTCTGCGGCAACGAGGTCGTCCTCGTTGGGCTCGGGTCGGATCTCGGACTGCGGACCTCCGCCTTCGATGATGCCGCCTCTTCGCTTTTCCTCCTCGAGGTACTCATCAATCGTCATGGTGGGTAGGCTATGGTCTGGCCGGAACACATTCTTCTTCAGCGTCTGTCGACTGTCCAGCAAGGTAAAGGGTCGCATTGGCTTGCCAGCGCTGTCCAAGATGGGGCCCGAGTACCGCAGGCCAGCAAAGCCGCCGTCTAGACGCTCAGAGTACCCGTCCTTGTTCCGATCATCTTCGCGCCCATCTTGCGGGCTTCCAGGTTGTCCTTGTGGGGGCGTGGGCGGCGCCAGAGAGATGATGTGCAATTCTTGGGCCAAAGACTCTAGTGATTGAAATGTCTGATGCACCATGAAGGCTAGATTCGTCAAATGAAGATCACGAACGACCTGTTCGTCTTGTTCTGCAAGTTTAGGATTGTGTTGCAAATACTGCGCTTGTACGTTAGCAGTGTTTTGACGCCTAACAGAAGCAGTAGTGGCGCAGCATACTTCGATTTTCCTCTTGAGCTCCTTCTCTTCTCTGAACCGGCTGATCTTGGCTTCGCGTCGTGCGGCAGGATCCCGCGTGTTTGCTGTAGAGAAGTTGTCTTTGTCTTCCATGTAGGCCTCGAAGAGTTTAGCGTCCGCCTTGTTAAGCAGGTCATAAGAATCCAGGAGTTTCAGGAATTTCTCGTAGTATGTCCGCGCACGTAACAGGTTCTGTTTTCGGATGGAAATATCTGTACTGGAAATCTTTTGCACCAGTTCTGCTAGGTGATGGTTGATGGCCATGTATCTGATGCAACCTTAGCCACCAGGCTCGCTTATGTAGAAAAGAGTCGCGAGACCAGGTAATAAAAACCATGCGTTAGTGGTGCCAACATACTGTAACTCCGAGGATGAAATGTCTTCGAGTGTCTCGTTTGGACTGAAAAGCGAGACTTGTTCTGCCAGTTTCAGGCATTCTTCATAAGTGGCAATAGTCATGGTAAGGTTTTCTTGATAGGCGGGACTGTTGGGCTCATATGGCGAAACAAGGCTCTGTCTCACGCGCTCAGCGGTAAGGAAGAGACCCCTTATATTCTGCGGTTCGTCCGTCATATTCGTCTTGGTATGGGCCGGAATGCTGGGATGCTGAAATGTGCCGTTGTAACTTGTAAAGCCATGGGTGAATTAGCATGTAGGGACGCGCACGTGAATTGGCGTTTGCTGCTAAAGAGTGGCGCGCTTACCTTAACCGGTAACGTTACCTAGGCTGGAAATCGCGTAGGTACGTTGTTACCCCGCCATCGTCACTCTGTAAACACAGCCCAGGCCGCCCGGGAAGCTTACCGGTACAAGGTTGGCGGATGGCGGGCCCAAGTCGAAATCAGCGGTCGCTTATGCGCTCGCATTCACTTTATAAATGCGGTCGTCACAGCGAGTGGCGGCTCGTTGGCTCGATCATGCGGTGACGGATACATGGGTACCTACCTGTAGCGTTTGCTTGCTGGTAGGTAACCTAAAGGTAGGGAGGTAAGTTAGGTACCGGTAGGTAATCTGTCAAAACCTCTGCTCAAGCTGCAGTACCTAGACTTCTCTCACTCTCGGTGCTGCAGACGCCTAAATCCAAACGTTCTTCTCTTCAGCTCTGTTTGGCTCTCTCTTCTCTCAATATTGTGACAGTCGAATCAAGGTACTCATCTGAATTGCGATTGTGCACCTTTCGCGTGCCATCAACATGGTGTGGGCTCAGGTCGACGAGGAGCAAGATGATTATTTCGAGTGTGAGGAAACGTCTGTGACTTCCACATCTGGAGACGAAGCGGAGGCTGTCCCAAAGAACGACTTCCAAAGTGAAGAAGAGGATTCAGACCTTGAGGATAATACTGGTCGCGCACATGGCCCCAGGACCACGACAGAGAGACGGAGGGCACAGAATGAAGTACTGAAGGCGTATGCTGCTAATATCAGCGCCTACATAACCCAGCAAGAGGTGCAAGCAGTCAGTTCCAAGAATGCAAAAGAAGAGCAGCTTTCCATTCGCGAGATTCTTGCAAAACAAGAGACGGCCAAGCGCATCACGAACCCTCGCGATTATCAGACGGAACTCTTCCTCCGAGCAAAGGATCAGAACACCATAGCTGTCCTGGATACTGGGTCTGGAAAGACCCACATTGCAACTCTGTTGCTCAGGCATGTTCTGGAAGATGAGCTGGAACATCGAGCTACAGGCGGCGCTCCCAGAATTGCCATCTTCTTGGTAGGACTTGAGAGAGATGCCATGTCTACAATGTTTCTAATGGTGCTCAGGTCGACTCTGTGAACCTCGTCTTTCAGCAAGCTAACGTCCTAAAATGCGGTCTCGACCAGAACGTCGAGAGCATCTGTGGCTCCATGGGAACATCTCTATGGAACAAATCAACATGGGACAAGCATTTTCAAAAGAACATGGTAATCGTCTGTACGGCAGAAGTTCTCGTTCAATGTGTGATGCATTCTTTCATTACCATGGCTCAGATCAATCTTTTGATCTTTGACGAGGCGCATCACGCGAAAAACAACCATCCATACGCCCGAATCATGAAGGATTACTACGTCCAGGAGCTTAATCTTTCCAAGAGACCTCGAATCTTCGGAATGACTGCGTCACCGATAGATGTCCGAGGCCTTTCGTCAGACCATATCAAGCAGGCTGCTAGTGACTTGGAAAAGCTTCTGCATGCCAAGATAGCCACCATCGATCCCGAGAAGCTTATAAACAATTCTATCAGTCGACCTGATGAAGAAATAGCAGTCTATCCAAGGCTCGAGTCCACGCACGAAACACCTCTTCATCAAGCAATCAAAGACAAATATGGAGACATTACTGCTTTTCAAAAGTTCTTCATTGCGTCTAAGCGGCATCTTTTGGAGCTTGGCCCCTGGGCATCAGACATGTACTGGTCCTTCGCTTTTGCGGAGGAACAAAGCCGCAAGTTGCAGCAACGTGAGGAGTTCAAATACAACAAAGCCAAGCTGGACGACTCACAGCAGGAGTGGGATGCCAAAGTGAAGCGGTTGAAAGAAGCAGCGGAATTCGTCCAGCAATACACCATGGAAACTGAGAGCATAAGCGATTCAGACCTGAGCTCCAAAGTTCGTCTCCTTCGTTACTGGCTGAACTTGTATTACGAACGAACCGATGAGCCTCGTTGCATTGTCTTCGTCGAGAAGCGAGAAACTGCTCGGTTGCTCAAGCTCATCTTCGAACGAATTGGAGGACCGAATCTGCATTGTGGCATGCTTGTCGGAGTCAACAACCGTGCAGGCGAGGAATCGATCTCTTTGCGCAATCAAATCCTGGCAGTGAGCTCGTTCCGGCGTGGTGAGTTGAATTGCATTTTCGCCACATCAGTCGCCGAGGAGGGATTGGACATTCCCCAGTGCAACCTAGTAGTACGATTTGATCTGTATCGTACTATGATTGGTTACGTGCAGAGTAGAGGAAGAGCAAGGCATACCAACTCGAAATATCTTCATATGCTGGAAGACGGCAACCATGACCATCGACAGCGAGTCATGGACGTCAGGTCCGACGAGGTGGTGATGCGTCAATTTTGCCAGAGTCTCTCTCAAGATCGCAGAATCGATGGCTCTGACGAAGACGGGAATGACCTTCTGGCATTGTCTGAAATTCTCTTCCCTTATTACACTGACCCCAAGTCTGGCGCCAGGCTTACTTATCGATCGAGTCTGTCCATACTCAACCACTTCATTGCGGTAATCCCTTCTCCAAACCGAGAAACCATGGTACAGCCGACATACATTATCAGGCCAGCAACCAATTACGACCCTCGCAATCCTTTGCGAAGCGGCTTCATCTGTGAGGTTATTCTGCCCGAATATGCACCCATCATCTCTATCACCGGCAAGATAGAGAGCAAGAAGTTGATCGCGAAATGTTCTGCGGCTTTCATGATGTGTCTTGAGCTTCGGAAGAGAGGATATTTGGACGAGAATTTACTTCCGACTCTTCACAGACTTGCGCCGGCCAGACGGAATGCTTTGCTTGCGGTCAGTGAGAAGAAGAAGGGCAACTACCCGATGCTCATCAAACCAAGCTTCTGGAAGCAGGGTCGAGATACTGTTCCGGACCAGCTGTATCTCACCGTCATCAATGTCGATGCGGGTCTAGACCGCCCACACCAGCCTCTTGGTCTGCTAACTCGAAGGCAGTTTCCACAACTGCCGAGCTTCCCGATTTATCTTGCAGATGGGAGGCCTTCCCATATCGTGTCTAAATCTATTCCCACAGTGTTACCTGTACCGTCAGAAATATTGGAGATGATCACAAAGTTCACGCTACGTATCTATGAAGATATATACAACAAACAGTACGAATACAACATCCAGAAGATCTCTTACTGGGTCGTTCCTGTTCTATCTGATCAGATCCACAAGTCGCCATCTGGTACTAATATTGAGGACATGCTAGATATGGAACAAATCCGCAGAGTCTATAAGAATCCAACATGGGACTGGACGCCAACGGTGTATCCCGAAGATTTGATCGATAAATACTATATTGATCCTATGAATGGAGGTCGTCGCTATTACTCCAACTGCATTGCTTCACATCTTACCCCGCAGGACCCTGTCCCAGCACATGTTCCAAAGCAAAACCAAAAATACATGAACACCATATTGGATTACACAGACAGCAGATGGGCCCGAAGTCGAGACACCTCCAGATGGGATCCGTCACAACCTGTACTGGAAGTTGAGAAGATTCCATTTCGTCGGAATCACCTTGCTCGAGTCGAAGAAAAGGAACAGAAAGAATTGTTCGAGCTCAAAAATTACGTCTGTCCTCAACCGCTGAAGATCTCCAATGTAGGTATAATTTTCGACTTTATGCCAGAATCTGAGTTATGTCAGCCATGCTCTATACTGACGTAAGCTAGATCGCGACCCCCTTCGTAGTCATGTGCTATGTGCTTCCAGCTATTATTCATCGCTTCGAGAGCTATCTGATTGCTCTCGATGCATGCGAGGTGCTTGACTTGCATGTCAGCCCTGCTCTGGCACTGGAAGCATTGACCAAGGACTCTGAAAATACCGATGAGCACGAGGAAGAGAAGATCAACTTCAAGAGTGGAATGGGTCCGAATTATGAACGTCTTGAATTCTTGGGGGATTGCTTTCTGAAGATGGCAACATCTCTCTCGGTCTTCGTACAGCAACCAGAAGAGAATGAGTTTGAGTATCACGTACGCCGCATGCTCATGCTCTGCAATCAAAACCTCATGGAGACGGCTATAGGTGTTAAAAAAGTGGCTCGTCCGGATGGAACTGAGATTAACTTGGAACTTCCTAAATACGTACGCACAGAAGCGTTCTCTCGGTAAGTGCACATACATACTATCATGGCGACTGGAGCTGACAAGCGGTAGCCGAACGTGGTATCCTGAAGCCCTCAAGCTCATACGAGGCAAAGGTATCAACAAGAGCGAAGACGACTGGCTCAAGCTCAGGCACAATCTGGGTGATAAGAGTGTCGCTGATGTTTGTGAGGCGTTCATCGGCGCAGCCTTTATGGAGCACCACAAGCATGGCCTCTGGATTCCTTCTCAATGGGATCTAGCTGTGAAGGCCGTGAAACTCTTTGCAAACAATCCAGATCATTCCATGGAGAAGTGGACAGACTACTATGCCGCCTATGTCAAGCCAAAGTACCAACTTGATCAACCAACAGCAGCAATGCTTGATGCTGCCCGACAGATTGAGGCAGTACATCCTTACCACTTCAAGTATCCTCGGTTGGTGCGCTCAGCCTTCACTCATCCGTCCTACGCCTACATGTTTGAGCACATTCCCAACTATCAGCGGCTTGAATTCCTCGGGGACTCTCTGCTCGACATGGCATTCATCATGCATCTCTACTACAAGTACCCAGACAAAGACCCCCAGTGGCTCACCGAGCACAAAACCCCCATGGTCTCCAACAAATTCCTCGGCGCCGTCTGCGTCAAACTCGGCTGGCACCGCCACCTCAAATCCAACACGGCCATCCTCAGCACCCAAATCCGCGACTACGTGCTCGAAATCGACGAAGCCGAACGCGAAGCCAACGGCGCAGTCGACTACTGGGTTAACGTGCACGAACCGCCCAAATGCCTCGCCGACGTCATCGAAGCCTACGTCGCCGCCCTGTTTGTCGACTCGCAATTCGACTTCTCCGTCGTCCAGTCCTTCTTCGACCGCCATCTCAAACCCTTCTTCGCCGACATGACCCTCGATGCCTATGAGAATTTCGCCTCGAATCATCCCACCACCCGCCTCAGTCGCCTGCTCTCCATCTCCTTTGGCTGCAGCGACTGGCGCATGGGCGCTCGCGAAACAGACACGGTCATTCCGGGAAAGGGCAAGGCTATTGCTGCAATGGTTATGATTCATGGGAAAGTCTGGTTTCACAGTCTAGGACAGGGTGGGCGGTATGCCCGGCTGCGGGCTAGTCATGCGGCGTTGGAGAGGTTGGATGGGTTGCCGCCGTATGAATTTCGGCAGAAGTATGGGTGTGATTGTGTGGAGGAGGAGGGCGAGGGGGAAGGGGGGCTGGGGTATGGAGGGGAAGGAGGGATGTTGACGAGGGAGAAGGAGGGGTTGATGAGGGAGGCTTTGGGGCCGAGTATTTAGATGTCTAGATGGTGGATGCGTGGAATAATGGGCTATTTATGGTAGAAATAGGAATAAAGATGTCTCTGTGCTACTATCTTACGGTTTGTAGGACCGCGAGCATGAATATGGAATTGCATACATGGTACAAGTCAACAGTAACAAATACGCCTGCATCCTTGTATAAGACTAGCATTTCAACAACTGCAAGAACCACGCATGTACATCACCAAGCACTGACATCGACATCCACACACCAAGCTACCAAATACCCGGCAAAAATAAAGGACATCATGACCATTGACGAATACATACACATATACATACATCTAAAATGCCACGTAGCCATCAAAGTCTCAACTCTGTTTCCACAGGACCAGCTCCTCGCGTTTCCTGATATAAAGGGTATATCCATCTCAAACATGTATACGAAAATCGAGTCCGTCAAAATGCTGGCCACCAATAGTGAAGGTTCTGCAAAATAATCATCATGTCGTTACGTACCATCTGAACCACCCTGCAGTTTCCACGGCACTTCAATCGGCCGCAGCAGCGACACGCAGAAGAACGACGCATCACGGCTCTCACACAATAGCTATAACTACCGCCAAGCCCACAGAAAGCATTCGGACACTACTGCCAAGTCTGGCAGCGGCACCCTTCTTCGTCTCAGAAGGCTGAGGCGCGGTGCCAGTATCACTTGTGGAGCTCGGACGCATGTTTTCGCCGCCAGGCATGTTAGACCCGTCGTTCGCCACGATTGTCAGCTCCAGGTTCTGAATCTGCTGGCCGCTCGATGCGTAAACTTCTTGCCTGACCTTGGTGTCGGTGACCTCGACTAGCTTTCCATTCTGGGGGTTCTTAATACCATCATTTATAAGCTCCTGGCATCCAGGGCAAATAGCTGGAATCGTGAAGTTTTTGCTAAAATCCTTCGCGGTGATCAGACTGTCGCTGCACTGTGGGGCTTTGATGGAGGTAGAGGATGGATTTGTGGATTGTAATAGTTGAGTGTCGAGTTTGTTGAATTGATCCTGGAGATTTTCGTAGTCTTTCCGGAGCGAGACAGAGCCGTTGGTGTTGAGGGTGACCAGGCCATAGTCTGCTTCTTCTTGGCTGTATTCGTAAACGAGACCGCCGCTGAGGGAGGTCATCTGGTCGCCGTAAAGAGTCTCGACTTCATTGAAAACACGGGGTTGGACGCGATTGCAGCCGTATTCACTGTACTGACTAGAGTTAGCTTTGGCGTGAATCTGCTATGTTGGAAACTCTCACAAAGACTGGTATCGCTGACTGGCTGAACATAGTAACCAGGTCGCTGTAACCAGAGGTTTGGAATGTGGCATCAGCTCCGCACCAACTGTATCTGTAAGAGGAAGACAAGGTCAGTGATCTTCTTCACATATAGCTGGTGTGCTAGATCTGACATACGAGTTGAGGCCAAAGAAGTCAGAAGAAGATTGATCTTCGTCATGAACGCACTGCATGTACGCCCAAGTATCCTGCAAGATCTCACGTACATCGGCAGCGGAGTAGCCAACAGGGATGGTACGGTCGGAGTGCTTCGCGATGTAGTTCTTCAGATCACGTTGGACCGCGCGAATATACTGAGGGTTGTACTCTGCGGTTTCCAAGTCGTTCATGACTTCATTCGCAGCGAAGAAAGCAAGCGTGTTAGGGAAACCCTTGAAATTCTCAATGATTCCGAAAACACGGGTGAGATAATCGGAATTGTAAGAAGTCCATGGCGCAGCACGATTGATGCTCTCGCCAGGCAGGGGCGAATTGACATCGAGGATCATGTAGATACCGGCCGCATTAAATATGGAAGCACACTTCGAATGATCAAGCGTAGGGTCAACATTGTAAACACGGATGGTGTTGACCTGGACTATGTCAGCTTTTCAGGCTCACTGCTGTGGTGGCGGATATCCTCACACCCAATTTCTGCATGACCGTCGCATCTCGCAGACATATATCCGCGTCTGTCAGAGCATCGAGGCCTTGGGAAGGCTTGTATGCTCCTTGACCACCGGGCTGGTAGTCAACACCGACAATCATGAGCCTCTTACCAGTAACCGTATCGACAAAATCCTGGCCACGGACCTCCACAGGATGAACCGCATACGCGACAGTCGTGAATAACGCTGGAAGGAGCGCGAGTGCGCGAGTGAGCTACGCCTTGTCAGCCTTTCTTTACACATCGAGAAGTAACTACAAGAACGTCTTTTGTGGAATTTTCAATCGAAACACTTACAGATACCATGATGAGCGGCTGTCACAGAAGTGACCCGTTGTGGAAGAAAGACGGCGAAAGCTGTCGCTCTTTGATATGCACGATGCAAATCCTTCAAGCCTTTTGTTGTCCTCTGACAGAACCTGTACCGTGATAATGCACCAGGTTAGATGCAGGGAAACAAAGACAAGGAACGTGCTATCTATTCGGACATCGGAGCCGTGATAACGAGCGAATGGCGCACTGCCGGCAACAGTATGGACTTGTGGGCGAGCAAAAGGAGAGACCAGAAACGAGTGACTTGTGCACGACGACGACCATGTACCTATGTAAAGAAGATTGTACCAAAAAGAAGGGCCTTTGAAGATGACAGTGTGACAGAGAAAGTGGAATCTATGTGGTTACACCAATGACCTACGTATTTGGCAAGGCAAGTGCGCCCCGCAATTTCGGCAGGTTGCTTTCGTGAGAAAAGCAGGAAAGCTTCACGGTGCTTCGCGGCTGCCGTGCTTACCGGTACCCCTTGTTGTTGCGACAAGCTTCTGGCAACAAGACCCTACCGGTACCTTAATCGGATGTATTTACTGGTACCTAGTCAGTACACAACATCGATTGATTTAGCAACATATTGCGCCGAACTGCCACTGCTCGACCTTGACTTTGCTGTGCCGTGCCGTGCCGTGCCGTGCTGCAGTGCCGTGCGGAGATAATGTCTTTGTCTAGGATACTCTAGACGAGGAATGCAATGAGCAGGTGGAAGGATGCGTGAGACGTTTAGGATGCAAGAGCCGTGTATTCACAATTGCGCACCAATCATTGCTTCCAAAGCTCCGGTGCTGACGGCTTGCGCGCTATCCTGTGACCAAAATGAATGGGCATTTCATCATTGAAATCGGTGGAGAAAAAAACCTCGCATGCGTTCGGCGACGGATGATGGTGCAACTAGTAGGTCCTATTGGGTTGATTTGAATCAGCAGTCGAGAAGACTCGGGGTCACTCTACCTTATCACGATGCCATGGTCAGTCTCTAGATATACCGGTATTGCTTATCAGACATTGGACGCTCGTCCAGGTGGAAGCCTGCGTAGCTATTGGGGGACAAGAATACTGGGAAAAGATGTGTTTCACGGCCATGGAAGAATGGAGAGGTTCACAGATGTTGCGTCTGGATCTATACGATGCCGGCGCATGGTCGCCCTGTTCTACTGATTGCGATGGAAGAGCTACTACAGCGGTTAGGTACTGGGAGTGGCCTCCATCTATTCTTATGCCTGAAGCTTGTTCTCGAGAAGACCGAATGCTTCACATGACTGTTCCAATATTCCGAACATATCGTCCATGAGAACGTTGGTTCGTGCAGACTGTTGATCCACCTCGTCGGTTTCGGGACGTTACTGTGAGTGACCCTGAGGGGCAAGTGAGTCCCTTCGTACGCTGTGTACACTAGGAGTGTGAACGATCCGGCCCCATGCTTCACCCCGTCATTTCCACATCGTCAGCCTTCCTTTTCTGCCCAGCTTCACGATCTTCGATCTGCCCCTGCAACTTTGCCTGCAATGCTTCGAGCAAAACCTCCTTCACAACTGCAAGACTTCCCACTGCTGCATGCGTAGCCCCTTCAACAAGGGCATCCGGATCGGGGCCAACATCCCCTTTCATCCATATCTCTGTGATCTCGTCTCTTGAAGCAAGGTAGCCAATGGCGCAGGCCGCAACGACGTCTTTGTGCTCTGCCGGACATGGATCGAGAATCCTAGCCAACTCTCTATCATCGTTTAAATCTGGATTGCGCACAATCGCTGCGACGCCCCCACATGCTATGTCCACGCAATCAATGCCAGCGTCTATAATGGCAGCACTCGCCACTGTTATACAGCCTGCGAGTACATTCAATAGTCCCCAGCCGCTTCCTTTCGAGGTACCTTCGCTTTCGGAGTCGCCCCACCAGCCATCCTCGTCACCCTCTAAGATTGTAATCACAACTTCAACTCCACTCTTTGGCCAACGTTCACCGATAATAACACCTCGCAATGCGGTCTCGAGATGTACTCCTAGATCTCGCTCTGCAGCGTCGCGTATGTAGCCTCTCCTTTGGCGTGTTCCAAAAGGCGCGAATTTGACCGTGGTCGTGAGAAGTAGGGAAGGACTGAATGCCGCACTGCGGGGAAGGGGCTTGGGGCCTTGTATTGAGGCTGTGATCTTGAGAGACGATGTTGGTGATATGAGTGTTGATTTGGATGAGGGCGAGGAAGAGGGAATTTCAAGGTAAGCGGAGCCTGAAGCTGAAGGTATGATGGCCGTTTGGAGAACTAGGTATTTGGATAAGCATGAGATACACGGATCATTGCGCTTCAACAGCTTGCTCAGAAGGCCCAGAAATCACAGAAAAGGATATGAATCCAACTCCAATCTTGATAGTCTCTTATGTGACCGAGTAAGTGGCAGCACTTACAGATCCTGCGCAGCTCGTTAGGGCCTCTTGACCTCGTCGGCCGCAACTTTTGTAGATATTCTGGATCTCTGATAGTCTGTGCAAACACAGGCGCACTCGTACCGCCGCTCGGCGCATTGTGCCTTCTTCGATCCATGTTCATCTTGTAAGTGTGGGGTCAAAGTCTTTGGTGGTTCGCGCTGTGATCTCATCGGTCGTAGGAAAATCTTGGTGACTAAGCTGCCAAGAGTTCGAGCTCCATGTTAATTTTCTTCGCGCGACACCAGCTTGCTTCTGCACTCTACTCTCTCGCGCAAGGTATGTCCACACCACACGTTTCCTACAAGCATCCTCTCTTTCATGATTGATAACCCCTGAATACCGTTCTGGTGATCTTTAATGAGCAACGAACAACATGCACCACCGTCTGATCTGTCTCTCGATATCTCTGCATCTCGCACGCAAAGCTTAGATCTTTGGCTGACTTTCGCAGATACCGTCTAGTTCTCGTGCGAGCTGGGACATATCTAGCAAGCACGTCGGGAGGCACTCGGCGCGATGAGCCTACGGCTTAGACCGGCTAAGACAGAGACTTGCATCGTAGCAGGTCCTCTGGCCATGGGTTGATTTTGCACCACGCCGCTGGAGTGTTGCACGATCATGCGAACTAACATTGACATGAAAACTGGAACCCAACCCTATTGGTACGTTCCTTCTTTACTTTACGTTGTTGTCCAAACTCATCTTGTACACTTCAATGATGAACGTATTATACAGTTCTGCTACTGAATTCCTTTGAAGATAGCTTATACCGCTTACCTTTGTCTGATATTGAAGCTTCCTTCCACATTGTTCAACTCTTATTTGAAAGGCCGTTGCTAACGTGCCATACAGACTCTTATGCAGCTTACGTCGAACCAAACCCGCACCACAAAGTAAGCACGTCGATCCCTATTTTTCATCGCCAGGAAGAAACCTAGTCTATCCATTCCATGACAATCTGCTGCCGGGTCATCCTCCCGCACTCTACCAGTCTCGGCTGGGATGATGGGTTGTGGAGTTGTGTTGCTGGCTTGTCCAGCGATGCGTGATTGTGGTCTTCGTGCTGAAGGTTGTAGCACTCCGTCTTGGGCTGCTGCGATTGGATGCCGGTGGCGGGCGCTTGATTTAAAACGGCTGTCTGAGCTCAAACTCACAATTGTTATTGTTGAAACATCGTTTGCGGAACACTGCTAACAATTACGCAGTGTCGGTGGCGAAGACGTGTAGAGGGCGAATATATGCAGGTTGGGCAAACGCAAGCCAAAGATTGTAGCTCTTAATTTACTGTTGTTCTAATGAAACATGTTTTGCTGGCTTCAAAAAACATGTGTAGTCGCTGAATGCTTTGAGAGTGACTCGTATGCGCCTCGTCAGCAAACAACTCTGGTGTCGCTCGCGACTGGATCATCAGTCAGCAGGTTGCGTTGCCGTCTCACTCGACACATGCTCTTTCTGACGAGATGCGGAATATGACAGGTTGAATCTGACACGAAAGCCTCGTCGTATTGCTCAGTTCCGTCGTTGTTTCTTCGGCCATGGACAAATGAATCGGGGCCTTCTTCCTCTCGGGCTTCTTCCCACCAAGGGTTGCTGCCGCTGAAGTCTGAAACGTCCAAAGCTAGAGGCTTGGCGGCTCATTACACTGCCCACCACCTGGACGGGGCCAGGACGCAACAGGCAATCCTGCAAGCTGTCCATCCATACCCACACTTTTCTGTACAGACAATTCAACATGCACATGGCGCATCTTTGTAGGCCCACGTGAAAATTAAGACCAATCGGCCCTTTGCGCATCTATCATTCTACTTGGAGCAAGAGTGTGCGCACACACGTCAACGGTGGCCTTAGCGGAACAGATCCTCCCATCTACAGCCAAGCCTTCCCATTGAGATCATCGAATCCACGCAGGCTTGCGCAATATATCGCCCAACACGTCGATCGACTGCTACATCGCTGAACGTACTTCCTCCACTTCTCTCCTCCCTTTTGTTCTAACCAGCAGCCACGCTCTATTCAGCAGTGGTGAAGCTGAAGGAGTGTCGCCTTACTCGAACAACGTTTCGCTGATCTGGCGGGTCAGAGGTGACCGGGGGTTCCGACCAAGGGAGCGTCCCAAACCTTGAAAGCGTCTCTGAATGTTGCCCTTACATTCCACGGCCAAAGGGAAGATGCAGCGCCATGCCTTCTCAAACGGCGCATATCCTTCGCAAGGAGGGGGCACGTTTTCTATCCAACCTCACAAGTACGTTTGCCCAGGGCAGCCGCCATGTCCAGCGCGTTGTTCCCATCGCAGCTTCCCGCTCACCTCCTTTACCACCACGACTCCAAGAGACACGATTCTGACTACAATCACCCATGCAGATTCCAACCGCGGTCACAGCCTGCGCTTAGACGGCGGAGACAACTAATCCAGCGCCTGCTCTTAGCTGCCTCGCTCTTCTTCACCGGTCTTTTCTTCTTTTTCCCCAATCTGCGGCCAAACCTGGGCTCGGGTCCGATTAGCTTCCTCACGTCGAGTGAAGACTCGCAGCTTGAGACGGTCCGATACTACGATCTGAACAATGTGCAGGGCACCGCGCGGGGGTGGGAGCGCGAGGAGCGCATACTCATTTGCGCCCCATTGCGCGACGCCTCACCCCACCTGAACATGTTCTTCAGTCATCTGAAGAATCTCACCTACCCGCACAACCTCATCGACCTCGCTTTCCTCGTCGGAGACTCCAAGGACAACACCATCTCTCTTTTGACGGAGAAATTAGAGGAACTACAGGCCAATCCTGACAGGAGACAACAGTTTGGTGAAATCTCCGTCATGGAAAAGGATTTTGGACAAAAGGTCAATCAAGACGTTGAGAGTCGACATGGCTTCGCGGCGCAAGCCAGTCGTCGTAAGTCCATGGCTCAGGCGCGCAACTGGCTCCTCAGTGCTGCTCTGCGACCGACACATAGTTGGGTGTATTGGCGCGACGTCGATGTCGAGACTGCACCTTTCACCATTCTCGAGGATCTTATGCGCCACAACAAGGATGTCATTGTACCAAGTGAGAATCAGTTCGTTGCGCAGATAGGCCAAGTGCTAACGAGACCTTGCAGATGTCTGGCGACCCCTACCTGATTGGCTTGGCGGCGAGCAGCCATACGATCTCAACTCCTGGCAAGAATCAGATACTGCTCTTGCCCTCGCAGATACATTGGATGAAGATGCCGTCATCGTTGAGGGATATGCAGAGTACGCGACGTGGCGCCCACATTTGGCTTATCTACGCGATCCGTACGGTGACCCAGACATGGAGATGGAGATTGACGGTGTCGGCGGTGTCAGTATTCTGGCCAAGGCCAAAGTGTTTCGATCTGGCGTCCACTTTCCCGCTTTCAGTTTTGAGAAGCATGCGGAGACCGAGGGCTTCGGTAAAGTAAGTTCATTCTATTCCAATGACAATAATGTGTGCTAACGACATGTAGATGGCCAAGCGCATGAAGTTCTCGGTCGTCGGACTCCCGCATTACACGATTTGGCATTTGTATGAACCCAGTGTTGATGATATCCGACACATGGAGGAAATGGAGAAGGAGCGCAAGGCAAAAGAAGCGGAAGAGGAAGCGAAGAAGGCCAAGGAAAAGAAGCTCAAGGATGCTTTCGATGAAAAGAAGAGTGACTGGGAGAAGGACAAGGCTACCGTTCAGGCGCTAGTCCAACAAGCAAAGAACGAAGAAAAGGAGAAAGCAGAGAAGGGCAAGGGGGGGCCAAAGCCGGCGGCAGGCATACCGCCAAAGAAGGAAGAGAAGTCGTAGTCTTCTCCCAATCCAATGAGGAGCAGCTCTATATGATGACTATTTGGAGCCTCGTTCCGTTCGACAGTGCCAGGGGCATTGGCGTCGTATAGCTCGGCAATGAAAGTCATGACATGGCTAGACGGATCAGAACATGATCTTTCCTTCCTCTCGATATCCGCACCGCCCATGGTCTTGGACTATCGAGGAAAGATAGTCCACACCCGCCGAGCCGGTCTCTACTACGTGGGATTGGCGGCTTATTACTTCTTGGTGGAGCAAGTGATTGAAGTTTTGGTGGATTGTATACATTAGACAACGTGTTGCATTACGGGCGTTGTAGCTGGCCTGGTAAAGCCGAAATACAGAAGTTATATTTGTTTTGTAGCAATAGAAGGTATCCAGTACTGAGGCATTAGGCTTGAAGCATGAAGCATAACAGGCATCGACAAGTAGAAGTATTAGAGTGAGTGACGTACCTACGTATAAGACCGCCCCATGTTAGCTCGGGGACAGGGTGTCATAACGGTCGGACCTCCGAACCGTCAATTGTTCGAGGCACTATTACAGGTGAGATAGACCAATACGACTGACTGCCTCAACAGCTGCGGCTTGCCATTGTTCACGTCACCTTTGTTCCTCGAGGACACGAAAACTTTTGTGCTGGACGGATTGCTGTCTGGCGAAGCAGAAGCAAGCTATTGCGGCAGTGACATCGTGTCCTGTTCACGACTGGCAACAACCAGCATACCGTACCGGTACAGTACATGTCCCAGCTGTCTCAACTGCACCTACACCGCGGCCATACGACTCCCTCGCTGCGCAATTGTTCGTACTATATATACTTGACGCTCATACATCATCATGTCGAGCACCGGAAGCGAAGACAATGTTGCGCCAACACTCCAAGACACCATCGCCAGCTTGACGCCGCGGCCCATAACCGTCGCAGTCAACCCAGTCGCGCTCGTAGTCACAGAATGCATTACCGTCACGTCGGCTATGCGGAAACATGCCCGCTGGGCGCATTCTTCTGTAGCAGCCATCTTGGGCAGCTCCTCCAACAAGACGCCTGCCGTGCAACGGCGCGACCGGGCAGGGCAAGGCATCATAAGCGCAGGCGAGCAAGAGGAGGTGGTGCCGAGCAGATGGGGACTGCGAGGGAAAAAGGGCAAAAGCCTGCAGGACAATCCGCTCATGTCTGCATTTGCGCGCCTGAGAAGTGATCTAAAGGGCTGCAAGAGTACGAGCTTGGAAACGCTGACACCGCCAGAGTTGTGCTAATGCTACATCAGACATCCGCACCTTTGACACCCCCTCGATGCTCCACCCCTTCTTACAGGTCATTCGTTCCTCTTCGACCTCTGCGCCCATCACATCGCTCGCCCTCATTGCCATAACAAAGTTCCTGTCGTACGGCATCATCAGCCATGACTCTCCACGCCTCGCAGAAGCTATGCAGCAGCTCTCGTCCGCTATCACACACTGTCGCTTCGAGGCAAGCGACTCCGCAGCTGACGAGATTGTCCTATTGCGTATTCTGCGGCTCATGGAAGTCATGATCTCAGGTCCTGGGGGTGAAGTGCTGGGTGATGAGAGTGTCTGTGAAATGATGGAGACGGGCCTGAGCATGTGTTGCCAGGCAAGACTATCCGAGCTACTGCGCCGGTCTGCTGAAATTGCCATGGTGTCCATGTGCCAGGTCATATTCCGCCGACTGAAGACACTCGAGATTGAATCGCCAGAGGAGCTGGACGCGCTAGACGAAGAATTGGATCGCGAAAATGACCAGGACGGCCCCAAGATGGATCCCACTACCAATGGGGAAGGCGATTATGCGCAGCACAAGGTCGAGGCCCCTCAGCAGTCGAGCAGTTCGGAGAAGGGCCCAGATGACAACGATAGCATGGCGAATCCTGCTAGTAGCACAGTAGACCTTCCTGCAACAGCCGCGGATGGCGAACCGCAAGCCGCTGTCGAGATCAGGCCGTACTCGCTACCTTCAATACGAGAGCTCTTCCGAGTACTGGTCGAACTGCTGGATCCCCACGATCGTCAACACACTGACACGATGCGTGTGATGGCGCTGCGTATCGTGGACGTAGCGCTCGAGGTTGCAGGACCATCGATAGCAAGCCACCCAAGTTTAGCAAATCTGGCCAAAGACACGCTTTGTCGTCACATCTTTCAGCTGGTTAGGTCGGACAACATGGCTGTCTTGAACGAGTCACTGCGTGTGGCTGGCACATTGCTTGCGACATGCAGAAATGTCCTCAAGCTCCAACAGGAGCTATATTTGTCATACCTGGTCGCATGTCTCTTCCCACGGGTCGAAATACCCATGGAGCCTGGCATCGAGCCTTCTCTGTATGAGGGTGTCCCGCAAGCCCCAAGTCTTATCAAGCAACCCCCTCAACAGGATAGCAGCAGTGGTCGCTCGACGCCAGTTCCAGTCAAGGACCGGCAAAAGCTTGGGCTCGAGGGTGGGGCTAGGAAGCCAGATGCTCGCGAAGCCATGATCGAAAATCTAGGTGGCTTAGTACGGATACCATCTTTCATGGCTGAGCTCTTCGTCAACTACGATTGTGAAATCGATCGTGGTGATGTCTGCATGGATATTGTTGGGCTTCTTTCGAGAAATGCCTTCCCTGACTCCGCCACATGGAGTACAGTCAACGTTCCGCCGCTATGCTTGGATGCTCTACTCGGCTTTGTTCAATCTATAGCGGACCGCTTGGATGAAGAGCCCGTCACTGAGGGCTTTCCAACTGCTGACTCGCTTCGTGAGCAGCGGGCGCGGAAAAAGATCATTATCAAAGGCGCTACTAAGTTTAACGAGAAGCCCAAGGCTGGGATTGCCTTTCTAGCTTCGCAAGGGATCATCAAGGACTCTGAAGACCCAAAATGCATAGCTGAGTTCGTCAAGGGCACTACCAGAGTTGACAAGAAGGTCTTGGGAGAGTTTCTCTCGAAGAAGGGTAATGAGGCGATTCTCAGCGCGTTCATCAACCTGTTCGACTTCAAAGGGCTCCGACTCGATGAAGCATTGAGACAACTTTTACACGCCTTCCGACTCCCGGGTGAATCAGCTTTAATCGAGCGAATCGTTACGGACTTTGCCGAGCAGTATCTGGAGAAGGCGCAGCCTGAAGGTATTACCAGCAAAGATGCCATCTTCGTGCTCACATACGCGATCATCATGTTGAATACCGACCAGCACAACCCCAACTTGAAGGGCAACAAGCGTATGGCATATGAGGACTTTGCAAGGAACCTGCGTGGCGTCAACGACGGCAAGGACTTTGACCCTGATTATCTTCATGCCATGTACGATTCCATTAAGACGCGGGAGATCATTCTACCCGAAGAGCACAGTGATCGAAATGCGTATGAACATGCCTGGAAAGAGCTACTGGTCAAGTGTCAGACAACTCCGGACCTCATCATTTGCGACACCAATATCTACGACGCAGACATGTTTGCCGCAACATGGAAGCCAATCGTGGCGACACTGTCGTATGTATTCATGTCTGCCACAGACGATGCTGTCTTCTCCCGTGTCGTGCTTGGTTTTGATCAGTGCGCTCAAATCGCTGCAAAGTACAACTTGACAGATGCTTTGGACCGCATCATATCGTGTCTGGCGTACATTAGTACTTTAGCACCTGATGTTCCACCAAGCACTTCGCTAAATACCGAGGTGCAGGCTGATAAGAAGAGCGTAATGGTCAGCGAGACAGCTGTACGCTTCGGCCGTGATGGCAGAGCTCAACTCGCGACGGTCGTTCTATTCCAAGTTATCAAAGGTCATGAGGCTTCGATACGAGATGGGTGGAACCACGTAAGCTTATCGTGCCTACTCAAAATTCGTATACTAACACAGCCAGCTCATTCGCATTATGGTCAATCTTTTTGTAAATTCGCTTATACCCCCTTACTTCCTTTCCTTCCAGAAGACGCTCGCTTTACCCCCGATACCTCTCCAGAATCCTGCGCAGATTATTGATCGACCAGAACGCCCTGCCGACACTGGCATTTTCTCGGCCTTGTCATCATATGTATCGAGCTTCGCCAATGACGAGCCACCAGAGCCATCGGACCAGGAGATTGAGTACACGCTTTGTACTGTAGACACAGTGAAGGAGTGCCACTTTGAAGACATACTTGCCAACATCAGTCAACTCCCAGTAGAGGCGCTTCGGTCGCTGCTGACGTCGTTGCTTGCCCACATACCTGAAGATGGCTCACCAAGAGTTATTGTGGTGAAGCCGGAACTTCCAGGCGCGAGTCCTCGAACAGGCGCCCCAAGGCAAAAGGGCAAGGGCCCAATATATGACCCAAGTTTAGTATTTGTGCTTGAGCTTGCGACTGTCTTGGCCTTGCGAAACGATGAGACCGTGAGAGAGCTGGCAAAGGACGTCACCGACGCATTATCGACGGTCATTCGAGATGCTAGTAAGCATCACTACGTGGTGATTGCGAGGTCTGTTTACTACCTGCTCAGTCTGCTAAACGCCAGCAATGTAAGTTTGCCCCTTCTATGTTTGTGAAACATGGCTAAGTAACCCAGGACTATGATTTCATCCGGGCTCCTGTCCTCCTCCACACCTTCTCTAGTTTCAGCGATGCACTGCTACAGGAGTGCGCTCAGCCCATTCTCAAGGGCTTGACCGATTGCTGCAAGGGTCCAAATGCCTTACGAAGCGAATTGACGGGCTCACCAGACTTCTGGACCATTCTCAACAGACTTTCCAATGTACCTGAGGCTGCTGGAGACGTGTTCCAGCTGGTAGAGGATCTCACAACCTCATCTCAGCCCGGCATTACCGCAGACAACTATGAGGCCGCCATCGCACTGCTCAACGAATTCGCAACAGCGGCTCAAGTTGGTGCGCGCGACGAGCAGTTATACGACCAAGCCGCTAAGCGTGGAAAAGGACCCAAGCCTAAGAAGCCCGAGAGTAATGAGATCGTTGTGCGAGGTAGCAAAGCTATGACAATCGTCTTTCAGCTTTCCAGCAGAGTACCGCATTTCATCGAACAGTCTCATCTTGAGACAACAGAGGGTACGCCACAAAACTCCCACCACATGATACACAGCAGCTAACACCACAACAGCATGGACAGCGTACTGGTCACCCATTCTCAAAACCCTCGCCCACCAGTGTCTTAATCCGTGCCGCGAAATTCGCCAGCAAGCCTTCTCTGCTATGCAGCGCACACTCCTGTCCAATTCGCTAGCATCTCCTGACCACGCTGAATGGACTGCGATCTTCAGTGAAGTTCTCGTACCACTCATCACGCAACTCCTCAAGCCAGAAGTCTATCAGAGCGACCCCCTAGGGATGAGCGAGACGCGGGTTCGCGCATCAACGCTGCTGAGCAAGGTCTTCTTGCACTATCTGGTATTACTGAGTGGAACGAGTGAGTTGTTGGATTTGTGGCTAAAGATCATCACCATCATGGACCGCTTGATGAATAGCGGACAGGGTGACAACCTGGTAAGTCGAGCATTTCCTTGCCCTCTTCCCGGCGTCCCTCCCACCATACAATTCGCACATTGCTAACCACAGCCGCCACCAGGAGGAAGCCGTGGTCGAGAACCTCAAAAACATGCTCCTCGTCCTCTCCAGCGGTGGCTACCTCGCCCCTCCCGACGAAAACCCCCAGCGCGAAGAACTCTGGAATGAAACCTGGAAGCGGATTAATCGCTTCCAGCCCAATTTACTCCAGGAACTCTTCCCGACCGACGCGACGAAACCAGTCAGGCAGAGGGTGAGCCCTGATGAGAAGGCTGGCGGGGAAGTAGCTCCCGAAGCCGATGTTGCGGTGACGCCGCAGTCTGAGGCTGAGGGAGAGAAAGGTGGCGATGAGGGTGGCGGGGAAGAAAATGTGCAGGATACGGTGCAGGAGCATGTAGAGGAGAAGCAGGAGGCAGGGGAGAAGGAAGGTTAGGTGCTTTTTTGTTTCGTAGCGATGGTCACCGACCTTTTTCTTGTACAGCGTGGAGACGAGCATAGCGGTGAGGAGCAGGAGGAGCAGGACTCGAAGATAGTATAGACAAGCATATATGACTTCTTGCAAATCTGCTTCACTAGCTTGCTAGCTAGCTACTTGAATCGCAATCTCAGCAAACGAGGGATATCAAATACCCTTTCTTTTATTTACTCGGACATTTTCTTATTGCGAATACATGTCTGCGTTTACTAGTTTGCAATATCGCACCCCCTTCTCCCTCTCACCATAGATACAAACATCTCTCCGACTGTTCTCAGACATGAATTTTCGTTCTTGTTCTTCTTCTCGTTCTTGCCAATCCAGCACCCCTAGTTTTCGCCTCGAGCCCGTCATTGCTCTTACTTAAGAGATGGATTTGTTGTGCAGTTCGGCACTCTTTTTTCTTTTAGGGGGGGTAGGTAGGGAGGTGTGGCGGTGTTGTTATCATGTCATCTTGGGCTCGTGGGGCGGATGCATGGAGGGGTGGGAAGGGGTGCAGGATTGGGGTGTGTATGTATGTGTGATGTATGATGTATGATTTATGATATATAATAAATTTCGGGGTGGGGTTGTGAGGTATTTGAATGAGGGGGGGGGGGGGGTTGGGAGGGGTAGGGGGAGTACAGGATACATAATACAAGTTTGTATATATTCGTATGTCAGCCATTCAGTCAGTCAGGCATTCACGTGTAACTCGGCAAATCCACACCATCAATTGTAGACAAGAAAATGCATTGTGATGATTGCGGATGAGCAATATGGTATCAATAGTGAGTAATACCGCCATGACGAAACTAATCTAAGGACTACACACAGTCTGTCTATTAGAATGGAATAGGATATTCGTCTTTTCATCGTCTTCATCCCCATCATGCCCATACCATTCCAGCTCGATGCCTTAATCCAGCTCCCCGCCCATTCCCAGTATCCAAGCTGCCTACACTCAGGCTCACTACACCGCCCTCACTACACCGCCCTCACTACACCGCCCTCACTACACCGCCCCACCACCCCCCTCCTCCCCTTCCAACGGCACCTCAAACATCGGCACCTTCCTACTAGGTCCGCCGAGCGGATTCCGCAGTCCCGTCTGCGTATCCGAGCCCCGAGCGTGCGCACTCTCGAGCGAGGATTCGGTTTTCAGCGAGGGTCGACGGTTGGCGGGATCGTTTGCGGCTTCGACTTTGGCGCGGATGCTGGCTAGTGCTGGTTCGTTGTTTTCGTAGGGCTTATTGGGGTTGGGGGTTGGGGGTGGGTTTGGGCTGTTGTGGGATGGTGAGGTGGGTGGTGGGAGGCTTGGTGTGGATGTTTCTGAGGTGGTGGGTGGTGGTTCGGATGTTGGTGGTGGTGGATGTGGTTGTGGGGGTATATCTGCATTGGATGCGCTGGATGCTGCAGTTTCATCCTCCCCCTCCGCAGCAGTGTCTACTTTCTTCGCAGCAACCTTTCGCCGCGCCTTTGCTATTAGGTCGTCGAATTCGGTCTTGTGAGATTTCATGTAGCTGTCACCATCAAAGTCCTTCTTCATGATTTTGCTTTCTCTGCTTTCTGCGCGGCCGCCTTGTGTCTGTTCCCACTCCTCCAGCTCTCTAAGCAGTTGTCGTTTACTTTTCCGTACACTGCCGTCGGCGTCACAATTTGAGTTGTAGATGTTGAGCCACTCGATATGTCGTCGCTTCAAGAGAGTCTTATCTCCCCAGTTTGGTATACCAATCTCCTGAAGCTTCTTACGCAGCGCAGTCTCTTTCAACATGGCATAGTTGAGTTGTGATAATCGGGTTGGCGGGGGTGAGGTCTCTTTCTTCCGTCTTGTGAGGGTCGTGGGGAAAATTGCTTTGGTTCTAGAGAGGGATTTTGTCAGCTGCGTACCCTGATGCAGTGATGTCATACCCTGTACGTACTTTGACCGGGTATTTCGCCCCTGCGACGACGACGACGTATCCGGGCCCGGACATACGTCTAGATGATTGTAGACTTGCTCCGCTTTCATCTTCTTGTTGCAGATTGGGCATTTCGCCATACCCTCAGGCAAGTATTCCGGATCGCTTTCTGCTTCGCTATCTGCGATTTCAATTGGCCCATCTTGGTCCGCGCCTTCACGGCGCCTCTTGCCTCTAGCCTGCCCTGAGCGAGTGTGTCTAGTATTCTCGTCCTCGGCCTCTATTTCCGTGTCTTCCAACTTTCGCTTCTGCCCACTAGGCATCTCGACCGTGTCCTCCTTGTCTGCGCGTGCCAATTCCAGGGCCTTTGGTCTTGCCTCCTGAAATCGCATCACCACTTCTCTAACCGCAATATTTGGCGTCAATTTATCGCTGGAACAACCCGTCTTGCAGCTTGGACACTTCCCGTCCGCTGTAATGCATCTGCGTATGCATATCGAGCAAAATGTGTGCGAGCAGGAAGTAATGACAGGATTACTGAGAAATTCCTTGCAGACTTCGCACCGAAGCGCGGCCTCGACAGCCTCGAATCCGGGCAATGACGTTAATAACCAGTCTGTCGAATCCGGCAAGTCGTAGGAAGTATCCATGAGCGATTCGGGGGGCGTAATGGGCGGAACGGGGTGGTAAGATGTTTGGGTTGTGCATGGCCATGCCGCGTTCGAAGTCTCATCGGCCGACACAAAGGACGCGCCGGACGCGACAGCCTTGTCGCGAACATCACGTGATGCACAACCAGCACTTCCCGCTGAGTCAGCGCCGGGAGGGGCAGGCGTCGAGGTGAAGAATAGTCGAGCCTGCTTTGCCATGTTGAGCTCAAGGAAGGTGTGAGAGTTATTATGACCGAGTTGAGAGCACTAAGCGGCAGGCGATAATGAAGTACGGTAGGACAAACAGATATATCTCCCCAAATGAAAAAATGATTGAAGAGCGCACGTAGAGCAGTGTGGCACAACTTTCACTTGATAGTTGCAATAGCATGTGGTATTGCGGAATCGTAGATTTCGTCCCATTTAGATCCATAGAGGCTATGCTTCCATTGCATTGGTGATATCGCTGGCCAGCTCTTGTGCAGCAATGAGTTGTGCAATTGCAACCCAAGTTCTTTCACCCGGCCTTGCCACTTCTCTGCGCTTACAATGAGAAGAACACTACATTGTGCCTGCTCATTGTTCTCTGACCTCGATACAATGTCGGTGTCTCATTGTTCGGCTCCGCTTTCATCGTTGCAACTCACACCTTGATGACCATGGTCTTGCTCTTGATGCCATCGAAGACACACGTATTGTCCACTGGGACGTATTGCTCTGTAATGACCTTGATGATCTCTTGCGATACCATACCGCCCGTCATAGCGCCGATGTTGTGTAGCTCAGCTCCACCAGCTCGAACCCTGCTTCCGGTCAGTCACATTGTCCTTGAAACTTGATACATAGGTACTCACATCTCTGCCACAAATTCTCTAGTCTGTGTCGTGACTTTGGAAAGCTCGTCCTCGTCAATGTCTGCATGTGCCTCCTTGACCAAGTCTTCCAAGATTTGTAGTGCAATACCAGTAAGTTTCTCTGTATCTAGGGGTTGGTCGGTCTCGCCTGGAACACCAGGAGCGCCACCCAGGCCATCCTTGTCATGAGTGGCAACGTATTGATCCCAGGCAAGGAAAGCGAGGTACAGTGGGACCAGAGATTCAGGGAAAGTCATTGTCTGTGCTGTGAAGAATTTGTTAGTAAAATTAGAAATTTCTCTAGTATCGCACGTACCGAGAGATTTTGCCCTGTCACGCCAGCTGACTTTCTGGCCTGCCTGCATGACATGGAATGGTCGACCGCGCATGAGCTTGATATGTGCAGCATTCTTGCAGAAAGCCTCGATGTCCTTTTCCTGAATGACAGTGCTCCTGTTCGCATTGCGCTCCAGGAATCGCACACTCTCCACAACTTCGGCCAGGTCTTTCCGTGCTTTTGACTTGTACACATTTTGCAGTTGTATATAGTCTGCTGAACGCGCCTTCATATCAGGTACCGAGCCTGGGACTGGGAGCACGCCATACTTTGTGTAGAACAACCCCACCGCGTTTGCTATGACCCAGAAGCTTGGCGAGTCTTGCCTGATCAACAGACACTCAGGGGCTGTGAAAATCTCCTTGACGGCTCCCCGTACTTCTGGTGGATTCAGCAGCTTCAGTACTGCACCCACAGCTTCATCAAAGTTCTCTTCTCCGCCTTCTGGTGTGTCAGTTCTCGCAGCTTGTTCTACCGTCTTTCTGAATTCCAATTTTTCTTTGTAGTTGGATGGGAGGTTTCCCTCGTGAGTCTTTTTCCATTCTTCAAGAAAGTGCAGAAGTAAGGCGATGTAGGGAACATGGCCATGGTCTTCGGGCTTCATACTGTCTAAGCCAGCCGTCTTTTCCTCTGCATATTGGACAAGCTCCGGCCATGGGCGTACTATTCGCAGGTCTGATGTGGTTCCGGCATCGGGGTGTGTATCGACAATGGGAAAGGCTGGCGGGAGGTGTACAGAGAAGTGGGAGTAGAAGCCGACGGAGTGAATGTAAAATAGCGGAATCAGTGCAGCGCTTGCGTGTTCGGCGAGTCGGGTGAGTAGCCCAGGGCGGATGGGTGCGACGGCGATGATAAGCGTGTATGGCTCTAGGACTTTGGGTTGCTGTAGCCATGATTCGATGGGCTGGCGACGTGATGGTGGTCAGCATGGGCCCAGCAGTTGTCTTGTGGTCTTGGAGGCGAACTCTACCTCTGTAACAAAGTGACCCTCGACATCTGGATTGAGCTCCTTCAGACAGTTGCAGGTATGTTCTGCGCGATAGCCCCCTAGATGTTGATCCTCGAGGAAGAAGTTGACGCCCAAGTCGGCTTCGCTGACGATGGCTGAATCTTGGATGGTGAAGTGGCCAACACCAGGTAGGACGAGGTTCTTGAGCGTCTCTACTCCAACCACGCCGGGCCCAGAGTTGAGCAAGAGGATGTGCGAGTTCTCAAGCGCGGTCTGGCCCGTTGCGCCCCAGAGGCGGAGTTGTCGGTCGTACCTGCGTTTCTTAGTGGGCGAACGAGAGAGCTCTGTGGATTGGAGACGGCCTACTTCTTCTCCTTGGCGGTGGGCCCCTGCACAGGAGGAGGGAGATCCGCCATGGTATCGAAGATTGGAAAGAAGGCAAGGTGGCAGACAAATAGAAGGCCAAAACCAAGTTTGGTTGCAAGACTGCGGCAATCGATAGAAATGAAGGGTACCGGGGTAGGGTCTGGATTCTGCCACCGCCTACCGCCTTGGGAAGCTCAGTTCAAGATCCAGTTCAGGCACGAAGACGTTCGCGCTGTTCCAATAAGCCAATAGGAGTACAATGGCTCCCCTCTGTTGGTTGCCATGGCCACCTGCCAAGCGCGCACCGCACCGCGGGGTAACCTTGGAAGGAAGAAGTCATGGCGGGGCAAAGGAGCAGCGTCATACCAGTGAGTGTGTGCCCAAATGGTAGAGTAGGGATCCCTAACCCATACCGGTACTAGATAGCAACGATAGATGGCCAGCACGACTCTACCACACTCTTACCACACTCTAGCTCTGCTCTGTGCGCACATGTGATTGAACTCTCGTCGCCAACGCGTCACCTTTTTTCCTTCGTCTCCAGTCTCGACACTCGTCCAAGGCAAGGCGCCTTGCACAGGAAACACTAACACTCCTCGGAAGAAAGGTAGATGCCACTAACAACCAAACTTGTCCGATCAAGCAGCCACAATAGAATCAACCGCCTGCAGCTTCGCAGCACCAGCAATCGCAAACATCCAGAGCTGCCCCTCTTACACTCACGTGCTGCTGCTCCTCGACCTTGTATCCAAACTCTACTACACAATTCTTCCGCCAATTACGCACTTTCACCACCAAGCCTCCATTCACCCTCAACCACACTCTTCTCGCGTTCAACTCTCCTCCACCACCAAACTCGACCCTCGTCTACCTCAGCACCCACCATGACAGACACTCGCGTCGAAGCCGCCAAACGCGCCGCAGCCCAACAAGCGGTAAAAGACCACTTCGACCCCTCTGCCACCCACGTAGGCATCGGCTCCGGCACCACAATCGTCTACGTTGTCGAAGCCATCAAAGCCCTCTCCACCAACCCAAACATCCTCTTCGTCCCCACAGGCTACCAATCCCGCCAACTCGTCATCGCCGCAGGCCTAACCCCAATCGCCTTCGACAGCCTCCCGCCGAACCAAATGCTCGATGTGGCCTTTGATGGCGCAGACGAAGTCGATGCAGAGCTCAACTGTATAAAAGGCGGAGGCGCCTGCTTATTCCAGGAGAAATTGGTGGCCGAGCGCGCCAAGAAGTTTGTCTGTGTGGCGGATTACAGGAAGAGGCAGGACAGGCTGTTGACGAAGTGGCCGACGATTCCCATCGAGGTAGCGCCCCTGGCACAGGTCAAGGTGACGGCCGCGTTGCGGGAGCTGGGCAGCACGGATCCCAAGTTGAGGACTACGCTGTTGGAGAAGTCGGGGCCCCTGAAGACGGATCAGGACTTCTTCATCATCGACGCCCCGTTTCCGACCCTGTTGACGGCGGCAGATGTCCAGGCGGGCAAGGGTAAGGGCGACGGAAGTGATGGCAGCTGGGAGGTCAACCACATCTGCAAGGCCATCAAGGGGCTGACTGGTGTGTTGGAGGTGGGCATCTTCGCTGGCTTGAACGGGATCGAGGCACAAGAGCTGAGGGCGAGAGAAGGCGGGAGAGGGGCAGTGGCCGGAGGCCAAAAGCCAATCGCTGTCTACTTCGGCATGGCCGACGGCAGCATCAAGGTACGGACAGTCCAAGGAGAGCAATAGCCTCAGCCATTTAGCCATCCCTTTGATCCCCGTCCCCATCCCAACACCACACCATACAACACATCAGTCTCGTGTAAAAGTCGAATAAGCCGCAGTATCACCAAATGTAAAAGTTTCATATCATAATCCAAGCATAACATCATCCTTTCCATTCCTCAACGCTTTTCCCCACCATCATCATCATAGTAGCTATCCCCCCCCCAAAAAAAAGAAGAAGAAGAAGAAGCGAAGAGAAAGTAAAGAAGAAAAAAAAACAGAGCCCTCGGACTCGCAACAACACAAAAAGTTGCAGAATATAAGTGTGTCATACCCCACCATTCCTCTCTCTCCATCTCCATCCTAACCCTCCCTTTGACCCCCTTCTCTCACTCCACACACACCCCTAAACACGATGACCCCGACGCCTCCTCTGCATGAAATCCCTCTTGGCATTACCACTGCCACTGCCACTCCCATAGCCCTCGGCAGACGCAGTCACGTACACAGTCTTGGTCACAACGTCGACATGGGTCACGGTGACGCACTGGACGCCCTCGGGACACTCGGGGCCCGGTGTAGGCGCAGGCGCATTGTCTGCAGAGGGCGTGGAAGTGACGGTGGGGGCTGGTGCGTTTGTGGGTGAGGATTTGGCGGGGGCGGGGGCGGGAGCGGGGGCTGGTTTGTTGTCTGAGGAGTCGGAGGAGTCGGAGTCGGAGTCGTTTTCTGGCTCGGGCTTGTTCTCGTATGAGTCGTTGCTGTTGTTGTTGGGCGTGAATTTGGGTGCCGCAGAGGAAGTCTTCGCGGGTGTGGCGGGCTCATTGTCTTTCTTGTTCGCAGCAGGTGGTGCCGTTTCCTTCTTGTCCTCATCCGCAGCACCGCCGCCTACCACGGCCATGACCTTGCCGACATCGATGACTGCCTTCTTGGGTGTGAGAACCTTGTCCTTGTTTGGCGGCCCGTTGAAGTTACCCGCAGTACACTCGGTCTGAATACCCTTGCACTTGGTCTGCCAGAGCTCGCATCCTGCGCTGCCAGTGGGCGGGCTAGTGCTGTAGCATTTCTTGCTCTGGGTCCAGCATTCCTCGGCAGAAGCCCAGCAGCCCTTCTCATCGCTGTACGAGGATACTTCGACACCGCACCAGTTTGCGTTTTCGACCAGGCAACCGGAAGGCTTGAGACCCTCAGTCTGAGCCATCTGAGCTTCATTGCCCATCTGCGTACCACCGGGGACGAGCTTAGCGATGGGAGGGCCGGGCAGCGTGTACTTGGCATTGTCGGTGTTGTAAATGTCAAAATCCGTAGCTGGCTGGCCATACTTGACATAGCCTGGAATGGACACTGTAGACTCAGGAACCAGGTTTCCGCTGCTCTGCAAGAAGATCTGCGCGCAGCCCGTGTAGAACTGCGGGTCTCCGGCGTTGGCAGCATGAAGGGCCAGGATCTCGGGGCGAACGAGGTAGGATCCTCCTTCCAGGCCCTTGGGAAGGTTAATGGAGAGGAGACCGTTGTTGTCAATGATCTCGTCGCTGCACCAGCGATCGGTATCCTTGTTGTAACCATGATCGAAGAGCTTGAACCAGCCGTCACCGGTGCCTTTGTCCTCGATGGCCGAATTCACCTTCTTCAGATAGACGGCGCAGGGACCCTTGTGGCCACGGTCCAAACGCTCCTTGGTAGGGTCGTCAGGCCAGGAGCGGATCTCAAAGGTGAGGAGAGAGCCATCCTTGACTGACTGAACACGAGATACTCCCTTGGTTCCACCCACATCTACGAGCACATGTCAGTGAGGGTCTGACAAGTCAGGCGGGACAACCTACTGCAAGCCATGTCATCGCTATCGAGGCTGGCGATGGGGCTGCTGGCGGTGGAGGGGTTGGGGCTCATACGCATAGCCACACCGTCACCCTAGACATTGTCAGTATGAAGAAGGATATACGTCGTCTTTGATGACAAACCTGAGCTTCCCCGTTGACATAGAAATCACTGAAGACAGTGTGTGCCAGAGCAACAGGCACAGAGGCCATGGCGGCGACAAGGATAGACTGGGCCCTCATTGTAGCTGATTTGTTTGATGGAACGTTGGTTGTCGAAGAGAGTCGCTGTAGGTAGATGAGGTCTTTGGTTTTGTAATATGGCACACGAACAGAGCAGTCACTTGGACCTTCAAGGGCGGAATGTGAATCTGCGCAAACGAAAGAAAGAAGAGAAGGACAAACGGAGCCGACTAGCGACGTAAAGAATGGCAATGGTAGCAGAGCACCAGGAAGGAGAGACAGAAGTTGGGTTATATCACGAAAGTTCCAAGCAAGGTAAGGAAGTTGGAAGACGGATCATGTCCAGAGATGAAGGGCGGTTTTGATGTGCGGCGGATCCTGCCCCCTCCTGTGCAAGTGCAAACACGACTTCTTGGAGACATCCCTGCGCAAAGTAACCGCTCTCCCGTCCCCGCTAAGAAGAACTGCTTCTCTATGCCAGATGCAGATTCCAGATTGTCGCAAAAGGGCCCAAGGCGCTGCTCGAGAAATGTTGGCCGGGGGTTGCCCAAGAAGGCAGACTGTGGGTTGAGGAAGCGGGTGGCCCAATCAGCCATGCCCGCGAGCTTCCCTGTGTGAAACATGAAACAAAGCACAGGCGGCTTTAGCGAGCCACTAGTCCCGTAATCGCTAAGCTCAGCCGCTTTGGCGCTTCCCCCCCTCTCCCACAGCCGATTGAAGCTCCCGTTCCTTAATCAAACGATTCAGACCTTTGCGCTCGAAGATTTTTGTTGGCTTCGTTGGCTCAACTCTGCCGACTTCATGTTGTAGAACGTTGCGAGTGGAGTCATCCAAGGCGGGCCCCCCCGTCAATCCTGCGGCCAGTCGACTACTCGTAAGCATGACCACTCCTTTCACGGGCGCTAGATGTTTCCAGCGCTTGGCCTTCAACAAAGCGCTTGCTATTTTGGTCCGTTCCCGTAATCTCGACGACGACCGTCATGTATCACGGCTCGAGCTGCGTCAACTCATCTCATCGGAAGTAAGTACTGTGGTGTAGTCCTAGAGTACACTGAGGCCAAGACAGACAATGTGACCAACCTTCATGGCTGCTCCTCAGGCCCCCGTTCTTCGTCCCCGCCGTCGCGTCCCAAGACTCATTTCTCACCCCCTTGGAGTCAAATGGCAAACATAGCGTGAATTGGCCATTCCGACAGGTGACAAAAGGCTGTTGGACAGGAGGTTTCGAAAGGTTGCGCAGCATCCAAACCGCATGTGCGGCTTTCCTGTGCACTAGCCAACAGGCAAGGACTCAAGGGCCGCTTCAGCCATGCTCCCCTCGCTTCCATCCTTCCCACCATGTACGCAGTATGCAGCCATCCGACGATGCTGTGGAAAGGAGTCCTGATTACTATACAATCTCAGAGAGATTACCACGGTAAGTAGAAACGCGGGGCTTCGAGGCCGCCTTATAGTGCTTCCGTCATCGCGCATCACTAGCTCAACACTCAATCAATTACAACGACACGAGCTGGTTATGGATTGTCGAATCCAATGCAACGGTCCTGACAGGTCGTTCGTTCTACCATCTAGATTGCCAATCACAAAACTTGGTACGGCCACGGGGATCTGAGCCAACATCAGTCGCGGTGGCACAGCAGGCGTACATCCGTATGTCCATCTGGAACCTGAAACTCTTATGACTGCAAGGCATGCTGCCTCATCATCGATGAAACATGCACGCACGCTGGCTTGGATAATGACCACCTTCCTTCAGCCATACATAGCTCTCTTCTTGATAGGTGGCGTCTGCGGTAAAGATGGACTTGTGCCCATGCCACTCTCCTCAATCTCAGCTGCTTCCAGTATGCTCTTGATAAGATCTCTGAACTCGGTAGTACCGGGCGGAGCAACTCCACGGCGAATTGGACCAATGTTCCTGGTGGCCCATTTCATGTCCGATATCATGATCCCATGGACATTGCGGAACTGAAGTTTTCTGAAGCTAATCTCAAACCCTTCCGAAAAAGCGAAGCCATCCTGGTAGCGGTTGAGGCAGCAAACGATAGAAGCCTCGTACGCATGCTCGGTATGTTCGATGCCCATTACCCGAAGTCCTGTCTTGACAGCGCCTATCAGCCATGCGCTGCTTCGCTTGGTAACGTAATGAAGTGCTCTCGAGTTGCCTAGGCTGTTGGTGGGTAATGGCCGCTCCGCCAACGGCGTCACATCCTTCACTATCTGGATGGTATTCATGAACCTGCCTAGCTGTACGGCTGCTTGCGGCGAAAAGGTCGGATCCCAGGGCAGAGGCCAAGTACTGAGGGAAATCAATGGCGCTAACAAGAAACCCTCTGATATCATCGTTTCAATCTGTGGGCGCGGTCCAACAGTCCATGTTGGTCGCTTGTATTGCGTGATTGGAGGGCCTGGGTAGTTGCCGCCGAGCTCTCCTATCTCATATAGACGTGTTTCGACAGCGTGTATAAGATCACTTTTCTCCGCAGCATGCGTAGAGGCAAAGATATCCGTTGGATCGAGATTTTGACGGAAAGAGCCCTCTATACGCCCGAACACGAACAGCCAGTGGTCCAGTAACCTTACTTCGATGCCCGCCCTTCTAGTACGCTCTTGGGAGATTCCGAAACGTCCAATCGAGCCCTCACAGGCGACACTATACGCAAGTAAGGCATTGTGATGCTCCCCAAGATGTAGACAAGCATCACCAAGCCATCGAGCTGCAGCGATATCACCATCGTCGAGGCTTCCGCGATTGAGATAGATGCCATTGAATGAGCTTTCGAACATGTGTTTGGCTTTTGTGAAGTTGCCAGTAAAAGAAGCACATACTCCGATAAGATGTCTCAGGATACGCCGATCAGGCTGTATGCCAGAGGATACCGTCTGGCCAAGTTCGACCGCTGCAAGATGTTCTTCAAGAAGTTTCTCCGACGACAAAAAGTCGTGGCGACTCCAGGCAGCCACTATCTGTTGCGCCGTCCACTCAAAGTTCACTGTTAATGTCTCTATCTTATTGTAATAGCTTGGAGGAGGTTCCTGCGGAGATGTAACGGAAGCAGGAAGAGTCTGAGTTGGCACGGATGTAGTGGTTGGATTTTGAGCTGTAGTGTCTGGTGGAAGATACTGCCCAGCCTGGATAGGGATCGTCGTAGACGCTGCTACTGAGACCTGTCCAACTCGAAGCTCGTTATGTACTGACTGTGCTGATGATATCCTTGGTGAATCGTATAGTGACGCGGCATCAGTATCAGATATCTGCGATGCATTGCTCGGTGACATGCTTCGTGGTGCAGAGTGTGGAAGGGGTATCATCAAAGGACGGAGAAGGTTCGTTTGGCCAGGAAGTGGCGCATTCAACAACGATTCCTGCCCTACTACATGAGGTTCATGGTCCCCTTGAGAAAGTGGAATCGTTGCAGGCACGTCGAGAAGAGGTGATACCGGCTTGGCCCATGCTTGTGGGTGCGATAAAGCTGTTGTCAATGTCTGCGGCATGGTGGAGAACATATTCTGTTCTGGCTCTTGCTCGTGTAGCCTGCCCTCGTTGACTGCAGTTATGAGCCAGTCTACTATCATATCACGATAGCCAAGTGCTTCGTGCTGGGAGATCCCGACATCTTCGAGGTCGCGAAGTATTTGACTCCAGGCTTCATCATCATTCTCGCTCTCGGCAGAGGCGATCCTTTCGATGGATGCCACGCTTTCCTCTCGATGCCCCCCTCTGTAGTCCCTTTCCAGTCGTCCCAACGCTTCAAGGATCAAGACCTGGCCGTCGTGTATCAAGGAAGTGTAAAATGTGTTCAGCATCGCCACGCTTGCGACAAGCTTCTCTCTGAGTGTCTTGGATCTTTCAGGATCAAACTTCAGTCGGTTCCATGTACGTGCAGCCTTGGTATCGAGGCTATTGTAATGTAGAAGCAATTTGTCGAGCTCCTGGAGAACATCGACACATGGCTCGTAGGCATCTACAAGCTGCTGCCGCTTGCTCTCCGGGATCTTATCTGGAATATCGCCGTTAGCGATCTCCTTGGACGTAGCAAATAGAACAGTTTCAGGTAAGATGCGATCACGAGCAGAGATGTCTTCAGATGACGTACCATACTTGTCTTGGATATCCTCAAGGAGATTTGCAAGACTTCGTGCTTCACCTGTGAACGACTTGTACTCGCCCGTACAGTCGCGGCCTGGTTCGGGTCAGTGGATACTGGTATATGCTGGGCTGGAAACGGGTCAAGTGCGCACAATTCTTATACACACGGCCGGCCATCTCGCAGAGCTTCAGAATATCGCCTACGCTGATCCCAAAGCTCATGATGCTTTATTTCATTATTTTCACGACCTCTTTGAAATGTTCTTTACCACGCTTGCTGCGCATCGTCAAAGAATAAAAAGACGGGTGCCGGTCAAGTTGTACGGGTATCGGTAGGTCGCTCTAAGCCTCCTTGATTTGGGGGCGGGAACGTGAGACGACTGCTCATACCGGTATTGCCACGTGTAATCACCTCGCTATCGGGGATGTTCATGTAGAACAAATTGATATCAAATTCTCGTGCAAAGTGCTTTCGGAAAGCAATAAGTCTACAGGTTCAAGGCGATTGGGATGATGTATTGCGGACGTGAGGAGTTTGGGGTGACGGGTTTCGCCAGAAGTCGGGGAAGTTGCAGCCGAGCCAACCCCACGCCTCCATCTGCACGATGCCACTGCCACGACCATGCGTAGACACGCAGAGCGGCCACAGTCATTAAATAGTATACTTTGGAGAAGAGGGTTCTCTTTGTTATGCAGTCAATCACTGCTCATAAAAATACTCACATGGGCTCGGAATTTCGTCACGATTCTTTCCAGGATGTATTCGACTTCATCGCCCATCCCAACTCAGAATGCAACACATGTCCCCAAAGCACACGACGAAGAATATTGGAAGAGGTGACACTTTTTATCGAATCTGACCTTCCATTCCCAATGATTCGCTCGTCGCAGTCATCTAATTTACATTGTGATGTTGCCTTGACCCCCAGGAATGCATACTGTCTACTGTCAACAACATCACCCTTTAGCCATACCCCAACAAACCCCGAATCTCAGTGAGTCCTCAAACAATGTCTTTCCAAATGCCGCACACACAGTCGCTCTCCCCACATAATCGAGAATGGCGCGCTTCGACGGCTCGACGCAACATCTCAAACCCATACAGCCTCGCCATACCCCCAAATAGCAAGCGAACATCCAGGGATGTCCGAATACCCAGCATACCGCCGAGCGAATACGAGATATCCATACGACCTTCATTCAAGAGTTCCACAAGTTCCGATACATTGGAAGTACCCAAAAAAGCAGTCATTGCACCCTCGAAGCTTCGGTCGGATGGATACGCTGAAAAGGATTATATGGAAGTGTTTGCTGGCTGCGAAGAATACCAACCTGAATATGAGCCGCTTCCGAAACAATCGAGGATATATGGCATGCTCAAAGACCGGTTCATTGCGCTGTCCGTGACGTTTGGGATTGCGGTCATTTTGGCGATTGCGATACCATTAGGTATCATACTGCCTCAGAGATTGATCAAGCCGTTGCCGATCAACGTGTTGATACCGTTCTATATGTATCCAGCGCCTGGAGCGTGGGAGCCATTGTTCGAAGCGTATGCGACCTTCACTTCCGTTGTCAAGGAACTTATACTGATGATATTCATGATGCAGAATTGGCAAACATGTCGATGCGAATTTCACGGTAGTTATAAATCCCGCCGACGGCCCTGGTCCTGCGGTGTGGCCGACTGGGGAGTATCTTAGCGTCGTCAAGGCTTTGAACAAATATTCCAATGTGCAAACGCTAGGTTACATTGACACCGCAAGAGGGGCCGTCGACAATGCAACGGTGCGCAAGGAGATCGAGACATATGCGGGCTGGTCCAATGTCAGTTCAGACCTGACGCTGGCTGGGATTTTCTTTGATCAAACGCCGTACAAAATGGACAACGAGTCAGTTGCATACCGGTATTTGACGAATATCAGCGCGATCGTGCGACACTCTGATGGCTTCGGTGGCAATTCGCTCGTCGTGCATAACCCCGGGCGGGTACCTGACGCAAGTCTAATGGGGTCAATGCCAAATTTGACCGTCATCTTCGAAGGTGAATATGTTAATATGCCACGAAAGGAAAACCTGAACAGCAAGTTGGACGGGTTGAGACAAAACAGGAAGGATCTCGCGATGCTGGTGCATTCTGTTCCACGAGGTCTCGGAAATACAGGCTTGAGAAGGATAATTGATGATGTGAGGAGAGATGTTGAGTGGCTATGTCTCACGGATCTGACGGAGAAGGTGTATGAAGGTTATGGAACGTTGCTAAAGCAGTGGTTAGAGGTAATCTGGTGAGAGCGATCAGCCAAGAAATGGAAGCTAATATTGGAACCGAAATCCTCCTCTTTCCTTACAATGGACTTGGTGTGATTTGAGTTTGAGCTTACGCTACTAAACCAGATTAGTCAGCATGTTTATGACTTTTCACAAAGGCCACATTCCTTTCTTCAATCCCTTCCTTCAAATCCAGTCTCATCGTGTCATGGCATCTCTCTCGAACACCAAGATCCTACTCCCCCTATATATCTACCCACTTCCGGGCGCTTGGGATCCCCTCTATGAAGCGTAAGTGGCATGGATGATCCTTGGACGGCCTAACAACTCTCAGTCTCTCAAAATATCCAAATCTCCATTTTGTGGTCATAGTCAATCCCAACAGTGGACCTGGTTGCGAGCCGTGGTGGCCCAACGAAGACTACGTCCGGGAGATTTCCCGACTAAATGCGCATGCCAACGTCACGCTCGTGGGATATGTAAACGCGACATATTGCAACAGACATCTAGAAACTATCATCCAAGACATTGAGACGTACGCATCCAGAACTAGCGAAGAGAATGGCCCAAAGCTGGGAATGCAGGGCATCTTTGTGGACGAGACGGTGAATCTGTATACGAGAGAGGCGAAACATTATCTCGACGAAATCGATCGCAAAGTCCATTCCGCGCAAGGCATAGGTGGTAATCGAATAGTATGTCCCCTTTTAAAAGGAGTCGTTTGTGAGCTGTTTGGCTGATGAAACGTAGGTGATACATAACCCAGGTACAGCAGTCAACGCTGAACTGGCAGTTCCCGGCCCAGACATCACAGTCGTGGTCGAGACTTCATATGCAGAATTCGTGACCGCAAGCTACCAAGAATGGCTAAAAACATCACCATATGACCGGTCAAGAACCTGCTACATGGTGCACTCCGTACCCGTGGACAAGGTGCACGGTCTCACAAAGTCATTGCAGAAACGGGCCGAGTATCTCTTTGTCACGAGTGCGGCAGAAAACTTTTATGGCGAGTGGGCTAAAAGCTGGGGTGTTTTCGTCGCTGCAGTAGGGAACTCGCTGAACTCGACGAGGTCTCATGGAGACCTGAAAAGTGTGTTTCGACGCGGAATCCCGTTGCTTTCTTCCAAGAAGAAGGTCAAACCATAAAACTGCGACTTGCGGGGTATCTCTGCTCGGAACTTGAGCGACTCTTCAATCAAAGGCCAGATCTTGCATCGATTCCAGAAGTTTATTCGGCGCGTTCGTTATTCTCGAGTCGGGGCGACTACCGTAATGGGGGATTTCTCAGATGCCACAGTCTGAGTCAATCCTGGCAGGCCAAAAGCAAATGCAGGATCGGAAGATGGAGAATGCGATTCCTACCTATAGACGGCGCCCAATTCACTTGGTGTCAACTTCCCAACTCCATCGATAGCATTAAACAGCATAATGAACCCAGAGATCGCCAAGGTCACTTTTTCTAGGGATTTAGAATATCTCGGATCCTTACATCCTGAGCAAGGCTGTATCAGACAATAATGTATTACGGACAACGAAATGGTCATTTGTTTCGCCAAGTTTTGTTAATGTATGATACAGGAACGTAAGATTTACAGTTCATGTAGCATCCTTGGTAGTCACTTTGTGGAATTGTGTAATTTCATGCAGTCTAGCAGGAGCTGTACGATGTCCTCTTACAGTACCGTACCCACAGATAAACATCACAAGGGCGGGTCCGAGAGGAGCCATTGTGAGTTGTGGGTCAAAGTAATATCTAGGTCAGGTACGTCGCCACAAACAACGAACCGAACACAAGTATAAATACACATACTCAGAGTGCTCAGTTAGCCTCATATGAACGACACACATCAGCGGGCTGCATACTTCACGCGGCAAGAATGCCGAAATTTGGAAAGATTGGGTTGATATGACACTTGTTATTTCATCCCAAGTCTCCGTAGTCCAGATTGCATTTCATTCGATAAATCATCAACGCCATCCCGCTCAAAATGCTATGGTATCACAATAAGGAAAAAGAAGAAAACAAAATGCTCCTTAAACCTCCAATTAGACTCAAAAAGTCTTACACATTCGAGACCACTTTTTTGTTTAAAAAGTCTTCTGGCTTGAAGTCCTGGAGCTGTATCTGCGACATCACACCCATGGAGCAAATTTCATCTTTTTCCTTCACTGCCCTGACCTTGTCCAGCGCCAAGCGAGTATAACTCCTTGGGAGATAGCGTCCGGGATGCCATAGGGCGAAAACGATGAGCACGGCTATGATGGGAACAGCATCAAAGGCCCAGAAACACCACTCATGGCTCTGCAGATACTTTAGGCCATAGTCCTGGTCGTGTGGTATCTCCATGGTGCGGTAGATGGCCCGGAGCGCGATGATGACGGAAGAGAGGTTGATGGTGTAGTTCAACTTGCGCCAGAGCTTCATGTCACCGAGGTCGACGGCACGCCAGTTGCGTGAGATGTAGAAGTAGCGCATGCTAATGATGGAGAAGGAAAGGAAGCACATCATTTGCGAAGCGAGACCAAAGATGAGAATAATTCGTCCACAGAGGGCTTTACGCTCCGAAAGTTCAATGGAGCGTGAAGGATCTTTATCCTTGTCGTATTGCCGACTAATCTGAGATGCGCCAATGAGTTGGATGAGGAAACTGAAAAGGTCGAAGACGACGAAAGTGGGTGTTATCCATCGCGGAAAACACCATAGGTGCTGGAAGTTGAGTGCGTAGGTTGGACATGAGAACCAGACTACACGGCTGAAGGCAGTATAGCATGCAGCGGCCAGGAAGGATGGTGCGAGGAGGATCATGAGCCAGGCCACCAAAAACGGAACGTCTTGCCTCTCATCAAGAGAGGAGACGAGACGGCAGATAAACCCCAGGGATAGCATGACAACACCAATGACGGCGGTCCAGAAAAACCATGATCGATGCCGTATGAATTGGTAGCATGACAATGCTGAGATCAACAGGATGACCACACAGCCAACAATGGCTAGCGCTTCAGAAGGATCATAGATGTAAGGGTTGAGGATGTTCTGCACTGTTTCTCGGGTCAGCAAGCGTTAGGCAGTGAGCAAAGGTGAAGAAACGCACTATGTCTTGCAGTTGCTCTTTTAGGCAAATCAACAGACCTCGCGTCGATTAGAAAAGAGCCCACTTCGATCATTACGGTAGTTTGCAGGCCGTTCCGCGGTGTACTATTTCTGACAAGACCACAACGAAGCAGCAGCGTCACTCATGGCCAGAACCCGATGTCCACAGGAGGGCCAGTGGCGGGAGGAGGGCATGCTACAAGTACGGCGGAGAGGAAAAGAGCAGTGCCCTCCTCCCAAGGCATCGTGTTTTACTGTCTCCGCTCCAAGAACTTGGCGCTTTTGAGCTGTCCAACACTCCGCTCTAGCCGTTGTTTCCAAGGCCAAGACACCGCGCTGATGCAATCAAACCTACACGGACACCGGGTGCTCCCTGCCCGGTCCTAGTTGCGTACGAATTGTTAAGTGTGGTCAAACATCTCCTGGAGCATAGAGTACGTTCAGCCATGGTGGAATGGCAGGCCGTGACTTAAAACGACCGTCCAAAGAAAGCGTCACGTTTTGCGCGGCGTACGCTTGGCGTGCGAATTGAGTGTGACTGATTAGGAGAGGCCTTGGGTGCCAGGCCAGTAGAAGAGGGCAGGGCTACCAAATCAGCGGCTAGTTTTGGGGTCCAAACACCCCAGGTGCCAAACCGCCGTAGGTCTTGAAACGCACAGCAGACTGATCGATTGTAGTACTTGTTCATACGAGCTAAGCTAAACTCTCTCTTGTGGCTCTGATTTTTGAAACCCTCATGCAAAGTCAATGTTGTTTGCCAACATGTGGTATGGTAATCCAGGGTTTACTTTATGGCTTGCACGGGAGAGTGGCCATTAGGTAGAGTAGAAGTCTGTTCGCTTGGCCAGTAGCAGACTACTGGCCTGGCACGCATTGGCTCCCGAATGACTTTGCTGATGCCGAGGATTGGCAAACCAGACAACGCGAGTGCGCTGAGCCACGAACGGGCGCCGCTTATCCGGTCAGCCAATCTTGCGAGGAGAAAGTCGTCGGCAATGAGAGTGGATCAACGACTGTACCTAGTTGCGGGGTTCTGAGAAAGCTGTTGGGCGCGTTGCATGTTGAATGTAACGTTCTTGCGCGTTGTGGTGTTTCTCTTTGCACATTGAATAGTTGGCTCCGATGTTTGTCATTCGCGCCCCCTGCCATTTGTCCAGTTCCGCTCAAGAAGCCTCAAAGCTGACTCCTGGGAGCAGATAGCTCGGCCGAACAGTCGCACCAGGACCGAAATTCAGCCATGTGATGTGCTCTTTATGCCACCGAGGACAAAATTGTGCGTATTACCGGGACGGGGATTGTAGAGACTGCGGGTTTACTAATTATTGGCAATACCGGTTCGTGCAAGTGTAAGATCTGGGCAGGGCGGACCAGCCAAATATCTAGGCAGCACGGCGGCGCGGCAATGCACCGTTCTGTGTAAGAAAGACTGTTTGTACTTGGCGATGAGAAAGCGACTGAACTGGACTGGAGCCCAAGGGATTCGACTCACCACATTTCGTGGCAATGTGCATCGGGGCTGATCAGATGCCGTTGTGTCTCGCAATCAATCCAAGAGTTGAAGTTGGGAAAGTTGGGAAGGTTGGGAAGGTTGGCGACAGTCGCGACAGACAGCGTCACGTTACCGGCACCGGTACCAGCCGAGATCATAGGGGGAAGGCACGCACTTGCACTCTAGGACAGACGTCATTCTGGGAAAAGCACAAGCATGAGGCTTTTGGATGGTGCAACACCATCACATGGATCTCTTCGCAGTACACTTGGAGACTATCTACCGGTATCGCAAGGGCCCCTTGGCTCAGAAAGCCGCAGCCATGACGATTCCCGTAGGTACTGAAATAATAGGCCCACCCTGCTGCATGTCCCTCCCTACTCATCATCAAAGTCGTCGTCGTCTTTGCCCTTGCCCTCGCCCTCGTTGTTCTTGCCGTTGGCTTGATCCTCTTCGTCGTCTACACCCAATCCTTTGCTCAACCAACGCACTTCCTTGGGCTTCCTCTCCATCCACAATTCATTCGGGAGCCAGGTGAAGAAATTGCACATGCTCTCTTTGACGTCGTCGAGGATGGCCAGACCGTCTGTGAGAGTGAGAACACTGGCATCCAGTTTCATGCCCAAGAAACACTCTTCAAGCACACTCGCTTCAACCCAGAACTCGTACGTTTTGACATCAGACGTCCGATATGGTTTACCTTGGGGGTACTTACCCGGAGCATTCGGAAGATCCCACTCATCACAGTCATCCATGATCCAGGTCTTGCAGATGAGTTTCCCCAAAGGCTCAAGCTTACTGAGCTCTAAACCCCAGTCACCAGTCTGCTCATAGGCCAGCTTCGTGTTTTCGTCGGGAAGGCTGATGCCGATGACTTCAAGGCCGACCTGTTCCTTGCCCACAGCAATGAGAGTTCCACCCTCAAGCTTGTCCGCCTGGCCATCGGTGCCCATGATGAAGACACCAGCTTTGAACTTGATCTTTGCTTCCTCCTTTCGTATACCAATCTCAGCAATGTCGACGCCTTCCGCCTGCAATTTCAGGGCCCATGGCTGATCACCAGTGTATTGTCCTGCGTGGGCGCCACCAAAAATGACGCTTGCGGACTTGTTAAAGTCCCCAGGTAGCGCAAGACCAGCAGCAACGACCTTGGGCAATTCCTGCTCAGCCTGATCACAGAGATCACGGGCACGAATGAGATCTTCTTTGTATTCAGGACAAACGTCGTGATATAGGAGATATTTATAGAAGGAGCGGAGAACTTGGCAAGCATTTTTGATACCTTGAGGCGTCATACCGTAGTGAGCAGGGTACCACGAGGAGCTATCTGTGTTAGTATCATTGTGAGCACTAGAGGAAGTAATGCTGACTCACAGAAAGGCCTTAGCAACGCCATAAAAGTCGACGACCCATTGCTTTGTGTCCGCGCGACTCCAGGGTACATTATGGATGGCGAGTGCCTTGGCGACCTCCTCTGCATCCATACTGGCCATCTCTTGCCTTGAAAGACCTTGGTTCATGCGTGGGCCAGACTCTACTCCACTAAAGCGCATGAGTTTGTTGAAGACGTGTGCATACATCTCATGCATACGCCGTTTCTGCTTGAAACGCTGGATTGCTATCTCGATGCGCTCAATGAAGGACTTCTCTGGGTCATACATGGCTTCTTCTTCTGCTGCTTCTTGAGGTGTGGGCATCGGTTCAATGTAGGTCTTTTCGAACCCAGTTGGCTTCAGCATGTTCTTGCTAATACCCTTGGGATACTCCACCTTGTTCTGGGGAAGGAGTGGAACAGGATATACAGCTGGCTGGCGGCAAACTCGCGGATCATGTGCAATACCATCATCTGCGTCGAAGAAATCTGGATCCAAAATGCACGTTCCTTGCATAGGTCGTCTGCGTTTGATCTTCTTTCCATTCTCAACCACCTCGAGGACCAGGCTCTTTCGCAGAGCAGCAACGACGAGCTTCTTGGGTTTGTAACCCCTCATCTTTTTGAAGCCACATATGAGACTGATTGAGACAGGGAGATTCTCGCGGCCGCCACAGCATTTCAAGAGGTGAAGGTCTGTTGGCAGGTTCTCATCAGAAAAGTAGAACTCCACCTGGCCAGGGTCAGTGTGGGACAAAGCGAGGAAGAAGAAAACAAAAGTCTGGGCTCTTACCTGACGACGAATAGCATCGCCATCGGGATGATCCTCATCGATCGCGGTGGGTGGTGCAGCATCTGCGGTAATGCTGCTGTTGTCGTTGGGTTGTGTCATTTCGTTCGCCATGCCCCGATTTATCGGTGCTTTGTCTTTGCCGAGAAGAGAGGTAGCAGGTAGGCAAAGAGATAGAGATGGGTGAGATCGTACCCAGGTCCGTTTGTAGAGAGGGCACAAACTGCTGCGTTTGCACACCTCATGGTAGGGGTACAGTCTCAAATTGCGGTCGAGCAGCGGAAGGCGCGGCCAACCTCACTTGGGTAAATCTCTGAAAAGCGCCTACACATGGTGAAGAAGCGTCATGGAGATTTCACTCTAGATTTGCAAGCCTTGTAAATGATGACTATATTCACATTGGGCTCTCCCTGGTTGGAGAGGTCGGCCACAATTGTGTGACTTGGTTCAGTTGGGGATTTACCATAAGTACCGGTACCGGTACCTAACTCATTGAGGTGACTGCAGGATGATAAATCGCCGAAAAGCAAGGAGGATTGACCCCAAACCCCTTTGCTGTGAAGATGGATGACAGCGACGTGTAACAATTGAGGGAAGTGAAGTCATAAACAGATCCACGAACTGCTTGACTCATTGTGTCACCCTCGTGGTAGAAGTCTTGACTCGCATCTACTTCGGTACCTGGACCCTGAGACGCTGCGAACATTAACGTGGGTTCCACGGTCTAGTCTCGCCATGAGCTCCCCTGGTCTAAACTCCCCACAGGCTCGCACCCAAACCTTTCCCAGGTTTCTCCAGCTTCCCAAGCTCTATCCTGCCACTAGTCACCCTCAGGCTCGCTGGGAGAAGGCCAGCAAACGGCGCGAATACTCGTTGCCAATACATAATCCAGGTAGCACTCATCAAAGTCACAATGTCAGCTAAGAAATACGATACTTCCAAGCTTCAGGCCTTTGGAAATGTTGCTGCTGGACAGTAAGCACCTCTCAGAAAGCAGGGAAAACGGTCTTACATACCAGTTTGGCTGACTTGCAGCATAGCGATGGCGTCCTCAGTGACGAAACTGGCGCGGTCGTTGTGAAGCCATGTACACCCGCCGAAATCACCTTCTATGAATCCGTTACTGCATCGCATCCCGACCTCGCTCCATATCTGCCTACCTTCATGGGCCAGCTGTCTCTGTCAGCTGACCAATCTGCCGTAGAAGCAGTCGAAAGTGGGACCATAGTAACTGCGGAAGGCGTTGAGCGGCTACATGGCAAGAAGCTCTCGACCGACATGCACATTGTGCTCGAGAACATCACAAATGGGTTCAAGAAGCCCAATGTACTGGATCTAAAGCTCGGTGCACAACTTTGGGATGAAGCGGCGAAGCCGGAGAAGCGAGCCAGACTCGATGAGATAAGCAACAAGACCACGAGCGGAAGCCTCGGGTTCAGGATAGCAGGCATGAGGACGTACAAGGGTGCAGAGGTACCGGAGGTGCCCGAAGATTTGAAGGAATACGTCGAGGCAGATAAAGAGAGTGGATACTGGGTATACAACAAGATGTACGGGCGCAAGTTCAGCGCAGAAGACGTTAGCGACGGCTTCGTGGCCTTTGTGTTCCCAGGCGCAAAGACCGAGGCCGAGCAAGATCGAGCACGGGAGATACTCGCTTACTTTTTGGGCGAAGTCAAGGACATTTTAGAAGTATTCGAGAAGAAGGAGAGCAGGATGTACGGTGCCAGTATACTGCTCGTGTACGAGGGTAACATTGAAGAGTACGCAAATACCAAGCAAAAGCTGCGGTCGGCTCATCCTGAGGATGATGAAGAAGAGGACGAGGATAATCTGCCCAAGTTAGCAGCGGTCAAGATGATCGACTTTGCACACGCGACCTGGGTGCCCGGCCAAGGACCGGACGAGAACGCCCTACGAGGCATGAGGAGTGCAATCAAGATTCTAAAAGAGCTTTTGGACAAGACGCAAGATTGATAGATGTCTGATATGATTGACGCCAGCCATAGCACAATAGATCATAGAGCCTAATACACCAAACCACACCACACCGCATACACGTCTCTAGCCACCATCAAGGCATCTGAACAGCATGCAGTATACGCCACTCCTGGCATCCACCCATCCCCTCTCTCTCGTCTTCTCCCACATCCATTCTCGCCCCCTAATTCACCAACCCAGGAACATCCTCCGGCCAGCGCCCAAGCACCAGCGCATTCCCCGCGACCGACCCCGGCATCGGACTCAACAGCTTAACCTTCCTCTTCGCCTCATCCACATCCGCAACATATACAAACCCCCTCACACACGCATCACGAATCGCCCCATGCTTATCCCCCGCGCCCGCCATCGTAACCGCCAGCAACGAATCCTGCAGCTCCGCCGCCGTAACCCCAACCTTTTCATATATCTCTTCTACCTCACCACCACTCCCATTTCCATACCCATACCCGTAATCCGCGGCATCCCCGGCGCTGGACACGAAGCCCGAATCCGCCTCCTTGACACGGTAGATGTTTAGGTCTGCAAAGTCGGCCATTTGCGACGAGGGGGCTAGCGGCAGCGCTTCGCCTGATCCGAAGAAGTAGGACCGGATTTGCGAGTGGCGGAGTGCGCGCATGTAGGGTTCTGAACGGTCGATGCAGCCGCCTGATTTGTCGAGGCGGATCACGGAGATGGCGTCGGCGGGGTCGGGCGAGCGCGTGGAGAATTTGCGGGAGAGGTCTGAGTAGAGACGTTCGGAGCCGAGGGTGATGACGATGTTTACTGGAGGGAGAGTTTGGACAGTTAGTGGGGGGTTCGAGGAGGGCTGTTACGTACTTTGTGGTTGTGGAGAATGTAGGAGCGCTTGAGCTGGGTTCGGAGACGAGGAGCTTCGTATTTGGGTGTATTTTAGACATGGGGCAATGTGTGTTGGAGGGGTGTGAACAGGGTAGAGTGTATGTGAGACGAGGTAAGGTCAAGACACATCACACGCACCAGAAAACTCAGAAACAATGTGTTCTATGTTGTCGTAGACGCCATTCTTGCCTTGGCTGATGGAGCCCGAGCTATCAATGATGAAGCCTGCTTGCTTGCTTGCTGTGTCTTCCTCCAGTCTACTTGTGACGGCTAGTGCCATGCGTGTTACCAGTGGCTTGAACACCTTGCCTTCCTCTGCATCTTTGAGACCGTACTGGTATACCAGGGGCTGCTTCACGGGTATCGGGCTGGGTCCGGAGATGGGACTGCTTCCCCAGCCCTGCTCGATGTCAATTATCGAAGAGTAAGCAGCGGCGGAGAAGGAGCCTGGTATACTGAGCATGCCTTCTCGGGAATCTAGATTGATGACCATGGGCTGCCGTCCGGTCTTTACCGCATAAGAAGTCAGAATTTTGACCAGCGATGTCTTGCCAGAGTTATCTGGACCCACGACGAGTACTCTTGGACCCAGGTCTGCGTTGCCACTGGCTATACTTTTGTCTCTGAGATCTTCGAGGGCAAAGTGCAGATTGGCCACGCTCATCATGGGAGTTTCCTCTGCAACGTAGTCTGATTCGACTTCACCACCAATCTCTAGTCTGCAGCCATGCCACGTGAAGATGGCGCCCTTGGTGCCTTCGAATGTATAGGTGGTTGCGGGCCCGAGCTCAGTGCCAAAGAACTCGGCGGTTCCTGATTGTAGCTTAATGGTGAGATTCTTGCCAAACGCGACTTCAAAGCGGTATTCGGTGTTGGCTGCGAGATCTTGGGTTCGTATCGTGGTCGAAGCGGGCGCATTTGTAGGCTCAATGGGCTGTGACGCCAGGTTGAGACCTGGGAGGGAAATCATGGCGTATAAATCAATTCGTTGGTTTTCGAGTCTTAAGTCTCAAGGAGCTAGCCTGAGGCCGGTTGTGTAAATACAATCTGTAAAAGATTCGTAGTTTTTGTGGTGCAAGGATTCTAGATCATGTATTCAGTCGCATGTGACTAGAGTAATGCATCTGGTTGAAAATGTCGCTGCCTAGGGAAATAAGTGATGTTGTGAAGTTTTTAGGAGTAGTGCGCGTTCTTGTATGTGAGAAAGATTTGCTAATGTGGGCGTGGCAGTGAAGGTGAAGGTGAAGGTGAAGGTGAATGCGACGGGAGGCGAAGGTGAGAAAGATGAAAAGCGAGCTTGGGAGAGCTTGTGGCTGGCCGTTGGCCTGCGGGCGCAATTTAATCTCATTGGTCAAACGCGGGGCACCTCCATTTTCCGTCTTATCAACCCACATCCGCCTCGTTAATCTGACATGGGGAAGCATGCGATCATTCAAAGCGTGCCTTGGACATCGGAACAACAGTGGCCTTTTTGTCTTGCGATCTTTCCTTCGTGTTGATGCTGAGTCATGAGTCTTATCCCTCGCTGAAGATCCGCCTGCTTGTGTCACCGTCACACCTTTGTTGAACTTGCCTTGCTGTCCAGCGTCCATCGATCTAGGCACTGCACATCGAACCTCGCGTACCAACTGGGAGGAACCATTGTTCATAATGAAATCTTCAGCGTTGCCTCTGGCAGTTGGAGTACTGCTCTCTTCAACAACATGTGTTCTTGCTGGCTGGGAGCAAGAGCCTCTGAGGCCAGCTATCAACCCGAACAAGTACCGCGCAGCATGTCCAGATTACAAACATTATGCTACATGGCGTCAGTATGTCCTGTCCTTTTTCTTTGTAAGAACCAAGTGTTCAGGACACTTACTTTACTTTGCAGTGAACCATTTAGTGATGGACCGCTTGAGCTACCCTTCCAACGACCCTCGAAATACTGCCGAACGTTCCAGTCACCCCTCGTGGAGCGGGTCATCGAAGACTTCAAAGAGAAAATTGTCGATAAAGATCTCGCTCGATTGTTCGAAAACGCCTTCCCAAACACGCTAGATACTACCGTACGATGGCACGTCGACGGCACGACCAAACAGAAAATGACCAAGAAGCATTGGGACCCAGCCGCCTGGCAAGGCCCTCAAAGCTTCATAGTGACTGGTGATATCAACGCAGAATGGCTGCGCGACTCGACAAACCAACTCGCGCAATACCAACTCCTCGCAAAGAAAGATGAAGGTATCCACCGGCTCATTCTGGGGGCCATCAACACCCAGGCAGAATATGTCATCGGCTCCCCTTACTGTAATGCGTTCCAGCCTCCTCCTCCGAGTGGCATCTCCCCGACCTTTCAAGGTGATGGCGATACGGTCCACCCCGCCTACGAAGAATCCTTTGTCTTTGAATGTAAATACGAACTCGATTCCCTCGCACACTTTCTCTCCCTATCCAACCAATTCTACAACCACACGGGTTCCACGGCCTTTGTCAACGCGCGCTGGCTCAGCGCCCTCGACACCCTCCTCTCCGTGCTCACCGACCAGTCAAAGGGCACCTTCAACGAGACCACGGGCGAATACCAAGGCAACGAATACCGCTTCCAACGGCGAACCAATTCTGGCACCGAAACACTCGGGCTCAGCGGCGTGGGTAACCCCTTAGCCAGCAACACAGGCCTCATCCGCTCAGCGTTCCGCCCTAGCGACGATGCCACCATCCTCGGCTTCTTCATCCCCGCAAACGCCATGATAGCCGTCGAACTCGCGCGCACAGCCGCCCTGCTCAAAGCCGCCGACAAGAAAACGCTCGCGACCGAAGTCAACACCTGGGCCGAAACCATCAACGCCGCCGTGTGGGAGCACGGCGTGGTGACGCACAAAACGCATGGCAAAGTCTTCGCCTTTGAAGTCGACGGCTACGGCTCCAGCATCCTCATGGACGACGCAAATCTCCCCTCGCTCCTCTCCCTGCCCCTCCTCGGCTTCACCTCGACCGACAACGAAATTTACATGAATACCCGCAAGATGATTCTCCAGAAACAATCAAACCCATACTACCTCGTCGGCAGCGACTTCAGCGGCATCGGGGGGCCCCACGTCGGCCTCGAAAGCGCCTGGCCCATGAGTGTCCTCGTGCAGGCCATGACGAGCGAGGACGACGAGGAGATTATGAAGTGTTTGTCCAGCGTGATGAATGTGAGTATTCGGGGGTTAATCCATGAGAGTGTCAATGTCGAGGAAGGGTTCCGATATTCCAGTGAGTTTTGCCCTCTTCTTTTTCTCTCTCTTTCTTTCCTTCCCCCCCACTGTTCTTTTTCCTCGTCTCCCGCACCTTTCTTCCCTCGCACGCAACACGTCTGCCCAAGTCCCCGCTCCCCTCCCCCTTCCAAGCCATGACCTATAGACAACTAACCACCCCCTCTCAAATCAACAGGGAGTTGGTTCGCCTGGGCAAACTCCGTCTTCGCACAGACAATCTTGGATCTGGCCCAGCGCAAACCGCATCTACTCTTTGGAAAGGACGCACAGCCATACGTGCTTTAATCCGCTGAAAAGCACAAGGGAACGGCAAGGTTTGCCTGTTTCTTTATTTCACAGTCGATGAAGAATAGTATGAATATGTGGGGATGCGGGAGGAGGGGGGGTTGTTTTTTTCTCGCGGTGCGAGGAGCAGGGTGGGGGAGTGTGGTATGGGGATTTGAATGGTGCGCTGCGCTGTGTGCGTGTTGCGTTTATGCATGTAGCGGGGTTGATGCGAGACTAAAGTGTAGCTGGTATTCTGGGTATTTCATTTCCCTTTCGGGTTTGTGGTTGAGAAAGTTGGAGACTGGGGGGCTGGGGGCCATGATGGGGATCAAAGTCGCGTGTATCCTATTGTTGAAATCACCGTTGGAGCATTGCAATCGCCAGCATCATCGCCATCGTCCAGGAAGAAAGATTCATGCATACAGGCAACATGTTTATATTCCCATTCCCATTCCCATCCCCTTTTCCCATTCCATCTATCTACCCATCTTCCCATGCATCCCCCGTCGCACCAAAAAGAACCCACCCAAATCATCTCCCTCCCCACCAAAAACCCCCAACCCCTCAAAATAAATCCCTCTTCAAAAAACGACACGCTCTTCATCCACACGGTCAAAAACACTGAATCAAGGGGGTATAATATGACATGACCGTCAAAAAAAGCAAAGCAGTGTGTTTTTGTGTGCGTGTGTGTGAGGGGTACATATTTGTGCAAAGAACAAAACAAGGAGAAGAGGCGGAGAAAAAAAGTTAAACAGGATATGAGATTACAAGGAGGTATTGAGAACGCAGGCGTGTTGTTTTTGAAGAGGTTATTAGGTTTGTGTTGTTTGTTCGTGGCGATGGTGTGATGGTGCTGAGCCATCATTTGGGCGTGGGATGTCGTCGTGAAGGAAGTGGTGACGCGGACCGAGGCCGCTGAGTGGCTTGCTAGCGACTGTACCCTCGAGAATTGGGAGACTGGAGGTCTAATACGACAATTGTTGTTGTTGTTGCTGTTGTTGTTGCTGCTGGTGCTGCTGGTGCTGTTGGTGCGCATGTTGCAAATTCGTAAAACTCATCTGACTCCTCAACTTCTCGCCCGTCTTGCGGCGCATCAACGTCCTCGTCTCCGTCGTCACCGTCGTCCAGTCCTCCCAATCCGTCGCCATTTCCGTCAGCACATTGCCCATGACCTGTGCACTGGCCATGAGGCCATGCTGCTCGCCTTCTAGAATCCTGACCTCGCATTTGCGCATCAGTTTGCCGAGCCAGCGGACGTTGGCGACGGGGACACGGGAATCTTTGCTGCCGTGGTGGATTACGACGGGGCGATTGATGTCTTCGTAGCGGAAGCCAATCGTTTGCTTGGTTTCGAGGCAGACGATGAGGTCGGTTGCAGGATTCGCGTTTGCGGTGGCACGATCCCAGATGGCAAAGGTGAGGCGTTCGTCAAAGGCGCGTTGGCGTTCGCGTTCGGCCAGCGTGAGGGCTTCTTGGAGACGTTTGTTTTCTTCATAATTGGGGTCGGCGGGGTTGGTAAGGGTCAAGGAGCTGGTGTTGGGAGGGACTTGGTCCATTAGCATCATGGATTGGCGTCGATCATCTTTTAAAGACTGCCGCAAAGGCTGTACAGCTGGCGCAGTGCTCTTGCGCTTTGTTTTTGGTGCAGTCTTGGGCCCCGTGCGTTGGAGGCTGGCACTGGTTGCGCTGAGAAAGGTCGAGTTTGCGACTTTGAGGAGAGATGGCGGAAGGGCACGGAGGAAGCGTTGTGATCGTGGCAGCTGTTGGGTGGGTGGCGAGTCCTGGCTGATTCCAATGGGAGCCATTTGAGACGGAGGAATCCAAGGGGCCAACAAGTGGACTCGTCCGCGAATGTGCTGTGGCATGCGTAACGAGGTAGCAAGCGCGTAAATAGCACCTGCCGAATGCGCCAACAGAGAAAATTTGCTAATCTTCAAAGCCTGGCATATCACGAGAACGTCATCTGCGAATGGTTAGCATGCCCACCACAAGATGGGAAATCAAGACGGTAACTCACCAGGCCAGCTGAGTGGCGTCCCAGTCGGATCCACTTGACTCCCTCCAACGCCGGGACGATCTGGTGTGATCAAGCGCAGCTTCAATGTTGTGGCAAGCTGGTCGTAGAATGCCATTACGAATCTCGTCAGACCCATGCCAACACAAACAAAGACGGCGTAACCTTCTGGATCACCAACTTCCGAGAACGAAATGATCCTCCCCGTTTGAGGATGCCTGATTTTCTGTGATAGTCGTTGCGAATTTAGATAGCTCTGTACATCCAAATCTATCGAATCAAGACTTGCAGGCCGCTCTTCAACAGTCGAGCGCACGGGATTCTGTTTAGCTGTGGCCGCAGCTTTTGCTTCCAATCGCTCCACTTTGGCATTGTGCGCTTTCTCTGCCTGTACAGGAAGATCTGGGTGCGACCATCGCTTCTTTGTGAGCGTGCGCTTCCGCTGGAGTTGCAGACTGTTCGACACGGGCGAAGTCGACGCCAGCATCGAGTGATGCTTGACAGACATATCCGAATGAATGGAGCGAGGAGTCGGTGACAGTCTGTCGAGGGTGACATCGGTCACACTGGTGGAGTGCCTATGCTTGGGAAAGCTGCCCATGAGTACGGAGTCGGTCGCCGTCCTCCGGCCCAGTCCAGTCCTGCCACCTGCTGTCATGGAGCTCGAACGTTTCACTACGTTTGGATCGCTCTTGATGGATGCACTATCAGCGGTAAGAGGGGGTGAAGACGCTGTCGGTGGTGGCTCAAAAACCGGTGATAGTGGTACCGGGTCTTCGAGTCGTTTGATCGCCAGCGCGTAATTGATCGGATAGGAAGCCATCTGGTCGCCGTCATTCAGCGTCAGACTTCGATGTCGAGAGTGGCGCACATGTTGCGGGGGCGGAACAGGCGGGGGCTCGCTATAACGAGAATCGTGAGGTCGTACAGGCGACTCCTTTAGGTCCCCCACAAACGGCCCATCCAGCGCAATTCCCAGGACCCTGTGCGCCTTGCTAAGGTCCTGCACACGCTTCTCTGACGCGCTTGACACAGTCGACGTGGGGGACGCTTCAGGGCTTGGATTCGATGAAACGTGAGGTGGGTGGGGTGGGGAGGCCCCTGTCTCTGCATCCACAGGCATCTTTCCGGCTAAAATATCTCTGCGCATTTTCTGTTCTTTGAGCACTCGGATCCTCTGCGCCACTTCATTTTCTTCCTGCTCGAGTTCCTTTAGGATGGTCTCCTTCAAGGCCGATCGCGAGCCATTCTTCTTCCCTTGTTCTGCTGGCGCCATCTCGCCTTGCGCTTGACGTGGCTTCTCGCGTTGTTTTTCCGGTGACTTTCGTCGTCTACTCTTTCGCGACGGACTCCCAGAGTGTCTCAGGGACGAATTGCGATCCGGTATCAGCTCTGGAATCAGGCCTCTCTCTGGCGTGCTCTCGATCGGTGGGGGAGAGTCGTCGACCAAGTTTATGCGCAAGCGGCGGGGGCTGCTGTTGCGACTGGGATAGCGCTGCAAGAACCTGGTAGACTCTGAACGCTGGGGGATATGCTCTTCCTTCAGCGGCGGCTCCTCCTTGATGGTGTCTTCGTAGGGAAACAGCTGGGGTGCGGGTTTTCGTGCGGACTCTTGGGAGGATCGGTCGTCGCCGGCGTGGACCGTGTTGCGCTTGCGTTCTGTTTCCTTTTGACGCAGTCGTTCGCGCGAGCTCATGTACATCAGACTCCGGTGTCCTTTGACGCTCCTCTTGCTCTCCACCGAGGACCGGGTACTTCCCCCCGCGACTGGCTTAGGTGCGGGGGTCTCGATGCTGATGGCGCCAAAGCTGCTTGCTGAGCGATTCGAATGCGCCGACTGTAGCGAGCACGAACTGCCACCACTGCGCCCAATGTAGCTGGTGAGCGAATGCGGCTTCTCGCGCTGCTTCTTGGGGGCTGTCAGTGGCGACCGGCCCGAGGGCGGCTTCGAGGTGCGGATCACGGGCGGCTCGCAGGGGTCGTCAGGATACAAGAAGTCAGAAGAGTCTCTTAGTGTGTGGTGGTGGTGGGCGGCCTGGTCCAGTGCATGCCCATCGTGGCCGCCAGTGAAGGAAGCCCGCCCCGAGTGCGTCGGGATGCTGGGGCTGGGGGGCACACTAGGGGCGTTGTCGTAGCCCACAAGCAGGTTCTCGAAGTGGTTGTGAGCGGGGATCGAGATGGCCGACAGCTGGTCAATGAGCGAGGAAATGACTTGGGGCGATGCGGCCTGGGTGCGTATGTAGTTGGAGCTGCGCTTGGTGGTGTTGGTGGTGGCTGTCGTCGTTGTCAGGCGGGCATCTGCTGTCTTGACGGATGCAGGCGGAGAAGTGCGACGGCGCGACTTGGAGCCGTGATTGCTGTGGGTGCTGTGGGTACTGTGGGCGGCGCTGCTGTTCGTCGTACTGTGGTGGTGGTGGTGGTGGTGGTGGTGGTGGTGGTCGCTGCTGAGGTTCTCTGGAGGGGAGGCTGTGTCGGCGGGGAACGGGCGAGCTGAGCGTGTTGCATGGTGGCTCGCTGTCTGGACCGTAAACTCCATCCTGACCCTGAACCCCCTCTCTCTCTCTCTCTCTCTCTCTCTCTCTCTCTGCTCTCCCTCTCCCTGCCTCTACCTCGGCGCAGACAATCTCGAGAGAATGTTCTTTTTTTGTTTGGCGCTTCGCCTTGTATGGCTGCCTGCAGATGCACTCAACCGCCCGCGTTTTTTTGGGGGGTTTTTTTTTTCGGGGGTGGTGCAGTCCGGGTAATTACTGCATCATGATGTTGACGTGCAGAAGTGCATTGCAGTACCGGTACCCTAGGGAGCTGGTGTTGGGTTGGTTGGTTCCCTACGGCCTACCTTGCCACTGCAGTCAAGCAATCCAGGCAAGCAAACCGGCGTGCGCTGCCGGTCGATGTCGGAAAGGCAATACAGGCGACACAAAGTCCAAGGTGGAAACGGATATCATTCACCAGGAAGCCGCGGCGGGAGGCGTTGGAGAGAGAGAAGGGGTTTGCCAGTGTTAAATTGCGAATAGCATTCCTGACGCGAATTGCGCCCCGTCCACGGCCCTCGCTCAGGGATGCATGGAGCCATGGCCTGGGAGAGAGTCAACGCTAGCCCGGCTCGTTCAAACTTTGACCGCCTCTCCCTTGACCCCCCTACTTATATCGCTGCTTCTTATAGTACAATACATACAGTACAGGATCATACTGCTAGTATAGTAGCAACCTACTCTCTTGCCTACAAACAGACAACAGAGAGTTGGCTGGAGAGGGTCCGACCTGTGGCCTGGCACGCTTACAAGCCAGCCGACTGGTCGTCTATTCATCTCCACCACGCCACTAGCAACATGCTTTCTCTCCCCTCCCCCTCCCCGCAAGCCTACCTGAATGCCGCCGTCCTATGCCTCGGAGCTGCAGCTACCTGCGAACCAATGTTCCCCCACCTCCAAACACGCCAAACACACACGCGCGTGCTCTTTGGGCCCACCACGACTCGTGCTGCTGCCCTCGCGACTGAGAGACTACGACTGCAACTGTACCGTGCTGGCAAGGAGAAGAGCATCTGCAAGGCTTGCAAATGGCCTGACCAACCCTCGAAACACCATGTACAGCCGTCCTGTCCTGTTACACTCGCCCTGCCTCTCCGTTCCACCGCCCTAAACTTACCGACGGTCTGGCTGTGCATCATTCAGACTTGACTTGCCGTCCTTTTTCTTTCTTGCGCTTTGCCATTCCGCTCGAACCGGGCTTGTGCTTTGGCTTGGAGGGCTCCCACCCCACGGAGAAAAAGAAAGGCCGGGCCCCGCCGTCCACACTACCGATATATTGGCCCAGGTTCACCCTCGTTGTCCTATCGATCCCCCTCTAGCCCACTTGCTTACCGTAAGCTCATCCTAGATCAGATCCTCCAAACGCGTATTCCCACTTGCCGTATGTAGTAGTCAACAAATTCAGAGGTGAACCGAGAGCCGTCTTTGTGGAGACTGTTCGACGGCCAGTAGCAGTGAATCAGAAAGAGCAAGAGACAGGAGATGCTGAACCCCGAGTTTGCTATGCAAAGTGGCTGGGCAGGTAGCATACACATCTCCAGCACCACGCAGTACAACGCAGATTGACAGGTTGTCCTTGTCCATGGCGCTATTTGGACGCGTAAGTGTGCGAACGTACGATGGCTTCTTAGATACCAGGGTATGCTATAGTGGCAGTGCTGTACCTAAGATCCATCGACAGCCTCTTTACAGATTTACATGCGTTGCACACATCACCACAGTAAGCAGTGAGGTCAATATCAACAACAGCCAAAACCCTTTGATTCTGTTCTCATAACCACTCTCAACAAAACTGTTTGCCACAAGCCGTCTCACTCCTCGACTCTGATGCTCGTCCAAATCTGTAGCAGCTATCCCACATGAGATGCGAATCAAGTCACACGCCTGCTAGTAGTAAACCGAACTACCAGAATGTGCAAACAAAAACACCTCGCTTACCGCAACCAACCACCACGCCGCAACCAACTTCACCCAACATTCCCGCTTCGCTCACCCTCTGACGTCATGTCCATGGCAATTCCCATCTGCCAAACTGCAACCTCCATTGCCATTTGGCATGCTCTCTACTGACCATTCCCCCCCCGACGACTTATCCATGCTTGAATTTACAAACCACAGCCACACCCCCCGCGCTTCACCAACGTGAAACACTCCCCCCAACCTCCCCCCAACCATAACCATGACCACAATCCTAACATCCCTCCTCGCCCCCCTCGCCCTCCCCTTGGGCTCCTTCCTCGCAATCCCCATGCTATCCTCCTGGTCCACAAGCCTAAACCTCATCTTCCTCTCCCTAGCCTGGACCACCATCGCCGCAACCTACTCGCCGCTACAACTAGAGCTCTTTGCACCCCTGATACTACGCATATCCTTGTACATGATCCCCTCGCTCATCTTCCTCGTTTTTGACATCGGGGCGCCCAGTCTAGCGGTCGAGTTCAAGGCGCAGGGGAGAGGGGGGATTGCGACGGAGCAGAGGGGAGGGGGTAGGGTGGTGAAGAGGGTGGTGGGGTGGAGTTGTGGGAATGTGGTTTTGGGGGTGGGGGTGCAGCTGGGTTTGGAATGGTTGGTGACGGAGGTGTTGGGGATGAGGAGTTTGCTGGTGGTCAAGGGGAGTAGGTGGGGATTCAATCATTTGCCGAATCCGTGGACCATGGTCAAACATGGTATTGCTGGCTTGCTGTCGCGCAATGTAAGTGTCTGGCTATGCTGGCCGGCCCAGGGACTTGGCTAACTCATGGTGTTGTCATCAGGTTCTGCAATACTACATCCACAGCCAACTCCTACATTCGCCCACTGGAGGCCTACTGTCTGATTTCCATCGGTCATGGCATCACAGTATCAGAATCCCGTTTCCCTTTGTCGCCAATTACGATCATCCCCTGTGTCATTTGCTGCACCGCTTTCTACCCCTGTATTTGCCAGCCATAGCATTGCGCATGCACATTCTGACCTATCTCATCCTTGTCGCCATCTTCAGCCTGGAAGAGACGTTCGTCTACTCAGGTTACAACGTCCTGCCATCCACAATCATGTTACGAGGTATGGCACGACGATGCGACGCGCACATGCTGAGTGAGGGCGCGGGTAACTTTGGCTGTCTCGGCGTACTCGACTGGTGTCACGGCACAACGCTAGGAAAGGACGTCGTGGACGATTTGAAGGCGGAGATGGACAAGCACAACGCACGAGACCCAGTCGGGCGAACCATTGATGGCGCAGGCAATGCAGCCGATGGATTGACGGAAAGGCTGGGTGCAAGGGTTAGAAAGGGCAGAGGGAGCAGGTAGTACGTTGCAGGTTGGCAATCATGTATTAGTGCAATTCACATCGTGGACGATCGCAGCGTAGGAGCATTCTTTCGGGCCTCTCAAGTCGTTCGTGATACCTATCAATTGCTTGTCGTTTATGGCACTCGTCATAACTAGATTCGGGTACGCGGTAGAGATGGCGCAACGGATGGACGGCGGAGTGTAATCGATCTGTCAATTGTAACGCGCGCATCAGTATGCAATCTCCACCCATTATCGGCTTGCTAAACGCCCGTTTATGACATCACGCAAGCGGGGACCAGACCAAATGTTCACTTTTGGACCATTTCGGATTCGCTTGCTCGTTACAAGGCTTAATAGAGAACGCAGAGCCGGTACCCTCCATGAAAAAAATGTTGGCTGCCGTGCCGCTGCGGATTGATCCCTGCTAGTACGGCTACAGTATGCCGAAGTCGTCTTCATTCATCCCATGCACAGAACGCCAAAAGCCACCTCCTGACAACACGCTTAGAACACCATCTGGTGAGGCCTGTCCGAGCTGCGAAGGCTGAAGCTGGCGCCGAGGTAGTCGGCAAGGTGAGCCTCCTTCTTAATGGTAGCCAAGAGTGCCTTGTCGACAGCCTTCTGGTCGGCAACACGGTCCTTGGAAGTCTCCTTCTTCTACCGCGATTGTGAGTCACTGTCTCATGTGCAGACCGTCGTGGGTACGTACCTCGGGCTTCTCGCCCTGCTTGAAGAATGAAGCCTCACCAGGCTTGTGGGCAGCCTTGTCCTTGGTGAAGTAGCCGTCCTCGCTAGCCTTCTCCAAAACCTTCTCGTCTACACCGGTGATGTCGACCGAGGTGGAAGTGGCGATAACATAGCGAGCATTTACCCTTCGCAGAGGAACACCGTTGACTTTGAAGGGACCAGTGACGAGGAGGACACCCTGGGGAAGGTGCTTGAGGACAACGACGCGCTTGCCACGGAAGCGACCAGCAAGGAGGATAACGACGGTACCAGGCTGGAGGGATTGACGGGGCTTAGCAGGGTGCTGAGTCTTGCGTGCCTGGGATTACAGTTAGTGGAGGTCCAATCGACACATATATGTGCAAGTCGCAGTGCAGAGGTCGCTGCAACGACATTGTAGCAAGCAATTGCTCGCCGCAATGCCTGCGTCGCGCATCTCTTCCATCTCCACACAAGCGGTCGCAAATGGAGGACGTACCTTCTTGGGAACAGCAACGTCGTCCGCAGGATAGTACTTGCTCGCCTTCTGCGAGTGGTGCGGTATCGACCTCTCCCCCTTGGAGAACTTCTGGGTGGTGGGTTTCGTGTCCTCTTTGGTGGCCGCCATTTCGATGAGCTGTTGTCGTTAGTTGCCCTGAAGTTGTTCGATGTTCCGATATGAATTTCGAGTGTGCGGCTACGCTTGCTTCACGTGCACGCTAAGCGCACCTTGCCCTATTCGGGATAGAAGAGTCAACGGCGGAAGAACGTCGGCCCGGGGAAGCTTCACGTAATCCCCGCAGCACCGCCGCAACTTGGTATGGACGTATTCGTGGTGCCAAACAGTAGCTCCACCACCTTGTCCCAATCTTGTTCATACTTGCACAATCGAACACCACCACTACCATGTCTATCCAACCGCTGATAACCTTCAAGGCGGGCCAGTGCGAACTCATAGTAGGTTCAGCATCTAATCAACTTATTGCCAGCTAACATTTGCAGCGTGGCGAAGGCACTCAGCAGACTGTAAAGCCTGTGCGGACGCCTGGCTACGTTTACCTCTACCAAGGCGAAGATGGTTTGTCACCTTTAATCAGGTCTATAGCATACACTCATGTGTTCAGAATTCGTCCACTTTTGCTGGCGGCCCCGCGACAACTCCCTCGAAGATTCCGAACTCGACCTCATCATGATCCCAGGCGATGGTGCCTTCGTACCATACACGGGCAAAGAGGCCGCCGAAGACTCGGATAATGTCAAGTCGCCAACCGATGGCCGTATATTCGTCCTCAAGTTCAACTCGAGCTCACAACGCTACCTCTTCTGGTTACAATCCAAGTCACAACATCCTCGCGGCGACCCAAGCTGGTTTAGTGAGCGGGATCAGAGGATAGGTCAGATTGTCGACTCACTATTGAACGGAGAAGAGATCGATGTTCTCGGCGAGCTCGCAAGTGTGCAGAACCCATCAGCAGGAAATGACGAGGACGAGGCAATGGAAGATGCGGACGGTGCAGACCACTCCAACAATCGCAACCGCCATGGCAGCACTGGAGGTGCAGGGGCTGATGCTACGGGTGGAGATATTCGGGAAGAAGGAGAAGAGTCACGCGAAGGTGGTGCTGATGGTGGTCGAGCGTAGGTTATATTCAGTTGTATTGTACACGGCGTCGTGGCGCGGTCAGCATCGCGGGAGTTCCCAACCTGCCTCTGAAGATGTCAACCATGAAACCAAAGAGATTTCCCAGCACTTGATATGAGGGTGAGGCGTTCAAGGAAATATGGCATTAAACATTACGACATTGATTGCTTACTACAGCTTTGTAACATTACAAAAAATGCGATGTATCTTTTAGCCACGCCACGGCGCTTATTTCTGCGTTGTACTCTTTTCCAGTAGTTCGAAGAAAACTCGCTAACTTCTATGTAGAGCGGCTTCTGGCGACGTCTCAGCTATCGTAGCAGATTTTATGAACTCTCTAAAGGGGGGCAACATGAGCGGCGGATCGCAGTCCCATTCGCAAGGGGAGCCGTTCACGACGCTGCTTGACCTCCTCTGGCCCTCTCATACACTTCCTACGGTCAGGCAGGGATCCGAGACGCTCATCGATGCGCTGTGTGCCCAGTTACCCACAACACCGTTTCTCCTCGAAGCTGATGTAGAGGATGTTGATCAGATCGACCCAAACTCCGAGACCGCCCAACTGGCAATACAAACACTAGATCAAGAAGATAAGATCAACGTGCTAGAGCGCATTCTTCGTGCCCCACAATTGCGAGCTGCGCTTGGAAGCTTGACCGAGGCATTGAAAACGGGAGCGTTGCCTACTGTCAGCCAGGCCTTGAAGATTGACGTTGAGAATGGTGGGTACATGAGGGGTGGCGCAATGCCATTGGGCGGTGAAGATGCAGTCAAGGCGTTCCTGGAGGGCGTAAAGAAGACAGTGGAGAAGGAAATCAAGGGCGAAGATGGCATGGACACAGACTGAGACTATAGCTCGTCCAGGGACTAGTCATCTTTAACACTTGTGATCAACTGCCGCCCTCCTGGTGTTGTGAAGGCTAGGATATGAAATACACGTACATAATGAGCCACGATACATACGTTGACCAGCTACAATACTATAGTTCCAAACCCTGAACCACAAAACTACCTTTTGATTCATTGGTGACCTATTTGCACGGCCATACTGATGGCCAAAGAAATTACAGCGAATCAGACGTGTTGGGCCGTGATTTCCCTAGAAGCCGAGGCAACAGGGTACGACGGGTGATAGACCGGGGAAGTGGGTCTGGTCTGTCTCTGGGAGCTTGAATGCCGTCAGATGTTTAATTCTCCAGCCAAGTGCCTTTAGGGTCGCTGTACAATGCCGCATCTTTGTATCCTCCTGTATATTCCCTCACTGTCGATCCAGTGACGCGTCCTGTAGGTAACTAAGGTAGTCATCGACGCGACGTGACCATCGCATACTGTACGAGCTACGCTATCCGCCACTCACTCCTAAACTGGTAATCGTTTGAACCCGTCGCAAACTCCAGATCTTGACCGTCACGATGTCTTCCTCCAAAAAGCGATCGAAATCGCCGTCGCCCACTTCGCCGACGTCCGAGAAGGCCCCTGATCTCAGCATAACAGCACACGATAACGTCTCCCTGCATGCAGCCGGTTACGATGAGTCGCCAGACCGTAGCCTCATACAAGGCATGGCACGATTCCGCTCTTCGCCCCTAGACTTCCTACGCGAGGTTTCACTACATTTTTCAGGATCGGGATGGCGGTCCTTTGACAACCACATTGGCCAGCCCGAGTTCTATCCGGGCTTTAGCGAGGACATGAAGGCTAGAGTGCTGAGCAACCCCATGCTCGTGGCGAAGGTGCGCGAGCTGGCAGACAAGAGGGTGGAAGTGGAGAGAAAGGATGGATTGCTAGGTGAAGAAGCGCTGCATGGTCTTGGTGTGGGCGACAACGACCGGGCGATCAAGAGGAGGGTGCAGATTGAGGAGTCGCTCATGGAAGTAAGCGAGGACTGGACGGACAAGATGATTTGCAAGATGGAGAGCAAGGCCTTCATTCGTGGGGCTTATTATTTGGCTACCCAGCTCCTGACCCGGGCCTACCACCAGGGCGTACACGTCTCTAGTGAAGAGGTGCTGCGACTGCGCGCCATCGCAGAGCAGGCTGCAAAGGACAAGCATTCAATCATATTCCTTCCCTGCCATCGGTCACACGTCGACTATGTCTCTTTACAGGTCATCTGCTACCGGCTGGGGCTTGCCCTCCCAACCGTGGTAGCTGGCGACAATCTGAATTTTCCAGTTGTGGGATCTTTCCTTCAACATGCCGGGGCCATGTGGATACGGAGAAGCTTTGGAGATGATCAGCTATACATAACATTGGTACAAGCATACATTGATACTCTTCTACAGAACGGCTACAACCTAGAGTGCTTTGTAGAGGGAGGCAGGAGTCGTACTGGAAAGCTCTTGCCGCCAAAGTTTGGCATCTTGAGCTACATGCTAGACAGCGTTGCCAGTGGAAGGGTACAAGACGCAATCATTTGTCCAGTTTCCACGCAGTATGACAAGGTCATTGAAGTCGAGTAAGTCTTGCAGAGGTATGCGCGCAGGTCAAGACCTTGCTAACATGCAACAGCTCCTATATTAGCGAACTCCTTGGCCAGCCGAAGCCCAAGGAGAATCTCATGGACTTTCTCTCTGCTTCATCCGTACTGTCGCTCAAACTTGGTCGTGTGGATGTTCGCTTCCACGAGCCGTGGTCGTTGCGCACCTTTATCAACCAACAGCGTGAACGCTTTAATAAACTCCCACAACAGGTAGATTCGAAAGAGGACCGCGTACGACTTCTGCGGACTCTTGGATACAAAGTGCTCTCTGAGATCAACGATGTATCTGTAGTGATGCCGACTGCCCTTGTGGGCACAGTATTGCTCACGTTGCGAGGACGAGGTGTTGGAAAATCGGAGCTGATCAGGAGAGTTGAATGGCTCAGTGATCGGGTGCGAGCACAGGGCGGGAGAGTTGCGCACTTTGGAAACCTTCCAACAAGCACCGTGGTAGATCGCGCGCTTGAGGTCTTGGGTCCTGGCCTCGTTGGCCTCGTTCCTGGTTTACCTGAAGATACATTCTACGCTGTGGATCGGTATGCGACTGACTACCTTTGTCTGACATGGAATCATGACTAACCACCATCCAGGTTCCAACTCTCGTTTTATCGCAACATGACCATTCATCTCTTCGTCCTCCAATCGCTCGTCAGTGCAGCATTATATACCCACGTCAAACAAGGCGGCGGTCCCGAGTACCAGCGCATGTCTTACACCGACCTCCACGCCCAAGTCCACTTCCTCTCCCAACTCTTCCGGGGCGAATTCATCTTCCCCACCGAAGGTCTAGACCACAATCTAGCCAAGACGCTCGAAGGCCTCGAAGCAGACCACGTCATCAAAATCACCCGCACCACCAGCGAGTCCGGCGAAACCAAGGTCGACTTTGTCGAACTGAGCCCCGAAGAACGCAGCCAAGGCCGCGAAAACTTTGACTTTTACTGCTTCCTCATCTGGCCCTTTATCGAAGCCGCCTGGCTGGGTACCATGTCGCTCATGATGCTCACGCCGCCACTCAGGCTCTCGCAAACCTCGGACGTCGTCTGGCTCGAGCTTAAAAAAGTCCAAGACCGCGCTCAGCTGCTGGGCAAGACGCTGTATCACCAGGGCGACCTCTCCTACTATGAAGCCGTCAACAAGGAAACGCTGAAGAACTCGTACACCCGCTTCGAGGAGGAAGGTATCATCGTGGTTAAGAAGAGCAAGGAGGGTAAAGCACCGGCGGCCTCGATCAAACTCGCAGACGACTGGGCGCCCTCGCGCGGCACGAATGGTGTTCTTGCCGAGGGGCCGTTGTGGCGGTTTGCCGAGAGGATTAGCTCGAGTCGACGCGAGGGTAAGAATCGAAGGGATGGCGCGACGGTGCAGACGAGGGTGTTGCAGTTGGTGGATGTGGTTGGGGCTGGGTTGTGGGAGGATGTTGGGTCGGGTGGGCAGCGGGTTGAGGGGGTCGAGGAAGAGGGCAAAGGCAGGGCGAGGAGGAAGAGGAAGCCGTTGGCTAGGTTGTAGGTTTGTGGGGTTCATTTCTCATTTGACTCTCTGTTTGAGTTGGCCTGTGGCTTGTTCAGAAAGCGACAGGAGAGATGATGGCTTCGGGGCTGCTGCACTTGTATGTATTGTGCGCCATGTGTGCGTCATGCGATGCCTCTAGCCTGCCCCATACATTGAGGCTTTTGCACATATCCTCGATTCACGAAAGAGCCATCTGTGTTGGAAATGCCAATCAAAGCTGCCACCCCAAGCCTCAAAACACCTCCCAGAGACT